AAGTAGTTATTACTATATTAACGTTATATATTTATTTCTTACTTATAAGGTTAGTAGTAAATTATTAGTAGAGTATATAGTAAAAGCGCTTTTACTTTCTTAGCTATAACTATATTACTTATTATATTTAAGCACTTATTAGTTACCTTATTCCTTAATATAGCCTATAAGGCTATAATCTATACGCCTTAAGTAATTATTACCTAGGCTTATATCTTACTATATACCTTACTAGTATAGCCTTATAAAGGAAATAAGTAATATAGTAAATACACTATAATATATTATGTTATATATATAGAGCTTTATTAGTAAGCTATTAGCGCCCTTTAAGGTAGTTTCTATAGTATTATATCCTTTAATTATAACTTAGGTAGTACTAGCCTAAATATAGTTACTAATTAAGGCTACTACTAATATAATAAACTATAATATATAGTTAAATATATAGTTAGTAGTGCCTAAATTAAGTAAGACTAAATTATATAGCTTATAGCCTTATAAAGTAGTATAAAAAGCCACCTTTATATAGTATTTACTATATAGTTAATATAACTTAGCCTTAATTCTTTATACTTATTTAGTAAGGTTAGGATTACTTACTATATACTTATTAATTTATTACTAACGTTATATATTTACCTACTAATTATTAGGCCTTTATAACTTATTTATAAAGTAGTAAAGTTATAGTAGATAGGTGCTGAAGTATATAAAGCACTTTACCTTTTTACTTACACTTTATTAGTAGTAATACCTCTTATTATTAAATTTACTATCCTTTACTACGCCTTTAGTATATATTAGGCTATTATTATTATTACCTCTAGTTAGGCTAAATACACTATAGCCTACTTAGCTATAATATAGTAAGTTATTAGTAAGGGCTTTAACCCTCTCTAGCGCTATCTTATAAAAAGACTACTAGTTAAGATTATTCTAATTACTTATTATTTTACTTATTACCTTATATAAATCTAGCTAGAAGCTAAGTAAACTATTTTATAAAGTAGTAGTAAGGTTATTAAACTAAATTAATAGCTATTAGTAGTTAGGTAAATTAACTTATACTAATTTACTATAGGCTATATTTTATTTATTAAGCTATATAGTAAGATTTTTCTTAGTAGTTAAGGCCTTTTACTAGGCTTTTATTAACACTTTACTATATTTATTATAGGCGTACTTTATATACTCTTTTTTAGTTATTCTTACTACTATATTAAGCTTATTAAGCTATTTAGCTAGTAATTTATTAGATTTATAATATCTTTCTTAAAGATCTATAAATATAGTAGATTTAACTATATTAGCTATATCTTTAACGTCTTTTTACTAAGTAGTATACTCCTATACTTCCTTATAATAGTAGCTTATCTAGCTATTTAAGTATATAAGATTATATAGGTTAAGATTATCTAGTGTTATTACGTGTTTAGTTTTATACGTAAGCCTATTAGGTATAGTTATAATAGCCTTACTTCTTACTATATATAGCTATATAGTTACTTACTAGGATATCTTAGTAATTACTATAGCTATAGTAACCTCTTAGTAAGTAGTAAGCTTATCCTTAGTTAAGGCGTATAGATATTACGTTATAAGCAGCTTTATTAGTTTTTTTAGATATATCTTAAGGATTAATTAGTCTGCTGCTATAACCTCTAGGTTAATATACTTCTAGAGATTATAACGCTTTACTTTTACTTAAATAGCGTTAAGCTATACAAACTAATTACTACGTAATTATAAGGTAGTTACCTTATTATTATAGTTCTTATTAATTATTATAATAGTATTTAATTAGTAGATAGGCACGTTAGTTATTATAGATATATATATTAGATTATTAATTATTAAATTATAGGGATTATAATAGTTACTTAATTAATTATATAATATGTTATGTATATCTAGTTAAGATCCTATAGGAGTAGGGAACTCCCCCTATTTCTTAGTTAGGAAATCCTAGAGAAATCCTGGCTATATAATTAGTGGATTTACCCTAAAAGTGGGGCCCTTTTACTGCCTATTCCCTGATAATTTGCCGTAGGGCAACTGTGTATTTGCTAGTTAATTTACATGTAATTCCGCTACATTTAATAACTACTACCTAAGAAGGTATTTATTATTATAAGCTGTATTATTATACTTAACTGTTACCTTATTACTATATAAGTTACTCTTATATACCTTAAGTTAGCTACCTATATTAGTAGGCCTACTGTAAAAAATTAACTTAGGTAGTAGCTGTTAAATCCTATTAGTAAAGATATAAAGGATTAAGGTAGCTTATTGCTTACTCTAGCTACTATAGTTACTTTTGCTAGCTATAGTATAGGCCCCTTAGGCTGCCTAAGTTAATCTATTAAGGTATTTAAAAGGTATAGGGGTCTTATTAAAGTTAACGATATAGTCGGGGGGAAATTAGAGGCCACTAACAGGTAGTTACTGCTAGGCTGTTATAGGGTAATAATCCCTAATTAATTAGCAATTAGCTATATAAGTGGTGTTAACAGCAGTGCTTAGTAAGAACCACTTAAGCATTAGTAGATCTTTTAGCGTTCTAGCTTAATTACGTAGAGCCAGGCGTTAGAAGGTCTATTAGCAGGCGCGTTACTGTTAGCGCCCTGTTATAATTATACTTAAGTTCCTACGGTTAGGATAAACGTTAGCGGAATTAAATTAATAAGCTAGAGGCTTAGGGTTTAATTCTAGTTAGGCGCCTGGCCGTTAAGGGGAGGTTAGCCGGATTACCTTTTGTTGGAATGTCAATCCAGCAACATTCATACTTAAGGCCAATTCCGTCACAACCAAGTGGCGGGCCCGCTTTTTAGGTTGCTTAGAGGTTATGAGCCCAGATGCCTCAGTGGTTAGGCCACCACATTCATTACCCCACATGAGCTAAGGGGTGCGCGTTCAATTCGCGTTTGGCGCCGTAAGTCTTAAAAGTGCAGGCGCGTGCGACCGTGAGTCCAAAACAGGCAGGCGCACAGACCAGCCGGGTAAGGTCAATTCCGGAAATGCCCTTAAAGGGGGCTGTTGGAATGTCAATCCAGCAACATTCATACTTAAGGCCAATTCCGTCACAACCAAGTGGCGGGCCCGCTTTTTAGGTTGCTTAGACCTTTTATAAAGTGCAGGGTTAATTACGTTAGTAACCTTAAGCCTTAGAGATTTACATTACTAGAGATACCTAGATGCCTTAAGGATAAGGTATAAAGGAGAGGGGTATATTATTATAGGGTAATAATCCCTAATTAATTAGTAATTAGCTATATAAGTAGTGTTAATAGCAGTGCTTAGTAAGGACCACTTAAGTATTAGTAGATCTTTTAGCGTTCTAGCTTAATTAGGTAGAGCCAGGCGTTAGAAGGTCTATTAGCAGGCGCGTTACTGTTAGCGCCCTGTTATATAGGCTAATAAAGGTTAATTAACCTGTCTGTTAAAGTAGAGGAAGTTAGTAATAATAGTAAGGTATTTAGCAGGCAGCTTTAAGGCTTACTTTATAAGCTAGCAGTATAAGATACCTTATTATGTAAGGAAGCTAATAAACCAGCCTATAGAGAATTAGAAGGGATAAGTAAAGGGGTTACTAGATATAATAGTACTAGGATAATTAGTATTAAAAAAGGCTTAGGCCTCCTGCTTAAACTATTTAGTAGTAATAACCTTATTATAGGCTTATTATTACTAAAAGTAGCTATAGAGTTTAGCTTCTATTACTAGCCACTTTAGTTAATAGTTACGTACTAATAAGCTAATAATATTGTCCTAGTGCTTATACTAATACTTAATAGTATTAATTAGTATCTTAAAGTAGCTAGCAGCCTTATAAAAGGTTAGGCAGCAGAGGCTATTAGTAGGGTTAAGAGGGGTATTACTAGCCTGTTAGCAACATAGCTAGCTAGGCAAAAGTAGGTAATAGTAGTGCTTAAGGTACAGCAGTATATTAACTTACTTTAGCTAGTTATACGACTTTTTAACTTGTTAGATAGGCTTTTTTAGCGTATATTATTACTTCTTAATAGGCGTGGGTTTTTTCCCCTTTTTCTTACGTAACGGTGGTGGTGTAACAGGTGTAATATTCAGGTTGATTTCGCCTAGCGGCTGGCGGTCAGGCATCGTGAATATCGTGGGTTAATGGGTTAGCAAAGTTAACTGTAGATAGGCTGGCTGGCAAGCAAGTAGGTGGATAGGTGGATAGGTGGGTGGGTTGACCGCTTCCTATATTAGGCTTAGCGCAATGGGCAGCCACTTTGCCCGTTGCCGTTAGCTTGTGCAGTAGCTAAAGGTGAATTAAGTCAGTGTATACGGTACCTACTATACAGTTCACGTTCTCCCGCACGTCCTGGCCCACTCCGTGCCCTCTCGCCAGCTTTGGCATCCGCCATTAAATGATCACCGTGGGGGGAGGGGCAACCATTTCGATCGGCAGGCAACTTATTATGCCACGCACCCACCCGGTTGACAAAAAAGATGGCACACCTAAACACTCCCTGCACTGTTATAAACAGCACAACACTAAATACATAGATATACCTATATAAAATAGTTAGGATTAATGTCAGTATGTTCTGCCTACTATTAAAGATATTTTTCCTATATCCTAACTGCGTCTTGTGGCTGTGCTAATATAAGAAAAAACACTTGTTAATAGTCTTGGGGCAGATGTGTTGTGAGAAAGTACTTTAGGTGTGCCATCTTTTTTGTCAACCGGGTGGCACCCAATTTAAAGTGAAAATAGAAAGAGAGGAAGGGCAAGGAAGATATGCAAGGCAAGCACCCAAAAACCCGCCTTACAACGCCCTTCCTTGCTCCAACTGATACCCTTTGTTCAACAATGTATTTCGACAGCCCCGGGATGCCGTTTCGATCGATACAGGTCTTTCTCACACCTGATGATCGTGCATATGCCACCAAGATATTTGGTGGTGGGGCCGTAAGGTATCCATGTCCGATTGCGACCCTTCGATTGCACTTTACCCCTTCCCAGCCTTCTAGTTGACGTGGCCGCTTGCTCTCCGGCCAGCATCTCCGACCACCATGTGCTGCATATGTGTGTGACTCAGAGATGTCTGCCTTTTCCCTCGAGACAGCGGGTAATTCAAATCTTGTCTCACCGACGGCTTCGATCTCAGGTAACACACCCGTCACATGAAAAGCCGTCCTGATCGCACCACGGGACGCACGCTGCAGGAAACCAACCAAGAGGTGGAGGGAAGGCCGACAGCCGTCGTTGGCCGCTGCTCGTCCCAAGCCTTCGGCTAGCGCCAGCGGCGCTAGATGTCCATCCCATGGATCCCGCCCCGTTCCCGCCCAGGGGCCTTCCATGATGCGGTTTGCATCCCGCGCGCGCCTCTTGCCTGAGTCATGCCGCCGAACTCCAGAACTCGCGCTGGCGCGTTGCTGCTGCTGCTGCTGCTGCTGCTGCTGCTGCAAGGCCGGCTTTCGGCCTTGGCCTCTCGACTCGGCACCTCCCTGCATGCTGCAGGCGGGGGGTGTGGGAGAAGATCTGTTCCGTGTTCTAGAAGTCTTCTGGGATCTGTTCTTCAGCAAAACTCTCATGGTTTCTTTTGCGGGAGTCGACGGCGCTTGTGGCTCGCCTCGGCCAGCTCGTGTCCCCGGATCTTCCCCCCCTGGTATTCCAGGTCTCCAGGACCGTCGCAGAGGCAAAGGCGGACTCTTGTGCTCCCTTTCCCAAGGAATACATACATACGCCAGCGCTAGTCCATTGGCGCAGAGCGAGATCCAATTATCGATTGTGCGAAACCGTCAAACAACATCCCTTCTAGTACCTAGTATAGGCTTCGCAGAGACCCGCCCTTTCGCCCTGTAAATGGCCCCACATCGCCGCGCTGTCCGCCAGGGCTTGGGCGGTCAGTTACAATTTGCCCATTGCAACACACACACGCACTTTTTTCCCGCCATCAAACCAATCCACCCCTACACCTCGAAAGCCTCTTCCTTGGATATACCTTCCTCAGTGACACCCTCTGGAGACGGCTCGGTAAGCCAGACTCAACCAAACCCCAGGACTGGCACTTTAGGTTATCGAGCTTAGACCGATGACTTGCTCGATGATGTATCCCACATAGAGCCGAAAACGAGCTTACATCTGAAGCGAGAGTCTTCAGAAGTGTCTTCAACAGTGACAAGCCACCAGGGCTCCGAGGCCATGCGCCCCACCAGCCCATCCGCCGCAGTCACTCACTCCCGAAAATGGCGTTCGACTCTACTCTTCGGACAGGCCTGCCATTAGTGAAGGTGGCTTCATGGGGCCAAGCAGTGATTGCCGCGGTCCACGAAGGAGTCGTGCATCAAGACACGTTATCGTGCAGCAGCTAGAAGCTGTTTCTTGTTGATCACACTGATCCTATCGCGGATACGCGAGATACCGGGTCGCCCTATGGCTCTTAACACGTCGAATGCCACCCCGTTCTTCAACTCGTTTCTCTCCCAGTTTGCATATGCCCCCGCCACTGCTTACAATATCGCCGTAAGCCGTGGCTTCGCATTGAATTTGGTCTTTTTTTTCTCCTTTTTTCTTTTCTTTTCCAGCAAGGAGCAGGGTGGGCTACCGGATAGTCTATGCAAGTATTTGTCGACCATGCAGGGGTCGATTGAAAAGAGGGCAAGAATGGCAGGATACTGATCGTGACCAAAAATGCTGGTAATTGCCAAGGTGGAAAGTGAAGAAGTTTGCGAGATTGCCGTCTAGTTTGGTATCGGTTGAGTGAGCGTGCTTGCCAGACGAACTGAATCATGGGCCGAGCACTGGCATTATTCAATCACGGCAGGGTGATATCAAGATTAAGAAAAGTCTAAGCCAATGTGTGACGGTAGCAAAAAAGAAGCAAGGGGCACAAATGTTTTCAAGCCACTTCGCCTGCTCTGCTCCGCTCAAAAGAAGACACTGCTGTCGGAACAGAATCCAGGCTGGCCTGCCATGTACCTAGGGTTCGAGGCAGTTAAAACACCCAATCTATTTGGTACTCCCCCATCCGCCTCAGCCATCCCGATGGCGGACAGACGCACGAAACAAGAGCTAACCTCGAGAGACAATGGGAGAGACTTGAAACCCCCGTATGACCCGATCTCGATAACCCACAGCACTACTCATTCCCCCCACCCCCAATCCCGATGCTCACAAGACCCATGCTCGCCGTGACAATCTCATTGCCCAGACTCGAGTCCTTCGGATCATTGATCACCTCTGCATGCTCCCAATGATCTCCCTCTGTGCCGCCCGATCCTTGGCGCCCTCGCTGAGGCTGCCGATGCTGCGCAGGTCGCCGACGACGTCCTTGGCCTTGCCGAAGTAGACCTCCTGCAGCAAGTTGCGCATCTTGAGCTCCATATCCTCAACGAGACGGCCGACGTTGGCAATATGGCTCTCGTCACCCTCAACGGGCAGCTCCTGCTCGACCTGCCGCGTCATGTTGCCGCTGAGGTCCATGTCGCCCAGGGCACCCGTCGATGTCGAGAGCGATAGGATCACGGTCGATGTAAGCTTGTACTGCGTCGTGCGGCCGCGCTCAATGGCCTCGAAGACGTGAATTGAGTCCCAGATGCCCTCGGCGCTACCTCCCGGTGTCGCGGCTGTCGGATGATTCGTTAGCTAGTGTCCCTCTTCTGCTGCTCACCGAGTCCCTGCGCTCAGGGAGAGAGAAGAAAAACCTACACTTCTTCAAGAGAACAACACCGGCGAAACCATCATCAAGATTCCAAAAGTACACACTGCTTACGCCACCCTCGTAGTACAGGTCACGGTAGACATCAAACGCCTCGTTGGCGCGAACCTCCATCTTGCGGACACGCTCGCTCGGGATAGCGCCCTCGCCAGCTCCTTCGCTGCCACCCGCTCCGACGCCGCCAGCGCCCGCCTCGTCGAGGGGAGGGTCGAACTGGTTGCTCCAGGGAGAGCGGTAGCTATCGCCATCGCGGTTGTAGTCGCAGAGGAGGTAGTCACGGCCCGTTTGCTTGCAGCGCTTCACCGTCAGAGGCTGGTCGACGGATGAAAGGAGGTCCTCAGTCAGGTCTGGGGCCAGTGAGATGATGGCATTCAGGTGTTCGGTCGTGTGCTTCGGATTCAGACGGCGGAGGAGGTCACTTGAAGACGGGCTTGGGTTAGAGAGAACCTCTTGTATGGCATCCGGGGGTGGCTGGTCGGGGCAATGCTTACAGGGCCGAGTCGAAGGGGTCGACGGAGGCCATGATGGCGGTTTCTGTACTTTCGAAGGCCCTGGGAAGGTCTATCGGAATATCTTTCAAGGCTGTTGGCGATGCTTGTTGCGTTGCGGCTTTGGGATCGTCTTTTGAGATTGGAGTGAGTGTTAGCGGTAGACGCTGGTCGCTGGCTGCTGGCGGGGTAAATCAGACCTTAGCCCCTGGGAGTGCTTCCCCGGCCCCCACAGTCGAGGTGAGCTTCGGGCAGCACCTACCACCTACCCTCCTCCACTTGGAGTCGGCCGGAGCTATCGAGTGGCACGTCATCAAGGGGACGGAGGGAGCATTGGCGTGCTTCAGGAAAGAACAAAAAATCAAAGAAAACAATATAATAAAATTGCTTGGGATAAGACTGTTCTTAACTAAGAAATTTAATTCAAGTAGATATTGCGACATTCGCTGATGCAAAGGTTAAAGAGGATAAGGTAAATATTCAACCACAAACCATGCAAGCTCTAGGAAACTGCCCTGTTCATAAGACTTTGGTCTCCAGACGGCCGCTCCCCTGGCCATGTTCCTCTTTTTTGCCGGCCCCTTTTTGTCTTCTTTCCGTCTCCCTGCATCTATCGAGAGCTATTCTTATGCCGACTTCATCCAATCTCGAGATGAACCGTATTCGCCAACGCCTTGCGAAAGAACCACACCCCGGCCACACCCAAATCTCCAGTTTCTGATTCTGACAATGACTCTTTTTCCCTCTGACTCTGTTCCGGTCTTTGTTCAAATCTCAACCACTCATACCGACCAGCTCCATCACCTCTGCTCTCCCCCCAAAACTCATTGTCAGTGCTCAGTATACCGATTTGTCATACTGGAATTCGGCGTAATCAAAACATCAGCGCGTCAACCCACTGCCTGCGGGTGTTTGTCGAACGCGATGCCTGCTGGAATAAAACAGCGAGAAGTGAAGCCCGCCATCGCGCGCTTCTGGGCGACCCATCGTAGTAAGGATCATGTAGTGTGACAGCCACGCAAAGGCTGGTCGCTCAGCTAATCTCCACTTCGCAAACAAGGCAGAGCAGTGGCTCAGTCCACACCTTGTCTCCTTCGGTGACGTTCTCTCGGAGGTCCTTGATCTCAATCCTGGTCGGGTTCATGTCCATCAGTATTTTCGCTTCAAACAGGCCTTCCCAAGGCTTCGCATCGCTTGCAGAGGCCTTCTTCTTTCCGGATCTGATCTTGCGAGATGTTCCCGAGAGCTCCAGCGCAGATGGTGTGGCAGGAGTCGTTGGCGGTTGCGAGACACGCTCATCAAGAACCGCGGGAGTCCCTTCTGTTGCAGATTGTCCATTTGTTTCCTCCGGCGCGTCACTGGGCTTCGCATCAATTGTTTGTTTAACATCGGCACCGCTTTCGCTGGGGCTGAGTGGGCCGTTGACACCGTTGTCCAATTTCTTTTCCTCCTTAATGTCGCTATCTGCGACCGAAGTCGTGCGGTCTACCGGAGGCATCGCGTTAAAGTGGGGTTTGTCTCTGCCGAGTCGGTCGTAGGTTCGCATTAAGGCGTCTTCTCGAAGGCAATGTTCATGGAGCCATTTCCCGCATTCCTTGTTCGAGCATCCAATCAAGGTCTTGTCCGGGTTGGCGGGCTGTCGGCATCTGCAGGTGCGTTCGACTGACTGCAGATGGGTTAGCTTCAATCGGCAGATCTAACTTCCGAAGGGTCGTGCATACCGAGAGTTGCTGGGTCCGGCAGTCAAAGGCCTGGCGCCAGTAGAGCGCCTCCTGGATCTCGTCGTCATTCTCCTCGATCCATTGTTTGACGTTGGCAGGCAGTGTTACACTGACAACGTTGATGATGTCCACTGCTTCCAGTCAGTACCAGAGCAGGAGTCTAAAGGCGGAGTATGACCTACTGTGGTTGGAGGCGATCAGCTCGTTATGACCGTGATACGGCTGGCGACCTCCAGTATATCTCTTTCCTTCCATCGTGCCCTCGGGCAGCTCCTCCGGCCAATACATCCAGTAGATACGCGCGTAGACATGATGCTCGTCGCTAGCGCGGATCTCCAGAATGCGGGCTACCCAGTCATCCTCGGACTTGGATCGCTTCAGCACCTTCTCCGGTTCGTTGGCATCTGTCGCGCCATCCGCAGCGGCTTTTTGACGTTGAACGGTCTGATCATTTGCTACGTAGATAAACCCCTCGCTGAAGTACTTGGTTCCATTCACTGCCATCCCTCATTGTTAGCGCATACGGCGACAGGAGAAGAGAGTAATGACTTACGAACGAAGCTGTTGTAGCGTGTCATCTCCAGCCACTTCTTCTGGGGGTGCACATTATATTCCAAATCCAAGACATCGTTGGCGCTCTTGCCGTTGAAATCGCCGGAAGGTGAGAAGGGAGAGAGTTGCTTAGAGCTTTTCTTCCCGTCCTCCTCTTCCTGTTCCGGTTTCCTTCTCTTCTTTGACTTCTTCTGTGCCTTGGTATCGGGCTCGGCGTAGGTGACGCTAAAAGGGCATTCAGCCTTGTTCTCCTCGACCTCGGCGCGAGGGCGCTTGCGCGAGGTGGACATGACGGCGGTGGTGGAAGTCCGGAGTCGCAAACGCAGTCAAGGAGGGGTATTCGCGAGAAGGACCGGGCAAGATACGATGCGACCGCGATTGAACGTGTCCGAGACGAATGACGTTGGGAGTGATTTCGCTGGGGATGTCGCGACCGAAGGGAAAGAAGAACGGGGTGGCTGGAAGGCGTAAGGACCGTCCAGGAGACCGGGGTGGACGAGACCGAGTGGGAAGTGCGCCGTCCCAGATAGGCGCCCTGGCTCACTTTGACAGGAGTGCGAATACTCTGGCAAGCCTGAGGATGGTCCAGGCCAGGTATCGACGACCAATGATGGCCACGATGCGCAAAATTGGGAAAATCGCGGGTTCAGGATCTGGCAATTCCGGAACGAAGAGCGGAGCGCGTTGACACTAGCCGGCGAAAAAAAGGTGGCGCAGGATGATTATCCTATTGGTCACGTGAGGGCGGCTTGGTCGCCCACGATGTGGCCGTGGCCATGGTAGGCACGGTATACAGGTGACGAAGATAGCGAGTGTCACGTAAGCACTGCAGCTACAATCATCCATTCCTACCGAAATCCGAGATGAATCCCTGAGGCAAGTGCCAGCATCCGCAGCACCTATTCCCTATCGAGATTTCCTGTAACGAGTTGAACGTGAAACTACCATCAACCTCAATTAGTGAGCGCGTTCTGAAACCCCATCGGTTAACTGCATGAACCACCATCAAATAATACATTTACTATATAAACCAATGTTAGTTGTTGTTCCCTCTTCTTTCTCTTCCCCTTGCCCGTGGTGTAACGAAGCAGCTTACAGGAGTGGAAGAGATGGCATAAACTGCGGAGGCCTTGCGTAACAGAGAAAGAAGTCAAGACAGGAAGAGACTGGAGATCACTGCAACTTGGAACAATTCAACTGGAGTCGTGGGAGGATCAAGCAGAAGAACGAGCAGAAAAGCCAACAAGAGAGATTAGAGGTACGCATTGGTCCCCTTGAAGCTCTCGAAAATGATTAGGCCGCAACTTTCAGGTAACGGCGCGATACAATGGTCCAACTGAACCCCCAAGCCAGACGCCGTTGCTATGCTATCATATACGTTTCGGGCCTGCTCAATAGCCTCTGAGCCGGCCATGAGCATGCTCCTCTTCGTCGTCATCATATGCACTGAGTATCGGACGGTCGTCGCTCTCCTCCGTCTCACTGCTAGATCCTCCATGCCGGTATTTAAACCCCTCAATAACCTCAGCAAGCTTCTCACCCTCGCGTTTGCCCCTTTCGACGTTCACAAACCAGATGAGCGGTACTGGAAGTCCTACTAGGGCTGCCAAAAACCAGAAGGCCGGCCGAATACTGCCTGCCCTATCAATGATAGCGCCAACAACTGCAGGTCCAAAGAAGCTGCTCGATTTGTCACTGATTGCGTAGAGGGCGTAGAAGGCGGCTTCGCTGCCCGGTGGGATGAGCTGAGAGTAGAGGCTGCGACAGTAAGAGCTCAGTCCACCTAGTACTAGCCCGTAAACCGCTGCCAGAGGGAACATCTCCCAGGGTTGTTGTAGTCCAATGACGCCCCATTTCTGCACGATTGGTAGATACCCAAGCAGACCGTAGATGGGGATGAGCTCGAAGAGGGCAATGCAGACAAGAATCGTTTGATGAGGCTTCAGGTTGAAGGTGCGTGAGACGAAAGCCCAGCTGAACGCACCAACGACACCAGCGATGGTGGAAATGACATTGATCATTCCTAAGGCCCAAGGTTTCATATGGAGCTGCGTCTTAGCGAAGAGGATCGCCGTGGAAGATGTCGTCGCTATCGCGTCTGACACCAACAGCCACGCACATAAGAACAAGACGACGTCCTTCAAGCGACGGGCCAACCTGACAGTGTTGAAAAGAGACTTCCAAGCGTTGGCAATGTAGCTCAGCCACGCTCGGGGTCCCCTTCCTGCCGTCAAGGGCATTGGTGGGCCTGGCCTTGGACGAAGCCACATGGCCGCAGGGATCGTGAAGAACGCCCACCAGGAACCGACAATGAGCAACACGATCCTTTGCGCCCATGTGGTATTCTTCATCGCGATCAGAATTGCGATGGAAACGCATTGCACAAAGAGGCCGGCAAGGTAGCCGATCCCAATACCCTTGGCCGAGATTTGGGTTGATAGCTGAAGCTCCACCGAGGTGAGCTCCTCATGCGTGGCTTTGCGAACCAAAGGGTAATCACCGTGTCCGTTGCCACCGAGTAATGCCGAGGTTTGGTCTTCAGCATCACTGGCGATGGAGCCCTCTTCCAGATGAGAACCGTTGAGAGGCTGCGATTCTAGAGCGGAGTGTCCCAAATCCGGCGTGTGAACAGTCTCAGATGCTAGCACCTCTGGGTGGTGCCGGACCAGCAAGGGCAGGAAGGAGTTGAGAAGCACGAACGATGCACCAAAGCAGGTGTTGGATACAATGGCCAAGAGTGCACCCAAGATGTAAGTGCTCTTGCTGACAAAAATGTAGGCCATAACGGAAAAGCTCCCGATCCATGCGAACGTGAGTAATAGCCTCTTCCTCGAATTGCCGTGGTCAGCAGCGCTGCTGATGCTCACCACCAAAAGCGCCTGGAGCAGGACGCTGATGGAGAAGGTGTACATGGCGAAGCTGGCCGTGTTGATTTCCATGCCCAAAACGTAGACGATACATTGCCCGTCAGCCTTGTTCTTGGAGTCGCTCGTACCGCACGGAGTCGTTCGATCGGAAAGCAGGACACCGTTTTCGCGCGCAAGGGTCTCAAGGAGGATCGGGATAAAAGAGCCTAAGCATCGTGACTTGTCAGCGCAAAGGGGCCCAGAGCGGGGTGCACCGCACGATCATCTCGAGCTACCCAAGTAGGTAGCTCCACAACCGGAACAACATCAAGAGTGGGTTTGATGGGATTGATGATGATGGAACATACCAATAGCTAGGTTCAGTCAGCTTAAAAGTACAAGTCGTCGGAAACATAGTTGGGACCAAAAACCCACCACAGATGACATAGGTCTCGGCAGCAAAGGCGTATGCATACCAGCCGGATAGCTCATATTGGCTCGTGGAGCGCGTGTCCTCGCCTGGATAACGGCCTGGGCCGTGAGGAAAGCCGTCGCTACTGCTGCCGCTCATCCTTTCGTAGTCCGAATCGGTATCGGAACGTTCGTCGTCGGCTTCAAAGTCGGAGGTGAAGGAGCGAAAGGAACGTTTGGACAAGGTTGAGAGGCGCGACCACAGACGTGGTGCAGGCGGCGGCCGAGCGTGTTCCTCCTGCCTGGGAACCATGGCGGGCGAGCGGGCAGCTGGGGGAGGAAGGGGCTTGCGACTTTACTGGTTGAAGACAGGACAGCTGACAGTGGGGGGGGGGGGCCTGTCTGTCTCACCTGGTACCAGCCTACTATTACCTACCTACCTACCTACCTACCTATCTAAGTAGGTACTTAGACGGGCGGATGCACTCCGGTCGTAGCAGTGAGCAGCAGCACGCAACCACACTTCAGAGTGTTCCAAGTTAGACTGTAGACACAACTGGCAACCTTCAGCACCTCAGATAGACGAGGTACCAAGCAAGCAATGCGCAGACGAGACGGGTATGCAGGGTATAGGTTGAGCAAGGCACCCAGCACTGAAGTATGGTCACAGGGCGAGGCACCTCAGCAGAGTCGGATTCTCGGGTTTGACGACGATAGGTTTGGTCGCTGCGGCTGCTGTTGAGCCGAGCCACTCGGTAAATTTCCAGCTATGCTGCACTGCACCTGCGCTGCGCCCTCACTCACTGACTGGATCGCACGCTCTTTGCTTTTTGTGCTGCTGGATGTTGAGAGAGAGAGAGAGAGAGAGAGCTCGCCAGTGCTCTCACCAGTTTGTCTAGTCGTAATAGCTTCTTGTTTGGGGACAGGGCGCGCAAGCTGTCACAGGCCCAAGACGAGAGGCGACTTTGTCATGTACTGTGATGCTGCTGCCCGATGACGGCTGTGCGACAGCCCACGTTTGTGGATGGGGCAGACGGGGGGACGCGGACGGAGACGGCGTGTTGTTGGCGTGGACAGCAACATGGGGCCAAAGCACGAATACCTGGATGGATGGGATAGACAGATAGACGGCTGGAGAAACGAGATGGATGGGAGAAGAGAACGTGAAGAGACGGGATGCAGTGAGATAGGCCGGGTTAATGTGTCTGGTCGAGTTTGCACGAACAGGCAGTGGGCCGGAGTGGTTGGTTATACGGCGTTCTGAAAAGTAATGGGAAATGGACGGACAAGGTCATCCATCCAAAGGTGACAGTGTCAATCAATCCATGGTCTGTCTGTCTGTCTTCCTGGCATCCTGTTCCAAGCCTTCTCCGTCTCTGCCTTTCCTGCCTGCCCTGCGCTGTGACTCCGCGGCTCCCTCGCCCAAACCTTTCTAACCTTGCCTTCAGCCAAGTCCACTATTGACGGCCACCGTCCATCAGATCTCGTTCCGTCGCCTTTCAACCTCCCTACCCACCCCAAAGACCCCAGTCGCCGCAGCATACACTGTTGCCCGGTCTCACAAGCGCTGCAACTGCAGGCATGGGTGCATCCCACCGCATTATCGCTGATGGAACGGTCTTCCTAGCGTTGCTGCCAGGCTTGAAGCGTGCCGCGCTATGAGGCCATGAACTCCATTTATCGTGAGAGGATACGCTTTGGACGATGAACCAGGGTCTTCATTCGTCCCATGTTCCGTGGCCGGCATGCAGAGATGCATCTTATGCGCCGCATCCGCCTTTGGGATTGGGCATTGCTCTCCGCTCTTGCACACAAAATTGTCCATCCATCTCAACGCCGTCGCCCCTCATCGCCAATGGCAGCACCTACACCGCAAGAGACTGAATGGATTCGCTTCGCATTGGTCAATTTTTCAACCGTCTCTCCGGTACCCATAGCGTCCTTGTCAACCCTCTCAAGCTCTTCCATGCTACCACGAATTAGCCGACTAAACTCATCAACGTCTTGGGAGAACTCCGATCATCGCCGGAGCACCCCTGCCGCAAACCTTGCAGTGCTGAAATTCCAGCAACTGTTTTGTTCAGTTGTCCCTCCCGATTTTTACTTTGCTTGGCAGGTCAGCCGATGCCGTCTTGGGAAGAGTTGACCTCGAGCCCCAGCCGCAAGTCCGCAATCTGCACACAGCTTCCGTTATCCGGCAACGACGCCAATTCAATGCATTTCTCGGGAGGCGAGACTTGGCAACAATGTTTTGGTATGCAGACCACTGCGCGCATTGCCGTCCAGCTCCGGTCGCAACACTGCGGCAAAGGTTTCTGGGCGATCCGAACCGAGCTTGGGCTTGCGGGGGTGGGCATTCTGCAGGTGCTCGAGCGATCTGCGGTTCTCTGTGCACCAGCATGCCCCCCAACTCTCAACACCAGTTAGAGGCTGAGTGGCGATCATCGTCATGTGAATACCAGGCCACATTTGACACGAACTGGCGCAAAAGGCGGGGTAGATCAAGGTGGTATACATAAACATCACTTCGCTCAATGTCTCATGTAGACCAACTAGTCTTTCTGCGCTGAACCCATGCAATTCGCAAAGAGACGCAGGAGTCATGTCTTCCTAGGCTCTCGTATGGAAAAGTCAGTGCATTGCGCAGGTGTACAGCCGGTGACCAAAATGCAAGAATGTCGCAGGCATCGTAAACTGTTCCTGCGTTGCTCGATTTGTTGCACCCACGACATCATGAAGTCCATTCGAGAGCGCGTGCGTTAACAGCAGGCCCGAGGGCCATGGCCACACCGCTTTCCAGACTGTAATAACAACAGTATTCAGAGAAATGCCAGAGTGGTGGGACGACCATGGAACGGCAATGTATAAATGAATAAATAAGAGAGAGAGAGAGAGACAGAGATACATACATACATGAAGAAACACGTTCTTTGCAACAGTATAGTATCACGGCCCACCGGACGAAGGGAGGGCCTTATGCTCATGTCGAAGCCAACATGAGGCCCAAATTTGCTGCTGAGAAGTGAATCTGTCTGGATCATAGGGACATACTCCTAGGCTTGGTGATGAATACTTGATACAGTGGATATGTAGAAGAGAAAGAAGCTGTAGCGGGTGAGCGCTAGCTAATGGGAACCGTGGTGTGGGTGTCATGGAAATGCGTGTTAACCTCCGGACCCTCTTGGATGCTACAACGAGTCCGAGAGAAATTGGTTGACAATACCTACTTGGAGGATGCTGCTGCTTGATATTATATTGCCCGATTTTGAGAGCATCTAGCAAACGTGGGTGCTTGGCCTTCTTGGGGCGGGCAGGAGGCCGTGGGTATGGCCAGGGGAGTCACGTAATCGGCGATAACGTGACTTTGATCTTCCGCGGGTATGCACGATCCCTCATCACAGAGGACCAGTATATATTTATGCAGACATTGCATAACCCTGACAATCATGCATCACAAGGAATTCCGGAAAGACAGGATGATAACAAACTTGTACCTAAAAGAGTAAAATAAACGCAGCATGCCGATACGGGCATCGTCTGAACACGCGCTGCCGAAGGGAAACGATTTGCAAATGCTTCGTCCAGGGACCGAAAGAAGAAAAGGAAAGAAAAACAATGAACAGCAAAAGACAAAGAGTCGACGTTGGCCTGATTCGAACAGACGCTCCCGAAGGAAGTAGATTTCGAGTCTACCGCGTTAACCACTCCGCCACAACGCCTTCTGATACTTGTCAGGGTCAATAATGAAAAATATGAAGGGCTGCCTTGATGCAGTCCGTGGTGGAGAACTGAATGGTGAGATGTGACACGTCATAGGCCGGATACGGTGTCGAATCATAGTTTGGACAGTTCCCTGCAATCGCTCCCCAACACTGCTAGAGAACAACTTTTAGTGTCCAATGTGGCGCAGTCAAAAAGTGTCAGCTCGGCCATCGTCCAAAGAGTGTGCGAGGACTTTTCTGGAAGCCTCGGGAGAAACCTACACTTACCTCCATAGTTTGGGGCAATGCTCTGGGTCTCGTCATAGTGCTTTTCTGGTAACTTCTCGCAGCAATGACGGCCCATCCAACACGCCGAAAGCGAGTGCGGCTTGGGTACGGACTGCACAGCTATCCTGTCATATGTTGAAGCTAGTGGCCCCATCCATTCGGCCAATATTCCCAAGTGTACGCAAGCTTTCCTCATCGTTCATAATGGCTCTGCGATGCATCTCACTACTTAGCCATATGCACATGGGAGATAGCGGAAAACTAATTTCGGCGAAGCCTTGCAGGTGCAATTGCTGAGCCAATAGCCCAATCTTATTTGAAACTTCGGATAAAAGCTCCGAAGCGAGCAGTGCATTCGAGCTACTTGTACGAAATGGGGATATCATGAAGGGTATGTTGATAAACAAAACTACCGAGCCGTCCAACACAACCAACTAGCAACCGAAGACCGGAACCGCTCACGGACTCATCTGCTCTCCCGGCAAAACCCACCCGCTCGCTGTGGCGACTCACCGGTTTATTTCTTGTGGAAGGGTGCGAGGACCTTGGCCTTGAGCTTGTCAGCAACACTGACGCCGGCCGAGCCCTCGGCGCGGGCCTGAGCAGCGGCCTTCTTCTCGTGGTCAATGTCCTTGTGCGTGGCCAACTTTTCTGTCTCGACGGCGTTGCCTGCACCGCCCCGGCCGACATGGTAATCCTGGCCCTCGGTCGAAGGGCGGTAGGCCTCCTCGGGGACGACGTCCTTGTCGGCACGCGGGGCGGGCTCACTGTTGGTGTCGGCAATGTTTCCGGCTCCTGATGCCAGCGAGAGGTCGTAGTCAGTTGAATTGTTCACCAAAGATGTATCGTGCCCGCGACCGTAAGGGATATTGAAGGACTGGTGGAGGGTGAGTGGAGATGAAAGCCCGGCTCTGTGGGCGAGTGCGTCCATGCCGCTTGGCTTGGCGCGATGGATCATGGGGAGTTTGCGCTCGGCGTCCTCGTGCTATTAGGAGTAGAACGTGAGACTCACCTCCTCTACCAGAGCTGAATGCGCCCGTTCCGTGAGAGCCCTCGGGGCCGGCCCTTACGACCTCGCCGTCGACGTACGGAGTATCGTCGGCGGCCATGTTTCCTGCCCCGCCTCTCCCATGCGAGACTTCGGCTGTCATTTTGATTCGAGTGTGTGGGGGGTTGGACGTTGTTCGTTAGGTATCGCGGGCTGGTGGAGTGAGTCGCGGGCAGTGGTGTGGAATGAGGTTCGTCAGTAGAAAACGTTCCCCGGGAAAACAGAAGCGGCGCCTTTATCTAAGATGATTCCTTACTGGATTGGACAATGTAGACCAAGAGAGAGAAGAGAGAGGGAAAAAGCCATACAAGTCAACAAGATACGTCAGTGGTATCATATATAGATAAGACACCTGTTCCTGGCAGCCAGCCATGTGCCCCTCATCACATCATACGGTAAGGCGAGATAAGTGAGGGTGCAAGGTACATGGACTTATCAGTTAGTTCTGCCAGCCGGAACAAGAAAGCAAGCTTACAGATGATTGTGGCATATGGTTAGCGTCTTGGGACCCCTCCCTGGGCGTGGGAGGACTTGCCTTTGTGTCAGGTCGCAACGGTCATGGCTCCGTCTCTTCTGGCTAGGCACGGGGGGAAGTGCAAGCACATGCTGAAGAGTATTCTACCCAACGGCTCGTAGGGACTAGATGACGAATGATATCAGAGCTTGCCCTGATAACCCCCAGTTTACATACCTCAATTTCGTGAGAGCTCTGCAGACCATCCCGCATCGACATCTACACGGCGCCAGTCCAGTGGTACCGAGACATCCCCCCGTTCATTTCATGCCAGTCCTTCTTTGGATTTGGTTGCGCAACAAGATTCCCGAACTTTGTACTTCATTCAACGTTGCGTTGGCACTGCCAGCTTCGCAACTTTGGTCCATGCAGTGCTAGATCCCAAAGGCATCGTAGGTGACTGACAAGAGCTGGACCTTTCTAGTACCATATACCCCTGTCCCTGCCATCTTTGGCTTCGGCGCATTGTCACTTTCCTCCTGGCAGAACCCCGGCTTGACTCTCTAGGTTTCTTGTCGCTTTCATCGCATGTTGCCTATCAGCTCCAAATTGTATGACAACAATTTGTTCAACCCTCCAGCTCACTAGCCGTAATGCAGCGGCCCAGTATCTGCTGCGGACAACAAGATGACGACATCCACTTCAGAGCCAGTGACTCGCTGAGGCTGCGGATGCTCATGGAGCTCAACGTCCTCCAGTTCTTCCTTGGGCCCCTCCCAAAATGTCACGATGCTGTCGTGGTCGGGCGTGACATCTCCACGATCATTATTTTCCAGCCGGACCATCGCTGATGACAGGCCTGGGAGGCAACCTGTTGTGGTCCTATACAGGAATAGCAGCAATGCACATCAGCCGCAACCACCGTTGTTATTGGTTGCAATACAGGCAACCAGCGGGGGCCATACAGGAGGATTCTAACCCTCCGCTACCTAGCATATTACTCACATCTCTGCCATCTCGTCGCTTATGGCCAGATTGACTTCAAAGCCGAAATCAACGAGCGCCCGCGATATCTGATATGGATTTCATCGGGACAGTAACGGGTGTGATCGATCTCTTCGCCGTTGTCCATCAGATCCAGGGGCTATGTGTTAAGTATAAAAACGCGCCCAAGACGGTACGGGATATCATCGATGAGTGTGAATGGACCAAGGCACTTTGCTTCAGTCTTAAAGACCAGCTGCTGCGGACGCCAGATGCATTGCAGCACGGTGGAAAGACGATGTCTCCCCCGGGCGCTCAGCAGAAGACGCCTGGGCACACCCTGCTGTGGTGTTTCGAAAAGAGCATGCAGGGCATCCGCGAGACGCTCAAGGAGTTAGAGGAGGAGGCCACCAAGTTACAGAGTAAGAAGAACTCGCTCATGGGCAAGTGGGACAAGACCAAGTTCCTGTGGAAGGAAGACTTTTTCAAAGACGCTGTGCAGAACGTCAAGGACCAGAGGGACATGGTCACCATTGTCATGTCAGGAGTCCAACTGTAAGTCTGCCGCGGGACGACGAAGAGAGACACGGGAAGGGATACCAGACCCTGAAGCTGACAGAGGCGCAGGCACAAAACCAATACTTTGAGCAACGACCTACAAAGGTTGATCGCAATGCTTGAGACCGGCCAGACGCCAGTCTCCAAATTGGAGCCTCCGGTTGACCAGCTGCAGCCGCCGCCTCAGGCAATCAAGAAGAGCAAGTCGGACACGCAGATCAAGAAGTCGGGAACTCGCATTGCCGAGGATCTTTACACAGCTGTTCGAAGCGGCCGGCTCGTCGACGTCGAGCCCATCCTGTCCCAGGGCGTCTCGGTCGACGTGGCCCTGGGAGATGGCGGAGACAGAGCCGTGCACATCGCCGCCCGCGAGGGATTCCTGCCCATCCTGGATCGTCTGCTTGCCTACGGCGCCAACGTCAACATCCAGAATGTATGGCAAGAAACCCCACTGCACCAAGCGCTGCAGCGGGGGCAAACGCCGACGTCGCTAACACTGCTGTCTAACGGGGCCAGCTGGACCATCACAAACGACAAAGGGGCGACGGCGTTACATTTGGCAGCGAAGAAGTCCGCGTACCTCATCGTTCAGTACTTGCTGGATAGAGGCGCTGACCCAAACGTGCGGGACAAGCAAGGCCAGACACCCCTATTCATGGCGTGCCATCCCGTGGACAAGAACGGCAAGAAGTCCAAGGTGGACGTCAAAGTCATCCGTGCATTGATAGAGCAAGGGGCCGACCCGACAATCATCGGGGCCAACAAGTCAGGCAGTACTCCCGTCCATGAGCTTGCTATGAGTGGGGATGCAGAGGAACTTGAGATTGTGGCCAAGGCGGCGAAGTCGGTCAACCTCCCGTTGGTGGGGGACTGCGAGGGCGCCACGCCTCTTCACCTCGCCGTCAGGAACAACCACCCTGAGGCCGTCGATGTCCTGATCAGGCTTGGAGCCAACATCGACGCAGTGCAGACGTCTAAGGACGGCGCGGTGCCGACGGCCTTGTGGCAGGCTGGGTGGAACAAGAACCTGGACATCGCAGCCAAGCTCCTCGAGGCTGGTGCCAACCCCAATTCTAGGGGCAAAGACAAGGCCACCGTCCTACACCTGGCGGTGGCAAGGCGCTGGCCCGAGATGGTGAGGCTTCTCGCTAGGCACAAGGCCGACTTGGACGCCCAGGTGGCGGACAAGAGGAGGCCGCTTCATGCGGCGGTGCTGCAGAAGGACCTCTCCATGCTACGCCTCCTGCTTGAGTTGGGTGCTCGTGTCGACAGCAAGGGCGCCCACAGCGCGACGGCCCTCATGGAAGCCGCCCAGTACGGCTTGCTGCCGATGATTCTGCTTCTCATCGAGCACGGGGCCGATTGGTCGTACACGACGCCCCAGGGGTCGGACGCCTTCCTCTGGGCCTGCAGCGGCGGCCATGTGCCCATCGCAAGCTTCCTCCTGGGACGTGGGCGGGATCTGCACAAGATGGCGTCGGGGGACTTCACCGCGCTGCACTACGCGGCGAGGAGGGACCGGGTGGCCTGCGCCAAGTGGCTGCTGGAGCTGGGAATCGACAAATCCATCAGGTCGACGACGGCAAGGGCGATGTTCAAAGCCAAGGGGACTGCGGCCGAGGTTGCCCGGGCCCACGGGGCCGTTGACACGGCGGAGTTTATTGAAAAATACGAGGCAAAGGCAGCATACTAGGTAATTAAGGGCGGAGCAGGACCAAACTCCATTTCGTTCATGCAGACTACACGCGAGAGGAGTTCCTACATTGGTAATGCCTCAACCCATTCCCTTTGTTTCTCGAACCCCCCCCCCCCCCCCCCCCGAGCAAGAACCGTAAACATGGGTTTGTAAGGACGCCCACTCCGTCACGAAACTTCATATCGAACACACCAAAATGAGTCAAACATGTCAAGACGCCCATCGTAAAAGTTTATTCAGTCGAGGCTGCCTCTGAAAGATACTTGCTCTCGTCTATGTAGACCAATGGTCTTTTTCTATGCTTTCGTCCAGTTGCGTTGCCCCCCGTTCCAGACCGCTATGCTAACCCCACAATCGGGGAGGCTCCCTCTGATCGAAGGCCGTGATATTGTCCACGGTTCCCTCCCCTCCGTGTATCTCCTGGAGTTCTTCCGTCTGGAACTACAAAAACAACAAAATCTACCACTTCCGGCCGTGCCTTCTCTCTTCTGTGGATATTACAAGAGTGATGTCTTTCTTACTGCGGTAGTGTCGTGCTATATAACTCAGGACAACGCCTAACAAAGGTAGCTGGTTAATGTGATAACCACTAAAAACTGCCCCTAGCCGCCCGTCTATGCAAATATGTTAAAACAAGCAGCCGCGTGGGAACTAAAGCCTCATGAACATACTATCATGAGGGCGTCATCTGATCCGCCATCATCTTCCGAACCTCCTTCTCCAAGTTTTCCTCTGCGTTCTTGTCTTCCACGTCTTCCACTGCGCCGGTGACCTTTTCAGCGAGCTCAATTTTCTTCTGACATGCCTTGTAGATGAGCTCTTCGATGGTGTGAGCCGTCAAAAGACGGATGACCTCGACGTCACGGGTCTGACCCAGACGATGAGCGCGGTTCTCGGCTTGGATGTCGTCTTGCGGATTGTCGGACTGGTCGAAGATGATGATCTTGTTTGCTGACGTCAAGTTGATGCCGGTACCGCCGGCACCGGTCGTGAGCAGGAAAGCAGTGATATCGATGTCCTTGTTGAAGTCGTCAATCAGGTCCTGACGCTCTCCAACGCTAGTTTGGCCGTACAGAACACAGTGTTTGATCCCATCGGTATGGAGGACCTCGCGAAGGATCTCGATGACCTTTGCAAATTTGCTGAAAACCAAAACGCGATCGCCGTTGTCACGGTATTGATGAATGAGTTGGAGCAGCTTAGTGACTTTGCCGCTATCCATCCAAGAACCTTCAGGTACATCAAGGTGCCTGATGCAGGCATAGTCGCGACACCAGAGGTGTAATTCAAAGTCAGATGAATTCTTCAGCTCCCCAATCAAGTGGTCGAGCCGCGGCTGTTGCAGCTCCGATTGAGGCACATCTCTCATCAGTATCTTGGCCATCTGTTCAACCTTCTTGTTGTCAAAATATCGCCGGAAGAGTTGGGGGTGAATGGCAGCCTTTCGAAGTTGCATCCAGCTGTTGTTCTGGTCGCTCTGGCGTCCGGTATTTGTCTTCTTGGCCGGACCGGCCTTGAAGAGACGCTCGTACTCCTCGTACAGCTCTTTCTGCACCGGCGCCAGGTCGCAATATGCCACGTTGCAGGTCTTGGATGGCATGTCGGACAGCACCTGCTGCTTGCGGCGTTGCAAGATAAAAGGCTCAAGAATGGTCCTGGCTCGGCTGACACGTTCTCCGTATAGGAAGGCACCGTTGTTGACGTCACGAATAGTAACCTTTTGACTGAACATGTACTGGAGTTGATCCATCCGGCCACTGAACTGCTTCGGGTCGATAAAATTCAAAAGAGAGAGCATCTCCATCAAGTTGTTCTGGACAGGAGTGCCGGTGAGTAGCATCCTCCAACGAGCTTTGATTCTGATGAGGTCTTTGTAGATCTTCGTTTTGGGGTTCTTCATTTTGTGACCTTCGTCAAAGATTGCAGCAGCGGGCTGAAGCTCTCGGAGAGCCTCCAGATCATCCTCGGAACCAACTTGCGTGTACGTCGTCAAGACAACGTGGTAGTCGCCGGGGTTGTCAAGCATTTCGTATGCAATGTCCCTGCGCTCGGCTTGGGGACCTTGGTAGGCAAGAACCGAAAGACCAGGGGCAAAGCGCTGGAACTCAACCATCCAGTTGGAAAAGGTTGATGGCGGCACAACGACGAGATTGGGCCAGGGTCGGTCGCCCCGTCCAGTCTCTTCGTAATTCTCCACGAGATGACAGATCAAAGAGATGACCTGACAAGTTTTGCCCAGACCCATTTCATCGGCCAGAATGCATCCGTAACCACTGTTGTATAGAAGGGACATCCAGTTCAGACCAAACACCTGAAAGGGACGCATAGTGCAGTGGCCCTCCATCATTTTCGGTTGGCATGGAATCGGGGGCTCCGAAAGCTTCTGGCCCTGGAAGCTTGTCGGCGTCAGGGGCATATCATTCTTGGCCTGGGAACTCTGGGAGCTCCGTTTCTGCCCCTTGACGTCGAGATCCCAGAGGCTGATCTCTTGCTTGACCTTGTTCGCCTTCTTCTCGCAATCGGCTACAACCTCGTCAATGGCGTTGACGCTGCGAGTAAACTCCATGATCGCGTCAACTAGTGTCTCTCCGATCGCGACCCTGGGCTTCCGGCCGCGCGCGCCTGATTTCTTGAGGACAGTCACGGCCTGAACCTCGTCGATGGTGTCGAAGGGTCTCTTAGTCTCAATGACTCTGAGCTCGTCCAGTTTGATATTTGTCATGGCTGACAGATCCTCGATGGAGCTGCTGTTGATAGCCTGAAGAGCCTTGTCATGCAAACTCTCTTTCACCGCCTCGTTCACTTCATCCTCGTTATCAAAGTCCTCGTCTTCATTGTCATCTGGGATGACGATTGGCTCGTCCAACCTCTCGTCCGCGAGCTCGTCCAACGTCGGTTCAATTTCCTGGATGTGTTGCGATGCGATAGGAGATCGGTCGGGGCGACGACCTTGTATCAAGCGCCGGCGCTTTGGCTTGGATGGCGAGGGCGTGGTACTTCGTGAAGGGGTTGGCAGGCTTGGGGTATGGCGGCCAAGCAGTTTCGGTTTACTAGGCTCGTCATATCGACTGATTTTTCGCTCCAGGCTCACTGGTCTTTCATTTCCCACGGTGATGGCTGGTTTCTTACAACTCAGTAGGGGGTTGGCCTTGGGCTTCAGATGACGAGCCTCCAACAAGTAGTTGATTGCATCCTCAACGTTATTGTGGCATGCGGTCAGTGCCTCCTTGCAGAATTGAACCGGCATTGTACTGCCGAGAGCCTGGGAGACTTGTTCAATTTTCTTCTGCAGCTTGTCCACAGGGATGTATTCGAAGTTGGTGACATGTCTCTTGAACGAAGTCCGGGCGATGTTCTCACGAGAACTGCGGTTGTTCTCGTCGTCTGAAGAGTCCACAATAATGGGTTCCTCCGAGGGTCTTTTCAGCGACCTCGGGGTCGGCTGTGACTTTGGGGGCGGCTGGAAACGCGAGCCCGGGGGCACGAGACGCGAGAAGTAGCTCGAGATGGTAGACGTCTTGTCCGGCTGAAAAGGCGACGAAGCGGGGACCTCGATAACCGAGCGCGAAGAAGGGGAGGAGGACAGATCGGAATGCGGCTTTGACGGGGACGCAAGTGAGGTCCGGTTGACTATCTGCGTGGCTTGTGTCTGGAACGGCGAGCAAGGAATCGTCTCGTCGGCGAGCTCGTCGGTATCGTCACTGCGACGGGTGCCTCTGATAGGCGACGTGCCTATAGCCGAGCTGCCCACTGGAGGCGAAGAGCTCAGGCTCAAGTTGATAACCATGGCTCGTGTGGGTTTTGCAGTGGTTGAAAGAGAGCGATCACCAAGTGACGTGAAGAGGCGAACAATGGTCGAGTGACAATGGTGGGGGGTGGGGCCGTTGTCCAGCAAAGAAATAAATCTCGAGGTTTCGGTTGTATAAGAAGATCTGTCGTTCGTTTGAATTCATGAAGGCTAAATTGGAAGAGATCGCAGAGAAAGAGCAGATAGATGTTGGGTAAGTACGGCCATCCAACTGTGGAAAGACCTTCTAAGCAGGAGCGGTCGAGATTTTGAACGGGCGGCAGCGTCCCTAGAGTGCGATTTTTCTGGGGCAGATCGTCTTTCACCACCCCAGTCCGTTGACACGGGGAAACGAGAAGACGCGCTTGGACAGAAGCCCGAAGCGCGTTCGCACGTGGTTGGCGTCATCAATTAAGGGCACTGTGCGGGGCTTCGCTGGTTTGAACTGTAAACGCTGTCTTTCGACTGGCGTCTCACTTTTGACTGGTTCGTAGGCCATGCTCAGTGAGCGGGACCGTCAAATCACAACCTCAACATCTATCAATAACCAGTCTCCTGCAGCCTTACCTTGCCGACGAGCCCGGTTCACCGGTGATTCAGAATTCTGTACGGGCTTCACGTCATTCTCTGGCATTGTAGGACTTGTGCTCACTCATCGCATGTCGTTGTCCAGCCCAGTTGTCACATCCGGCACTCTTCACATACATTCCATATCAGGTTCCAGTGGAAGTACAATGGCGACGCGACGAATTGTTGCCTCGGAGAAGACGATTCTCGAGAAGGACGATGTGGTCGGCTCCAGCCCTGCCGCTGGCGACAAGTCCAACATCACTCCCGCCGTGCCGATGGAGGTCATCATGAAACTCCTCGGATTTACCTTTGCCATGATCGTCCTACCTATCGGCACGTACTTTGCTACGGTCGACTTCCTATTCAGAGGTGGGTTACATAGATACGCCGAGCTTTTCTCTGGCCCAAGAGACCCGGCCTAGCTATGACTAACGATCGTGCCAGGCAACTCAACTTTTGCAGGAGCCCTGGCCGCGGTTATGGCCAATGTGGTCCTGATCGGCTACATCGTTGTTGCCATGAAGGAGGACCAGAGCGATCAATTGGAAGCTAAGAAGGAAGCGAAGAAGGACCGCTGAATCATGAGCATCATACTTACGACGAAACGTCTTTGGTTGTCTGAGGTAACGGTATGGAATGAAACGAGTGTCATCAAAAATGTGGCATGTCATCATCACCCCTCATGGGTGACATGCGCTGGAATCTGAGTAAAGTAACATGCCATGTTGCTCAAGTCGAAGTACCATCTCCAAGGGGTTTATGGGCTCTTTCCAGCCTTCGTTTTGAGAACCATTGCGGAACCGTGAAAAAGTCATAATTAAGATTGCCGTATGTCTAGAGCTCCGCAGCGGGAGGCCATCATAAATGAACCCAAAATAAAAGCCCGTTCATAACCCGACCATCAACCATGGCCACCCATACCTTCGTCATACGAATCGTGTGCATGTACTTTGATCCAACGCCATTATACCGCTGTCTTAGAATCAAGCAAAAAAATGATCATGCTTGAGAAGCAATTTCAATCACCTGTCCCTTCCTCAGTGGAGGCCCCTTCCTATCGGATGGAGAAAAATGCCCGGTGTCTCCAGACTGACACGTAGAAGGCCCCCCTATATGATGATCCTCGCCTAAAGTACCGTATCGCGTCCAGAATGTAGAAAATTGGGGTATCGACAAAGTAAAGACGAAAACCAGGTCATGTCTCGTGCATCTCGTTCCTCAGGATGCCTTGCTGAATCTGCGGGAAAACCAGCTTTTCCGCTTGACCGGCGCTTCTGGTCGTTGCTGCGGCTGCTGCTGTTTTTGCTGAGGTGGAGCCGCGACCGGTCTCCGCAGCACATTGGCGCCCTTGTCGGAAATCTGAGGGCCTTGTTTCACAGAGGAATGAGCGTGGCCTTTGTCGCTCTGCAGACCGTTCGGTGTACCATTCTCGTGATTGAAGGAAGGTGGTTGATAAGATTGCCCCTGGGCGAAATCGATACCGTAGTCGTTGACGGGCTGAGGCTTGGGGGCTGGGGCTCGCTCGATGGAACTGTTGTCGCTACTAGTCGGGTCGGTATGATAGCCGGCATGCTCTGCCGAGGTTCCGCTTCCGGCTGCCGACGTGACAGTTTCGTACGAGCGGTCCTTGTTAGGGAGAGGATAGATGTTCTGGTCGCCACGACCAAAGCCATTCATGTGCGGGTCGGCCTGTGTCCTGGGTACTCTCTGACGGTAGGGAACGTTGCCATTGTGGTATCCTCCGCCACCACCGCCGCCGTTGTGGTACGGGTCATAATAGCTCTGGCGGTTGGATGCAACCTCGAATTGGCCGCTCTCGGGCCTGAAGGAACCGGGGCGCCCGCCATAATAGCTGTCATGGGGATGTCGTGGTCCGCTGGCTGTATCTCTAGGTTAGCCGGGCTGCGTCGCCCACATTGCCAATATGAATTTTCTACATACTAGCATAGTAACTGCTCCGCCGGTTCCATGTCGCAACAGACTCGGCGTCTGAGCGGTATGATTGGCGGCGGTCACGGTCGCGGTAGCCTCCGTCAATGGCAGCTTCGAAACTACGGATAGTATCCAGAGGTCGCTCCCATCGACTACGAGTCGGGTTGGATCGGTCGGGCTCGGCTAGTGTCAAACGTTAGGCGTGCCGTTTTGAATATTCAGATTAGACTTACTGATGGGGTTGCCGGTTGTGTCCTTGTGCTGGATGGCACGCAACGGCGCCAGGGAGGTTTTCGTCATTGCCTGAACGGCGGCTGTAGCAGTCGTCAGTCAGACTTGTACTTTGAGGGCTTTTGTAAACAGCAGAGACTTACAAGGTTCGGCCTCGCTCATGGCGACGGTGGGATCAGCTTTGCTGTGTAATCTCTTTGCTTCCTTCTCTTGATGACTCTCGTGTAAGTCAATCTTGTTATGACTCCCCGAGCTCTTGTGAGACTTGTTTGACTGGAAACTGAATGTTCTGGGTCGTCTATGGGGAGACTGCGGTTGCTTCTGTGCCGGGCTTTGGGTTCGAGGTTGAGCGCGAGTCGGTGGTCCTGCAAGCGGCGGCGGCGGCTGGTCGTACTGGTAGTGTTGGTAGGAGGGAATATGTGCTGACTCGTCGTACGAGTCGGCGGCTTGGTCGTGGTAAAATTGTTGGTTTGGCTGCTGGTGCTGGGGAGGCAGCGCGGGAAGTGGATGATGCTCTGCCATGGCGGGCGACTGGGGGAGGGTGCTACTTTAATCAATCTGTCTTGCAAAGCGGTGGACGCAATGGGTGCGGGCGTAGTATCGGCGTGCAAGGTCGTCGATGAATGGATACGCAATTGCGTGCCTTATCGCGGATCAGCAAGGGGACGAAGTGGGCGGGCGGCTCAAAGTCAGTGGCTAGAGAAGCGGCCAAGGTCGTGTTTTCCAGGGGGGCAGCGTGCGATGATGGGGTGTAGAGTGGACCGTGGGATGGGGCAGATTCAGAATGGTGGAAGGGTGTGTCTGATTGAGGCGTGTGTATGTTTCCACCGACTGCTGGGATTGAAAGTGGATGCAGTACCTAGCAAAGAATAGTGTAAGCCGTATGCCGGGCCGTTCCCAATGAGCCACTTGTTTGGTGATGGGTGATTGTGTTGTGAAGTCTCGGAGGAAGGGAGAATGACCGAGAGATGGAAAAGCTTGGAGTATAGTTTCCCCCCCCCCTTCTTTGGAGACGATGTCGCAAGGAGGCGGAAAAGCAGGGAAGTGAGTGTCTCGAATGTGGCTGGGGGGATGTGAGTTGGCAAAAGACCCGGATGAAGCTGTTTGTATGGCTGGTGTGTTATTCGCTGTGTCAAGCAGGAAGGAACGGCCGAGTAACAACAGCAGCTTCGACTACCTAGCAACCCCGAAAATACCACAGTGACAACGACGGTGCAAGGCGCGGATGTACGCTAAGGTGCAAGTGCAGGTGCAGGTGGAGGTGCAGGTAGTGCTCACGGACAATCCAATACGTACCTATGATTCCCCCCTTTCCTTGCCTTTCTGGCTGATTTTTGACCCAGAGATTTGCTGCAAGCTGCAACACAAGGAGATGGAGACAGGAGGGAGTCTGTGAGCTGGATTCTGATGCCGGATGGGGGCGACTTCGGGCGAGCGACGCCAGGATGTTTGCTGGAAGGTGCGCTAGGACGAGCTGCCTTGGGGCGTTGCAGGGGGAAGTAGCGGCCACAAAGAGTTAAGCGTCTCGTCTACGGAGTACTTCCTTCCTTTTTTTTTTTTTTGTCTTTTTTCTTTTTCAATTGGGTCGAGCACTAGAGTCGGATCCGGTACGTAGAGTGGAAGGGTAGGGAAAGTGTGGTCTCTTGGGGGTTGGGGTCGCCTGGGGAGTGTTGGGGGAGGGGGGTGTAAGCGGGTCGATGCGTGCGCTATCCGTATTGGCGATATGATTTATCGGCTTTTTATCCGTCCGGTGTTGTTTAGGTAGGTAGTTGGCCGTCTCGTCTTCTGACGGTCCTTTTCGTCCTTTCCAGTCCACTTCAGTTCAGCACTGACTGATTGTCGATGTCGGTGCAGCAATTGTCAAAAGGTAGTATTGTTGTCCCTTCTTTGTTTCTTTCTACTCGTAACGGCAGTTGCAATGTAAGCAGGGTATCCGAAAAGTCGTGTGTTCCAGTGACCGAGATGCGCATCCGCTATAATGATGCCTATTTGCTACCCACACTTTCTTAACAACCCGCCGATACGGGTGGCAGCTTTGTCCAGAGCTTTCGTAACAGTGTGCGAGTAAACTGGGTAATCTGTTTGACGTTGCCGTTAATCAGTGGTCGAATGCATGCGACGTCGCGTTTGCAGGCGGAGGGGTGGATTAAGAGAGGGGGTAAGTACCGTAGGTGGTGGGTGATGGGACCCCAGCAGAATAGAGTCAGTCAGTCGATCCTTTCTCGCCTGAAGCAATGCCAATGCCAATAGCGGTGCAGCGCAATGGAAAATGCTATGATGTCCGAATGGCCAAATCCAATGGGCAAAACGGGTCGAAAGGAAAGCCGCCCCTGATTGGTATTGATCGATAGTGATTCGATATGCTGACGTCAAGCAGCAGTAGTCGTCGCGTGTTTCAGAGCGCCTTCGCGTGGTAAGTTTAGTAGTCGATGGGCTTGTAGTTCGAGGGTACGAGTTTGGCTCCTCCCTTTACCTACTTGCTAGCCTGGTCGGTAGTGAGCGTGTATTTTCCTGTCGGTCCTTCCCTTTCAGTCCTTGGCCAGATGCGTCTGAGTTGTGTCTGGGGTGGAATGGAACAATGTGGATCGGATGATGGGTGGATGCGCTTGGCAGTATTCTGGCTTTCTTGGTGTCAGCCAACTTATCCGTACATTCATTCACCTTTCTGCTGCCGCGGCTGCAGTATGCAGTCCAGCGAACAGTCAACAAGCCCATGTCTCTGACCTTTTCATCCCACGTCGGTTCCAACGCTATGCACCGTGGCACAGGTCCAGGCGACGCCGCAAACCGGGCAGCCTGCAGATAGTGGATGGGGCTGAAAGAGATTCCTACCTCTGTGCGCACCAGAGTTTTCCCTCCAATATTGCTTGCTGTTTTTGCTATCGTAGGTCGATGACCGGGTTGCCGGGTGTTGCGGCGGAGTGAAGTTGGCCAAGTTGCCCTCAGGTATATATGATGGGGCGCCTCCGAGATTGGAACGGCGTCAATAGTGTCCAAGGCCGTGCTGGTTCGGCAAATCCCAAGAATAAGGATTGAAAAAAGTAAAATGACGAAACAGACGCCAATCTCAAGGGACAGGGGTCATCTGTTGACGACCGAAGCGGCTTCAACCCGAATAAAAGACAAGACGAAAGAAAGCTTGTGACGTTCCGTGACTAGCGATGGCTGGCTCGAGATATGAACGAGTCGGAAGGTGAGAGAGTCAAGTGTCGCTGCGCAACGTGGCGGGTCAATCTTGAGGTCGTGAATCAACGAGGCGAGACTTTCATGAAAGCGCAAATATTGCTAGAGTATCAAACCAAACCCAAAAACGAAAAGGAAAAAAAGATTGCAGCCAGAATGTGGCGGGAGGCCGTCAGTATCTATACGAGCCTCCGATCCAACCGGGCCAACGAGCGAAGAGACAACCCGGACTGGACGTGGGTGTGTGTGACTGGCGGAAGCATGAACGAGCACGATGGTGGGTAGGTAGTGACCAGTCTATGATGAACAATATACCTACCTAGAGGGCTTTGAGTAAAACCCTACGGGAGGTGTGGCCTGTTCCGCCGTGGCATGGTACAGCATGGCATGGCGACAACATTCTGAAGCTCACAGTGATCGTCGGGGACGTCACTTGGATACTAGCCAAGGGAAGCCAGACAGAAGTACGTCGACACAGGTATGTTTGAGTACCTTTCCCCTCACGGAACCACTGCAGAGTGCCTTCCTCTCTTGCGTTTACCACCGCCTTGGTACCTCTGCCTACCTTCCATCAGAAACCAACTAGTGTTAGGTAGGGAACGATCAAGGGATGCGCCCTGGCGACAAGATACCATGACACTTAGAACCAATGGCCCAACTGGGCTGTGTATGGTTTCAATTGCCGGATCTTCCGTTCCTAGAATAACAGGCGACCGAAGGCGACGGAACCAGAACCTGGCCAGGGGTTCAGAATCGAAGGAAACCATTGAACCAGGGCGCAGCCGGTGACCGTCAGATGCTCGAACGTTCTCAGGGCCCCACGGCGTGACGGCCTCTCTGGAAGCACGGCGGTACGACCGGCACGACTGGCTGGAAAGCCTCAATGTACGACCCGGAGGCAGAGGAAATGGGAGGCCAGGTCTTGCATTCCCCATTCCATTCTGTCAAACATGGGAGGTGAGCACAGTCAAGCATTGGCATGAGGGAGGCATGAGGGAGGGGTGCGGAGGCTGGTGGGGGATGGGGGCCGGGGAATCCTACCCTGTAGGTGGGTAGGTAGGTAGGTAGGTAGGTAGTGGAAGTCCTTCATTACGCGTTTCGCCCCTCATCGACCATTCCACCCCGTCCTCCGCTTGAAATGAGATCCACGAAGTTCCGTCCAGAACTTTAGCGCCCGTCCTCCCCGATCAACCACTGCCGGCTGCCTCAACCACGACTGAGGGCAACAAGACACGGTACATGAACAACCAGGTTACCATGGGTAGAGACAGACTGGGGCAGGCCAGGAGGCAGAACGAAACACGGCAGGATAGCCACCAATGCTCACGGTATCCGGCCGCGTCGGTTGGTTCCTCTGGCTCTCCTTGTAAGATACTCCAAGCCCCCCATTCTTGGCCGTGTACATGGTTCTCTGCTTCATTGGGTAACGACGATGGCGTGCGCATGAGAGACATGCGTCCGTCGGGGCGGCTGTACGACAGCTCGAGTCTGAAACTTGTTTGCCTTTGCATCCATCCATCAAGCAGCAGCTAACGGCAATCCTTCCTGCCCCCTCAATGCCATTCCATTGTTCATTCGTGGGTTCAGTCAGTCAGCCAGCCAGGAAACAGTCAGTCAGTTAGTTAGTCGGCTGGTTAATCAGCGGGACCTTTCTTGCGCTGAGGCTCGATTGCGACTCATGCTCGCTATTTTTTCTGGCACAATATGTCAAACATCTCCAGCTAAGTGTTTTTTTTTTTGTATGTACTTCGGTGGCATAATCACCACCCATGAGGTCCGAACTGGCGGCATGTCGAAGGACCCTGAAGACCGAATACATGCAAACATCTGAATTGAACATCATATATGGGTGGGGCAAGGATGATGCCCGTCCCACCGCCTCTTCTTTTTCGGTTTGCCACGGACACTATGTACAATGTACACTACGACGCGTATTGTACGAGTGCCTACTAGTAGTGTATATAATTGGTGTGTCTTTATTTGAATGCCCCGGCTTCAGTCTTGGGGGAAGATATCGACCACATCTGCAAAAAGGTGGGCTTCGCGTCCAACGGTCATGCCATGGTGCAGTGCATGCTACGAGGTCTACTTGTACCCGAGATTCCGAGCTCTCGACTTGGCAGCCGCTATACGACCGCATGGAGAGAAAAATAGTCTTCAGCTTTAGTTGTGTGGTTGTCAACACCCGCGGGTTCCATATTGCGTGGCTGAGCTTCGCCTCCATTAGATCGGCGGTCATGGCGCTGATCGAAAGCCTATCGTACGCGCACAGCGAATAATGATGTGGACGTGGCTTACGTAGTGCGTCCGCTTGCCACGGTGCCTCCCATAGACACGGTAGTACTAGGTGCATGTAGTGTACTTCGTAATGGGCGGTTTCTAGAGTCCATGTCCGGTGCCACGACGATGCAGACCAGTCTGTTTAGGTACTCAACCATGCTGAGTATCCGCACCTGCAGTTCCCGACCCGTCGTCAGGGATCCCCGTTCCGAGCTGTCAAGCTCAATAACATCTCCCCTCTCCCCCTTGTACATCGTATCGTATTTGGGCGCTCTTTCCCACCTCTCATCACAAGTACCCTCCATCATTATCCAACTTGGCTGGGTGTGACCGGTTTTTGGTGGCTCGAGCTTCTGGAAAATACTCCATGTTTCCACCGATCAGCCATCACACCAACAGCCTGCAAAAGATCCAGACTTCCCCAGTCAAACCTGTTGTAGAAAATAGAAAACATCCGCTGACTGGCTGTTGATGTCCAGGATATTGTCCAGAACCTCACTGGCTCGGACATCGACATCATCGAAGATGGCCATGGCCCCACGGGCAACCTTCTGCTGATGATGCCTCCTTTCGAATTGGATGAGGTGATTTGCCATTCTCGTCTTACCAACCTCGGTGAAGAATAGCTTAGGTATATGTACATTGGCCTTGCACGACGCCGACACGGCCGGACTTTCCGGCGACAGGTATGATGGATACAGAGCAGCAATATAAGCTAGCGGCCATCCGTTTGTTGCGCAAGAACCGACTCGAGCTACGGTGCCCTCCCGCTGTTCCTTGGAACCAATCATTTGTCAACACGCAGGCTCGGTCGGCTCCCGCCAACCCTCCGTCTTTCTTGGAACCACGCAAATTCGGGCTTTTCTTCTTTTTTTTTTTTTTCCTACCCCGGCACACTACATACGTGACAAGTATCCATACATGTTAGGGACGGCTTTACTTCCGGTACCCTGGCCAGGCACCTCAAACTACGATGCTATCCGGCCGAAGTTTTTTCCCCTGTTAGGTAACTAATGCCCACCCCCCTACTACAGAACTTCACTTTTGTGAATATCCCCCCTCTATCATCATGTCAGCTATGGGAAAAAACTTACCCCTGCCACCCTGTATGATATACATTGTACATTGTACATAGTAGGGAAGCCTGTTTCACGCACTACGCCTATCAAGGGTTCCTTGCTCGGAGACTCACTCTGCAATTAGGATTGTCCTTCCTCGTTTACCACTACTCGTTTGCAATTCGACTCGTGTTCGCCTTGTCCGGAACTTTTCGCTCGGTCTCGGTCGCAGTAACCACCTCACCAATTCACTTGTCCATTGGTTGGCACCATTTTCCATCGATTTCTCTCCGCGATTACAGTAGGCATGGCAACCAACCAGGCACCAATTCAGTTACCAGGTCGCTTCAGGCACCCAGCAACCCAACCAGCTTAGGACTGGTTAATGAGAGCGGGAGCACGGCGGGTAGGAGAACAGATCTCGATCACGCTTCATGGCGGAAGTGGCGGGCGGTACTTGAGTGCTCAGGTACCTTCTAGTGGCTGCATCTGCTAGTCTTGGCGAAGTGACCGGGGATGGGACAGAAACTAAACCTTGGCATCCGGCCTTTCCCTCCTTACCTCAACCCGACAGGTTCTTTCTATCTTATCTTTGCCTCCTTCTTAAGCCCTTCCTGAAACTACTGTACTCTTGTAAGACAGAGTGCCGCGACGCCTGGCATCTGGGAACTGGGCCTCTTATCCTGGCTAGTCATTATCTCTCAGACCTTTGGGCCCAGACCCCGAAGTTGTCCATCACCTCACGAGATATCTGCCGGCCCTCTGACACCGAACCCTTACCCCCCCTAATTCCTTTTGACTCCTCAGTCTCCCGGTGTTTGGGACAACTTGGGACGAAGTGACTTATCCAGGTTCCCCATGCGTTTCCATGACAGATTTAAAGGGATATCGAGACATCCTCGCTCGCCCTACTTTTGCCGCCGTCCTCTGGAAGCCCAACTTGCCGAATTGAGTTGATCTGATTATTTACGACTAAGGATATGATGCACTGACTACAGTACTTCACCCATACTGAGACTAGGTTTTCCTTCTCAGACGAAACGTGACAATATTGGTGAGGGAGCAGAGAAATCAGCTGCCGCGTCCGGTTACGGATTCCGAGAGCTTCAGTCGCATGATTCCAGAGGTTGAACCGGCGAGGCTTCTGCTACGCAACCGAGGCAGTCGGTTTGCGCAAAATCTTACGCTTGTTTGGAGTTGGTAATCTCCGAGTAGTGTGCTCGGCTCTCGTGAACTATCCACTAGTCAACCATCCATCACACCATGCATCGCCCGCCGCTGTTCCTGGCCCGATGTCGTACGGGTCCGCATCTAGCTTGTAGTTCGAGTTGTGTCGGCTTGAAGTTGGCTGATAGAGCAAGGGCTTGGCTTGCCAATTCGTCACCCGCGTCTCCGCTCTTCAGTTGAGAAGTTGACAATGATTAGTTGCTACCCGTCCTGCATAATAATATTAAGGAAGTCGTGTTTTCTCGAGGAACTTGTGGACGTTGAACCTACGCGGAACTATTATACTACCTAAGATAACGACTTACACCCGATCCGCACACTAGATGGGCTGGACGCCACACCCTCAGCATCCGGTGGACGTCCTTGTTATTATGCTATCATTTTTTGAATCCCTCCCTCGTAGTCCTGCTGGGTTCGCTCATCAACTCGTTCTCATGCTGGGTTGATGGAAGATGGGATGCGCTCGAGGAGGTGAGGATGGGAGAAGGGCTAAGGGGTCGGAATGGCGCAGCGGTTGTGTCCATCTATATGATTTCTCCGTCCTCCGCCATGCGCTGACCATGAGCGTGTGGTAAGTCTTTCTCAACTCATGAGCGGGGTAGATAACTTGCTCGCGCTAGGAAAGAAAGGATAATATCAGGTGAGATTTGCGCAGGAACTCTTGGGCAAAGACTTGCTGAAGAATATAATAGCATATGTGTGGTCTTGCTCCGACACCAAGCAAATAAAAAGGTCGTTTGCTTTCGCAGACTTCAGATGGTGATTGTACCTTCGAGACACCTTCCGGCCTACGCCATGACACCGACAGATACCCTTGGCGTGGGATGGCGGCCTCGAGACGATCAACAGGCTCTCCTGGAAACATCATCCACAATCAGTGAGCTTAAACTAATATAGGAAACCATGATGGCCTTTATCTCCTCGAAGTCACATGTGCTAGCTCCTTAGACTTGGCTGGGTAATCTCCTGCAGATAGGCATCCCCATTATTCACGCCTCAACATTAGCGTTCGACACCTTGATGGAATAATCTCTGCCTCATGAGAGACCACCACGAGGCGGTAGACCAGGTCAGGTGTTTTAGCAGCTATTGAGTGGTTCTGGAGTGTCTGCGGGAACGCCCCGAATCGCGTGTGCAGCAATGTGCTTTCAGGGAGCCGTAATCAGCTTATAATCTGAACACTGGAAGGTGGACGGCAAGGACAGCATCTATTCTTATCCTCCGGGAGTCCAATCAAGTGTTCGTTTAGACCAGACGGTTAGAACTGTATCCGAGGTTATGAGGTAAGCGAACAACAACGAATCGACGGCCATTGAATGCCCTCACTGTCCTTAATTGCTGATCATCTACAATTACGCGGGGAAAAGGGCTGAGACAATGATGGAAGAAGGGACGGTAGGGCGGCAATGCTCGATATATCTGCAATGTCTATGACAGTCGGTGGAATCAATATGGTACAGACTCATAAACAAGCCATGTGATGTACTTTGAACTTATGATTTGGTTTCCTCGTAGGGGTCAACGCACCTCCGCCAATGTCACAAGACATATACCGGGCAAGTCACCACATCTCAGTACGGCATGCTTCATTTCACTAGGTAGGACGGATAGCTCCTCAAAAGGTAAAAGACACACCCTGTTTCCTCGCTGGCCACTCCGAGGGCGACATCTGTTGTGTAGAAAGCCCGTGGCAACGAAACTTGATAAACAGACTTCTCGCAAACAAAATGCCTGTCATCTTGCTCCATGCTCAACCAGACAAGAAGAGTAAGGTTGCTTGACGGCTTCACTTGATTGGTAATTAGATTATGTGTGATGTTGAGGTAGGCGTGACTGGCGTATTCACCCACGGTAATTGTAATTGCTGAAATATGGTAAGGTTTGCTCCCGGTGGTCCTGTCCGAGAAGGCGAGACGGCATCTCCAGCTACATCACCAGCCGGCGTGCGAAGGAGGCCGATCCCTCCGAGGCTTCGTGTCCTCACGATTGCCTCGCATTCGCGCTGACGTCACCGGCATGATGTTTCGACTCACAGGAACATAATCCGGAAACTCAATCTCGGAGGCAGACTCTTCGCTTGATCAGACTTGTGATGCTATATCCCAAATGTAAGACGCGGCGTCGTCAACCCAGATGCTTAACATGAACAGGGCAAGGGCAGACTTTCCCCGGATTCCTCAGCTCGCACAGTCCACATATGGGAAATCCAAGATAACCCCATATCAGCATCACATGAGACAATGGGTGGCATGTCACTGGGCCTGGACTGATGGACAGGGAGCGCAAAGACAATGGCAGAAGTGGCAGGACAGGACTGGGAGGCCGCCGGGTGACTGCTTTCGCAGCACGACATTTGGACTGGGACTGAAACGAGCCGAGGGACTGTTGATCAAGGGGGTCGAAATGGAAGTTGTGCAAAAACCATTGAATACCGTCGCTGAGCCATGTCTTTTAAACACCTGACATTAATGCCGCCCGATCTACCGTTCGTCGTTATCGCGTTTGTGTAGCCGGCCAGCAAAAATCAAGCATGTTGATTTTTTTTCCATTTCCCGTCCTCGAGCCCCCATGCATATAAGGCTACTCTTCAACCCGTACACTGAAAAAAAGACTCTCCTTTTTTGCCAAATCACGCAGAATTCATGTTCCCCATGTCTCAGTTGGTAAAAGGGGAGAGGGTATTTCTCGGCGGGGTGTGCGTTTCGCCTCATGTGTGGTTGTTTGACGAGTTTGATTTGATGCCTTTTTTAGCAAGCAAAGCACTGTGCTTTTACCCTTGCCTTGACCGATGCAACCAATTCAGAATCCATCCTCAATACCAACTCCGTCCGATGATGATGGGCCGTTTAAATCGACGAGGGGTAGAGCATCACGCGAACAGATGCGCCGAAAGAGCGGGTCGGGAGGGGGTTGGAGAACTTGGCGCGGACGACACCAGAGTTGCCTATTCCATCTTGTTAGCTGGGGAGAGCTCGAGATATTGTAGGCGCTTCGATCTGAATGGGGGGCTGCAATTACCGTGAGGGCGGGTGACCTTGCCCCAGATGACGCGGATCTTGGAACCGCGGACCTCCTTCTGAGCCTTGTAGACGTAGGCGATCTTCTTGCCGAGGTAGAAGCTACTCGCTGGTTAGCTGACGATCTGTCCGAGTAGGGGAAAACCACATACTTGGCAGCGTTGGTGTCATCGACTCCCTCGATCTTGATCAAACTCGTCTTGGGGTGGGTAACGTGACGGCTACGCTGGTAGCTGAGGTGACGTCCCCTGTAAGTGAAGGTTAGTCTCGGTCCATTCGGTGTGCGTAAGACTCGCTGCGCATCGTCGTATCGTCGGATAGAATGTCTCGAGGGGATAGAAGGTTCGTGGGATCAATCCACGATGCGTAGTCGGTCGCGGGGAAAATGCGATTTCGGCTTTGGGACTTACTTGACGTATACTGCGAGAAATCAAAGTCAGCTCGAATTCAACAAACAGAGCAACAGGTAATGCGGCATGCGATGCGTGCGAACAGCCCGTCGACATCAAGTATCGTCCAGGGTCAGTTGCGCGGCCGCAATCCACATCGCCAAACTTGCGTTGGAGGCTATTAGGGCAAACAACTCACATCTGTGACCGGCTTCCGAAGGCATTTTGGCGGTGGTTAGTATTCCTCGCTCCAACCAGAAGGGACTCGAGAAAGGAAAGTCAGAGGATGTCTTCACGTAAAAAGACTGGTACTCTGGTCGACGTCGGTTGGGTGCTTCGTGAATAATGCAGGCGGCTCTCGATAGGCTCAACACTGATGCGGAAAGGAAGGTAGGGTAAAGTGACCCTACCTGCCACATGAATTTTTTACCGAAATCTAGACTGGCCAATCAAAGCATATCCACATGCTTATCTCAGCAGCCCCCTTACATGGGGACCATAGGATAAGATGAGTGCCACAGTGCCACAGTCGGGATCACGTGCTGACTGTGGGCTGAGTGGTGTGGCTTGACAGGATCCGTCCAGCGGATGTGGGCTTTGTGTTTCTCCCGGCCCATTCGGCTTTGATACAGGTGCCGACCGGGGGTCCGTGGCTTTAGACGCATCTTTTATTCGCCCGAAGTCTTGCACACCCGGCGGATAAGTCATCTTGCCCGATCGGGAGAAAGTCCGTCCATGACCAATGTGTGCATCATGGAGTCAAGCAACAATGATTACACACACCTGACAATGAAGAAACAGAAACCGGCTGGACCGGAGTTCCAGGATCGGTCAGGGTATCGCTGGAAAGGTTAGGCACTACACCCGCCGAGTTGCGAGACAGTTGCTGGTCCGGCTTCCCAACGCCTCAACCTCAAAGGGTTTTCTGAACAGGCTCGATGTCTATCTAGAGCGTCAAACAACAACAAGACAAAGACAAAGTAGGATGGAAGAGGGGAGAGACACAATCTCACAACCACGCAGAAAATGTGCCAACCCGTTTCCTGCTGAAAACCACACAGTATCAGCCGATCTGCCTGCAATTTGTAACATTCGGACCACTGGGTTGAACCCGACAAAAACTGCTCCGCGGGGCTGCCTGGAGTGGGCTCCGGAGATGCTCTCAAGTGCTTAGGCAGTGGTTGTGGTAATATATGACTGGCGTTGCATAAACCGCGAGCTTCAACGATTGGCACGCCTCGGAGGGGTGGACATGCGGCAATTTCTGGCCGCCAAACACTGCCGGTTTCCAGGACACTGCAGCAGAATTCCGTGCCACAGCTGCATTGGCCAGACTGGTGTGTATGGGGCTTACTATGCAGAACTGCCAGACTCCCACGGTGACAACATTGGAGTTGATGGGATGTTAGGGGGGGCAAGATGCAAAGGAAACGTTCCCAAGCATATCCGCCTCCAGCCGTCATGCAGGCTAGAGGAACAGATACGATGGCTCTCCAATGTAACTGGACCTCAACGATAAATGTCAGAGTGATAGATTTTGTTGCTAGGAGCACTGTTTCACACAGGCTGGCCGACCCACGCCCGCTCCCACCAGCTGTCGCAAATTCCACCCGCCCTCTTCACAGGAAGACGATCTCAGAAGCCGCAAAGTCCGATCGGGAAGCTCGGCGGTGTCCGGCGTTCGGGAGAGAGGGACTGGGACTACCGTCGTAGCAGCTGGAACCGGCGATGGAGCCCAAAGCAAGATCAGGAATGCTCAATGCTGAGCGGTTCAAGGCGTTGGACCCTTTCAGGCCTTGCTATCCGCCCGCCTGAGGTCATAAGTGTGGATATTGTTGACTGAGGGACTGGTCACTTGAGTTGCTAGGCGTCCAAGGGCCGAGAATCCCGCACGTCTGCGTGTGCGTGTGCCTGGCTCGTGCTAAAAGCTGCGCGGAAGACCGACAGGGCCCACGGTCTTTTATTTTTGTCCTTACCCTTTCTTTTCCTCTGATGTTCTTGTGTTTCTGGAGCTCCGGCGCGCTCTGACAGTCGCCGGCTCAATTAATCCTACTGCAACTTGTATACCACGGTATGCCTTGGCTCCTAATCATCCGATGTACATATCCGCGCTGCTCGAGAAGTATGCTTCGGACAGGGGTCTGGCACTTGTCGGGTACGTAGGTATTTTACCATCTTGATCTGTGTATACTATGTTGGTCGCCTCGAGGCCTTGCGGGTGCGGATCGCAACCCGAGGGATGTCTAGGCGGGCCCAGGATGATGGGATGGCGACGCATGCACACCCTACAAGGACCTACGCCAGACGAGATGGGTGCTTTATAATCCACATCCGCCGAAGATACAGACCCTCACCAGTCTGCTTACAAGTTACACTAGTGACGGATGGATTGCCTCTGTGCATCAAACCCAATTTCCCACCACTTAGTCCTATGCCGTTAACGCTGGGACAAATCAAGGACACGGTGGGCATGACCGACTCTGTGCACGCTGGAGCTATGTCAGGAAGCTCTGACTTCTAACCAAGTGCAGAGGGATCTGCTCCAGCTCATATGCATTGCTGATGGCTGGTGGACGCAGTGAGCTTAAGACCGATAGATACGTGTAAATCTGGGATGGCCTCTGCCCTCCCCCCATCCATTGACATCAGCCCTGTTCAAGTTCCGTAGTCAAGCCAGCATGATGAAGTGGATTACCTATCCCGGCGACTTGACTGAGGGGCCTGTTCTGGCAACGAGGCGGCGAAACCCTCTGGGAAATTCATGAACAGCCGCCTGCTCACCAATCCTTCGTCCGTCTCCGTGTGCCCAGCTCTTGATGCTCTCCATAGCTCCGTCAACAGTCCGGTGAGAGCGGGCGTTTTCTGAAGAAGCAATACTTACCTGTGCCAACCCACTTGCCCATCAAGCGAGGCTTGCTCCCTGACCGATTCGCTTCTGGGCGCAAAAAGGCGAGCCGCGGTGCGGTTTGCAGGAACTCGAGTTTTCCACAAGTGTCCAAGTACATACAGTATTTGCCGCGCTATCGCGTAGCGAGGAGGCACGAAGAAGGGGCCTTCGACTGTGAGTAAGCTCCCCCTGGCCTCCTATCCTGCTTTGACAACCCCGGTCTGCACGCTAGGTAGGAGCAGTACGCCGACCTGATCTCAAGCTAAGTGACCCTTTTAGCTGCTAGTGCCAGGTGCGTACCCATAACCTACCCCCATCCACACAGGCCGTATCCCTACCTCGAAGATGAGGTACATCTGTGCTTCGTCATTACTAAATACCCCAATCCATCCGTCCCGGATTCCGCCCAGTACTTCTTTCCAACACCTCCCCAACTCGCTCTTCTGCCTTTTTGCTTGCCGACTTGGTTTCCTGCTGTAGAGGCATATCCACCCGCCTCTTCTCTACACCTCTCACACCAAAAGAACATTCATAGTCGAGCCAGTATTTATCTCCGACTTCCTTCACAATGGCCGACCACACCTCCGCCGCAGCGTATGTCACCCCGCCTTCCTTACCCCACCAAAATGCCCGTATGCTGTTCACTACCACTCCGGAGCCTCACCAAGCATCATCGACTGCTTGGGAATCGACTGTGTCTTGCGAGGCGCAATCGAAATCGGCGTCATCATTTATTCGAGCGCAAATCTAGCTGACACGGGCGCGCCTTCCACAGTTCCATGGAGCTCAAGGAGAACACCGTCATCGTCGTTCTCGGTGCCTCCGGAGACTTGGCGAAAAAGAAGACTGTGAGCAAGCAGGATCCAATCCCTTCATGGCCTGTCAACTTACTGACCTTTATTACAGTATCCGGCGTTGTTCGGTCTGGTACGATATACTGGCTCGCATTGAGATGCCGTACCCGCGGGCTTACCCAGCTAACCAGCGCAACAGTACCGAAACCAGTTCCTTCCCAAGGACATCAAGATTGTCGGATATGCACGCACAAAGATGGACCATGAAGACTACATCCGTCGCATCAGATCCTACATGAAGACCCCCACAAAGGAGATTGAGCAGCAGCTGGATGACTTCTGCAGCCTCTGCACCTACGTCTCCGGCCAGTACGACAAGGACGACTCGTTCTTCAACTTGACCAAGCACCTCGAGGAGCTTGAGCGGGGCAGGCCCGAGACTCACCGTCTCTTCTACATGGCGCTCCCCCCCAGCGTCTTCACCATCGTCTCCCAGCACCTGAAGAAGTGCTGCTACCCCACCAAGGGTATTGCGCGCGTTGTTGTATGTGCCACCTTTGCCCCCATGCTGCTTACGGATTGGCTGACCCCGTGATGACTGCAGATCGAGAAGCCCTTCGGAAAGGATCTTGCCAGCTCCCGCGAGTTGCAGAAGTCCCTAGAGCCGGACTGGAAGGAAGAGGAGCTCTACCGCATTGACCACTACCTAGGCAAGGAGATGGTCAAGAACATTCTTATTCTCCGCTTTGGTAACTCTTTCTTCGGCTCCACCTGGAACAGACAGAACATCGACAACGTTCAGATTACCTTCAAGGAGCCCTTCGGCACCGAAGGCCGTGGCGGCTACTTTGACGAGTTCGGCATCATCCGCGATGTCATGCAGAACCACTTGCTTCAAGTTCTCACCCTGCTAGCCATGGAGCGCCCCATATCCTTCGCCTCCGAGGATATTCGCGATGAGAAGGTGCGCGTCCTCCGTGCCATGCCCGCCATCGAGCCCAAGAATGTTATCATCGGCCAGTACGGCAGGTCTCTGGACGGCAGCAAGCCCTCGTACAAGGAGGACGACACTGTCCCCAAGGACTCGAGGTGTCCCACCTTCTGTGCCCTCGTTGCCTATATCAAGAACGAGCGCTGGGACGGCGTTCCTTTCATCATGAAGGCCGGCAAGGCCCTCAATGAACAGAAGACTGAGATCCGCATCCAATTCAAGGATGTCACGTCGGGTATCTTTAAGGATATTCCCCGCAACGAGCTTGTCATGCGCATCCAGCCCAACGAGAGTGTCTATGTCAAGATGAACTCCAAGTTGCCCGGTCTTAGCATGCAGACTGTCGTCACTGAGCTGGACCTGACCTACCGCCGCCGCTTCTCCGACCTCAAGATTCCGGAGGCTTACGAGTCGCTGATCCTAGACTGCCTCAAGGGCGATCATTCTAACTTTGTCCGTGACGACGAGTTGGACGCTAGCTGGAGAATGTTCACTCCTCTGCTGCACTACCTTGACGACAACAAGGAGATCATTCCCATGGAGTACCCCTACGGTAAAAGTTTCTGCCTACTCTCTGCCCTTGACTTGGTTGCTAATCTGCCCACAGGATCCCGTGGCCCTGCTGTCCTCGACGACTTCACCTCTTCCTATGGCTACAAGTTCAGTGATGCGGCTGGTTACCAGTGGCCCACCACCTCTGCTCAGGCCCCCAACAAGTTGTAAGTCATGTTGTGCGCGTTTAGCGTAGCTATTATACATAGAAGAATTGACCCTAAATGATGTTGTGAACAGCTGAGCCCATCTCCATCACACCACTCCAAAAAAACAAAAAAACAAAAGACAAACCACACTTCAGCCATCGTACCCACAATATTCCCCTACGCCGCTGCCTCTGCTGCATGCGCAACGTATTATATCCATCGAAGGGAGGGCATAGATTTCGAAGAAGACAACATAATCAAGGGAAACCAGAAGGAACACCTGCGGGTGGATACTGGTAGGCCGATAGAAATTTCTGCACTTTGCTTGGCCGGGTCAGGGAGGATAGAAAATCAATGAGATTCACGTTTTCAATGACTTAATTACTTTGTTTCAATTTGTTCCTCTAGGTACTTGACGGTGTTGATTGCGTGTGTATCAGCCGGACATCATGACCTGAGTGATGCGAAGCTCCAGTCACTAGGCTGGCTGGCGAGTCATTCAGGACCGTGGTACCATATTAGTCCCAAGACAAACGTCATTATTCGGGGCTTTCCAACTAATTCGGCCAGTTTTGTGCATTTGATCCTGGTCCAACTTCCTTTGATTGACGATCCAATGAATGCCACGATAGCGGCCTGAAAGTTTCGGCCTCAAAGAGTGTGGCAGCCTAATGAGTATGCCCCTCATCAAGATAGCTACACAGTGACATAAGAGCAGTGGGCATCGCAGGAATGAGATCACCATCCGAAGGATGGCGGAGCTTGCCAGTAGAGAGTTGATAAGATAAGGTTAATTGGTTGGTATAGGTACGTACGGTGGAGTCGTCAGGGACGACTCCACATACCTAGTTGGGGGGGTATGTAAAAGTCACATGACACGTCCAGCCGGATGAACAACAGGGACAGTGACTGCTAGAGCCTGCCCGAGAAAAATGCAGGCTCAGGTAGCACCTTGTCCTCGTTTCCACCTTGCTTGCCTGGCTGGCTGGCTGCACATCGCCATCGCATCACCACCTTCCCAATTGCCCGGTAGTCGACGATTTGATTCTTTTTGCGCCCTCCGCAACCAGTGCCATCTGAACGCCCACGCATTCGAATCTCCGAATAGTAACCCGGCCTCGACTGGCTTTTCTGCGATAAAATCCTGATATCGATATCGCGTTTCCCCCATCAACGATCGACGCTAGGTCGTTTCCACGGATTGCGATTCAATCGCGTTCTCACGACACCACGCTTGCGCTTGCCAACTACATACTTCGACGATCAAACAACACACTTTTGCATCGCGTCTCGCCCAACAACTGCGGTTGCTCAGTTAATGTGATTGCGCTACACTGCCGGCTTGCGCATCCGGCGCTGATGACTGCATCCCGTCTCGCAGCCACCTAGCAACGGGATCGGTCCTTTAACATCCTCCGTCGCTCGCTTACCACGGCCTCTTGGACTATTCGAATTCCTGTCATCTCACAGAGAGGAACAAAGCCAGTCCGTGTTTTGGGGGGCCGGTCGTGAGGCAGGCAACAAGGCAGGAAGGGCCCTCCCCCGATGCCTGGAATCGTCAACATGGAGAATGGAGGTTTGAACGGCACACACCTGAATCATGACAGAAGCATGAAGGCCAACGGTATCAACGGTGGGAAGATGGAGGGCCAACCATCGCCGAACAAGGGCAAGGCACCGGCCGAAACACCAGCGTCAGACAACATTGCGAATGGCGCTCCGGACTCACAGGGCAAGCAGCAATCCCAGATGTCTACCGGCCTTACATTGCAGCAAAAACCGAGGATGAACGACCTACCCGAGGAAATCGTCCACATTACACAGGGATACATCCCATTGTCAATGATCGTGTCGCGACTCGCGCAACGCACCCACGAGGATTTACAGAAAACGATCTTGGACATGGCGGCCATTAAGTGGGCCCCACCTGCTGTGAACGGAAACACACCCCACGGTACTGACGCACCGGACGATATGTCGGAAGGGAACAAGAGAAGGAAGATGCTTATGCTCAAGTTTGCTCAAGATGCGCATTCTAAATGGGTCAAGGCTCTCGTTATCACGGACTGGAGCAGAAACGCAGAGGCTGTCAGCAAGCTCATTGACATCAAGGCGCATATCGACTCCAAGCGAATGCTCTTTGATTTCTGCCAGGACTTGTTGATCGACTTGAAGCGATCCCTCATTTCTGCGCGGCTCCCCAATCCCGACTTGAAGACTGCTTTGCAGGTTCTGACGACTGGTGAAGCGTCATGGATTCCCGAGGTCAGTTAACCCCACCGTACAGCAGAAGTTTCTCTACTAACGCTCTACCACAGCCGGGTTACAATCCGCCGCCACCCCTGACACCGGAAGAACAGCTGAAGTGGATCGACGATCTCAACACCATGCTCTCGTTGCGCCTGAATCTGGACGACTACGACAAGATACCGCATCAGTTCAAGAACTACACCATACAGTCGGGCAGAGTTACTTTCAAGGTGAAGGGTGAGTTTGAGGTGGATTTGACCATCGCCGATGAGGATTTTACGAAGCAGTTTTGGTTCATTGACTTCCGGTTTGCCTTCTCGCCATCCTCGAGCAAGCTTTCCGATGCTCTGGTGTCATACCTCGAGCTAAAGGTCAACGAGATTCTCGGTCAAGACGGCCTAGAGGGATGCTATCGATTCCTCCACGAGTTCGTCCTCACTCACAAGATCAACGAACTCAGACGACAGGCTCTCGAGTTAAGTCGGAGCACATGGACCGGAACGTTGATGGTAGAACCCCTAAACCGAGCTCTGGCCCTCCAGTACTGGACCACTCGGTACGGACCCAATGGGCCCAAGAGCTGGGTCATGGTTGCTGTTAATAGTGCCAAAAAGACCAATGGGCAAACTGATCCAAAACACTCCAGTCGCCTGGTTGCACGATGGTACCGGGACAACAAAGAGGTCCGAGACGTCTTCCTGCCATTCGATGTCGACAACTTGTGCGCTGAGGATTTGCTCAAGACTGCCGTCGCCAGACATGTGGAGCATATTCTCTCTTCCATCCACAACAAACTTTTGTCATATCCCCGGTTCGTGAAGAGGGAGTCTTCCATGACTCTCAAGATCTCACGAACAGAGCCGATGGAATCGTCTTTGAGCATGCAACTAGGCTCGCGAGACAATGTCACCCTTATTATCCAACCGGTGACCGGCTTTGCAGCTATCAAACCTCATACAAAGTACTCACTCAACGGCGAGAACCGTCTCAACTACGGTGGCAAAGATCCTGCTGAGGATGGCGTCACCTGTCTGGAAAACATTCGTTGGGGTTATGTCATCGAAGAGTTCAATCGCAGAGGACGGAGCGTGGGCTGGAGGGCTTGCAAAAGCCCGATTGGAAGTGAAGACATCAAACAAATCATTCGGACTCGCGAGGCCTTCCAGACCATTTTCCTGCAGCGTCAAGGTCTAGGCCAGGAATGGTTTGTCATGGTGTCCTTGAGCCTGAGCGGGGATGAATGGTGGTTGCTTGAAGTGTGAGTTTGCCCTCCTTGAACACTGCTCATAGCGTATGACTGACAAACATAGCGACCGCAACACGCCAGCACGTCCAATCAAGTTTCAAACCAAGCTAGAACTTACCCGAGGGCAACCCGACCTGGATGATGCTTTCTGGTCGAATTTGACTCTCTTCGTTACTGGCATTATCACTCAAGCCACTGATCTGGAAGATCTGCACCAAAGGGAGGTTAAGTACCTGAGGAGAGAGTCAACTAACTACGCATTACCGCAACAAATTCGGCTCCCGTCCCTGCTTCTCAGACTGTCGCAGATACTGCAATCATCCGAGACCAATCTACATAACACATCAAAAGAGGCACCGAACGGGTCCAGCAACCACAATTCATCTTGGGCCCAGGATCAAATTGAGGTTAAGTTCAAGGGGCTTCAACCTCAACCCTCGGGCACACAGGGCCCAGATGGCAACGCGCACTCGGGCGCTGAGGCGCTTGAGAACGTCCGACTCAATACTGTAGTTGACGCTATCGTTCGAGTCAAGGACAAGGCGAAATTTGCGCTGCTAAAGGGTCGCATCGACCGGGACATATGTTTCAACCCTAGGAGGGGCGAGTTCATCTTTCGGATTCGCCAATTGGTTGGGCAACCTATTCTGAGAACTCTGACAACCCACGTCAAGTCCATTGATCGCCTCGTGGGCTTTCTCGAAGCCATGGGCAAGGCACGGGGCGACGTCAAGTGCGAGCGTGTCAGTCTCCGGCAAGTCATTTTCACTTACAGTGACATCAAAATGCCTAGCGAAAGCGACACAATCCAAAAGCCCAAGCGTTGGCGGGTCTCCCTCGACTTGGCTAAGAGCGACATACGGATGTACTTGGAAAGGGGAAACCCGCACGTAAGAGTACTCGATCTACTCACGACTCTTGTCAACACTCAGAATGGTCTCAAAGCAATACTCATTTACATGCCATTATTGCTACCGATTCTCAAAACTCTTGACAACATCGAGTCGAAGTGGGAACCACTGGCAACGACGAACCAAGGTCGTCTAGAGATCTTTGCAAGGACCATCGATTGGATTGCCCTCCGTTACTCTCTGCCTGGACCCAACGGCCAACAGCGAATTCTCGGCCTAGAAATCAGAGGCAAGGTGCGGCGCAGTGAAGTTTGGTGGCATTTCACCCGAGCGACACCGGGCCCGGGCGGGCCACCACCCCCTGAAGAGGAGTTCAACAGGGTTTTGAAGGGGATATGGGAATCTCACGGCGACGGATGGAGGGGTCTCACGACGGGCGCAGCTGCCCTTCCTGGACCTAGCACCATGCAGTTGCTCACGAAGCTCGACGATGCTGTACGAGCATATGCTGTGACCGGTGACATCAGCAAGGCACCCTCCATACAGGGGGCACAGACACAATCGAGCCAGACATTCTCGGCCAGCGAGTCCTTCAGCACGCAGCCCACAAGCGTGAGCCAGGGAAGCAACAGGAGCAGCGGGGGGAGCAAGCAAGCGCCTTTGGTGCTCGACTAGATATTGATCCCGGTGTTCGGTATCGGCATGTGAGCAACAAAAGAAAACAGCAGAGGGCTCGATATGGGGCAACTCACAGCCCGCAGGCGCACATAACCGACCAGCGAGCAAGGTGGAATGCCACCTGTATTTTTTTATTCTTTTCGCTTGTTTTTTTTCTCTTCATCAGTGGTGGCGTCGTGATACCAAGGGAAGGGTACACAGGAGAGTGAGGGACACAGATGGCGCGGATAACGCGCACGCCTTTAAGATAAGACCAACCGCCCACGACTAGTAGAAAGTCGCAACGATACCTCATAAACGTGTAAACTCATCAACGTCGGTGTGCTTTAGTGTCGCATGATGGCTAATTCAATAGCCTCCGCCAGAGAGTACACTAAATGAATTGGCATATCCGGTTTTTGATTTTCATCCGAGAATTCTCGCTCCATCTAAGCTTTTTTATTTCGTCGTAGCGTACAAGTAAGATGTATAATACATGAATGTCTTGGAGAGAGTGCCCCTCAGCCACTCAGCGGAGGTAGTTCCTCCACCCGATCGTCTCCTCGATATCGCGCCCGATGGACTTCAAGTGCGCCCGCGGTACTTGGAACAGGTCCGTCTGCCGGTTACGGAACTGCGCCAGACCGGTGTCGCCGACGTGAGCTTGCTCCGACTGGGCGACATGCACGGCCACATCGTAACCGGCGCGAATACCACCCGTGACGCCGATGTTTGTATACGATCCGCCTGCAACGGCGAGCTTCCCGCCGTAGGCGGCGTACAGCTCGTCGTGGGCGCGGCGCATGCGTTCACCGTGGCCGACGTGGTGTTGCGGGATGCAATCCTTGGCGAACCTCGCAATGGCGAAGGCGGGCTGGGTCTTGGAGATGCCGAGGTGGCGTTCAAGAACAGATTTGGCCATCTCTATGCCCTCCTCCTCGGTCGGATGGGAGGCGTGCTGGTCCCAGTAGTGCCCGCCCATAAGGACGAAGAACTTGGTGCCTTCGGGTTCCGAGGGCGCACGAGGCACGACATCAGAGTCGAAGAAGACGCCGAGAAGGCCCTCCGGGTTCGAGTCGACGGCGCGCGGGACAAGGTAGCCGACGCCCGGGTGGGAGGCGTTCAAGCCGGGCTGCGGGTACCAGAGGTTGACGGCCATGATGGAGACATTGGGGGACCTGGCAAGGGAGGGGAGGGCGCTGTTGGTCGCGGCGGCCAGGGCGTTGCTGGTTGTTGTGGATATGACCTTGTCGAATCTCACCGGGGATTTGGAGGCCTTTGTCGAGAGCTGAGAGGGGGATGTTAGGCGACCGAGTACTGGACTACAAAAGAGGGGAAAATGGGATTGCTCACAGATATCTGAGCCGCCTCGTGATTGAAGCTTAGGTCCGTCACGGGCTCGCCCAATTTGAATATGACATTCTTCCTCTGTCTCAACCCTCTCTCGAGGGCGTTCGGCAGGTCGCTCAGCCCCTTTTTGAAGAACACCAGCTGGTCCTTCTGCGCGGCCCGCGCGTAGCCCTGCAGCTCCTGGTCCTTGGCCAACGTCTCGAGCAAGCCGGCCTCGCTGCGTGGGATGGTGACCCAGTCGTCGCGCTCCCCCTTTTGAAAGAAGCGCCACCACGGGCCAGGCATGAAGCTGCGCATGCTCAGCCGGTCGGCGTCGCCGCCCCAGATGCCGTGGATCATAGCCGAGGCCAGGTTGTCCGTCAACTCGGGGCGGCCAGTGGCGAAGCGGATGAAGTCGGTGACCGACATGTCGGCGGGAACGGGCTCTTTACGGGCCTTTGCGCGGCGCCAGAGAAGGGCCAGGAGGCCAGGGATGGCGCCCTTGAAGGCGGCCTCGCGGAACACGTTCTTCGGGTGCATGTGGACCAGATGGTCCGGGTAGTAGATGTAGCGAGGCGGGGACTTGATACCGAGGTACTCGCTCTGCATGTCGAGGTCTCTCATCTAGTTGGAGAAGCGTGTGGTCAGCAACAATGGTCCTTCAGCACTTGACTGCGGAAACAGACGTGGACTAACCAGATCAAAGAGGACGAAATCGTCGAACCTCCAGGTGTCCTTGCCCATCCCGCGCAGCGTCCGCGGCCCGCGCTCGAAGCGCACAGTGTTCTTCCGCCCATTCACTTCGACATCGACCTCCTGCGTATGGATCCACCCGCCCAGCCGGTTCGCCGCCTCGTACACGGTGATGTTGGACGTCTCGGGGAGCAGCTTCGCCAGGTAGTGCGCCGTCGTCAGGCCCGTGATGCCGCCGCCGATGACGGCAACCTCCTTCGGCACCCTTGCGTTATTCTTCGAGCGCGGCGCCGCATCGGGGCTCCAGTGCGGCGCTTCCTGGCGTCGCGCAGGGGAGCTCGTCGAGAATCGCGCCGTAGCAAGGAGGCCGCCAGCGGCGCCGGCACTGCATCGGGTGCTGCGAGTCGCTGCGCGGCAGAAGCGCTGCGAGTTGTAGGACCTCAGTAGAGCCATGAATGCATTGTAGATCTGTACGAGATCATCGAGTAGGGAGAGTAGAGGGAGAGCCTTATGAAAAGAAGAGAAATTGGGAGCGTCGGCCCTTCAGGTTGAATTGTTCGCGGTACAAAGTGGCGTCATGACATGGACTAGGGTCTCGCGGCGAACAGTGATCGGGGGTGGGGCATGAACCAAGAGAGCTCCCTGAATGCCCGCTTCGTTTCTCAGTCCATTGTAGCATTTGAGATGCCGTTTTGGCATGATCTAATCCTAATATTTTTCATTGTTTCTAATCTCTGAAAATGAGTAGGCCAAGCGCGAGTCAAAAGGTTTGATATATACTTATAGGCGGAACAGTACTGACACCGCGGTGGCTGAGTGATGACGCGCAGTATCTTGGACATGATACATAAAAGATGGGAACGTTAGGTGAGGCCAGACAAACAACTGCATTCTATGCCCCAAACGCTCTCGGGGACCGCTGTTTTGAAGTCCTCTGAGTCGTATCAGCTTGCCCGAAGCCACGTCTATAAATGATCGGAATCATTGCACCCGCAAACGCCAATAGTGCCATACCGCTTCGGCAATACATCGTCGTCCAAATTATCATACAAAAAGTCGCCACTTCCATCCCGCCAATGCCTCTCTGGTTTTCCGAAAGCCTGCTGGCGGCCACGAAATCGAGTGAGCCCGCAACCGTCCTCCAAGGGTATACCACAGTTCCGCTGCGAGACGCCATTCCACATTTGACCGACTCTTCACCCCATCCTCTCATTCTCTTAGTTGAGTCCTTCCATGGAGACAATGCTCGCCTAGCTGATAACTTCCTGAGCACTGGTCTGCTCCTGGCTGACAGCACCCCCCGACTCTGGGAGAATCACTTCTGCCTGAGCGTTCGAATCTACGAATTGACGCTCACTAACGTGATCGTTGTTCCCCTCGGCAGTCCAAACCTTGTCCTTAAAAACGCCCTGTTGACCTTCCTCGTGGGTGTACATGCAGTGAGGGTTCTTGCAAGGGTTGAATCTGCATTTGACCTTGACGTGTGTAAACTTGCAGCCCGCAGTCGTGCACCCAGCGCCGTTGCGACATAATGGCATTTCGGGATGCTTGAAGGGGCACCTCGGGTTCGTGCAGTTGGGAAAGAACTTGCAGTCTTGCTCGTTCTGATGGGCAAGTCTCGCCGCCGGGGATGGGTGACGACCGACACACTTGCGGTTTTTGCATGCAGCACCAAAGGTGCAAACATCGTTAATGTCGACGGTGGTGCCGGGTGGTGCTGCAGGAGATTGATGCGCAAACTTACAATCCCGGTTGGTGCAGTGCAGGTTGTACTTGCAGACGGTTTCGTCCGGGTTGGGAGCTTCGCGCTTCGGTTGCGACATATCAATATCGTCTCCTTCACCGCCTTCTCCCATTGCCGTGTCTTGTTTGTCTCTGGACTGGTGATGACGGTTTCCGAAACCGCCGCGAGAGTTCTGAGTCCGGTCAAATAGTGACTTGCCTCCGCGGCGTCCGCCTCGTCCACCAGACTGGTTCATAAGCTGTTGTTGGAGCTGAGACATCATTTGTGCTTGTTGCTCCATCATCGCCATGAGGTCCATCTGCGAAGGTTGTCCTTGCGGCGGCATCCCCCACGCGGCAGCCATGGGGTTCATCCCAGGCGGTCCTCCATGCTGACCGTTCATGCCTGCCATCGCATTCAGACCAGCTTGAATGTTGACACCACGGTTGTTCATCGATCGTCCGCCACGTCCCATGCCGCCTCTGGGGCCTGTGGGGGGTCCGCGGGCGTGCGAGTTGATTCTGTCGTTGCCACGAACACGGTGGAGAACTGAGTCGCCTGATCTGTCCATAGCCTTGGACATGTAGCCGAGCATGCGCTTCTCGCGGGCGCCTCCTCTCGGGTTGGGGCCGTTTCGCATGGAACGCGGGCCCGTCGGTCTGCGGCGAGTTAGTGGCTGATGAGCCGCATGGATTAGGGGGAAGACAAACGCGTTTAACTCATTTCCATCGTTCGCGCCCATATCAGTGTCGAAGTCGCCGTTCCCTTGGGACATGCCAGACATTGCATCACTGCCTGCCGGCTGGGAGCCGTTCAGTTGCGCATTGATATGTTCCGCTTGTTGAAACAACCATGCCGCGAAGTCGACGGCGCCAGGGTCTTCCGGACCGAGGCCGAGGAGGTCAGCTGCGAGCTCGGTGGCGATCTGCTCCTGCGTGCGACCATTGACGAGCATGAGAATGATGTATTCAACGAGCGCAGCGTCGTCGTCAGAGCCTGATGCCCAGCCGGCCTCGACGAGTTTTGGCTGAATGGCGGCGCTCAAGGCATCCGCGAGCGGGGTATTGAGAACGACCTGAACCGTCATTTTGATTGACGCCGGTGTGGCGAGTATCGCGTCAAGAAGCTGCGGGTGAGAACACGGGTCTTGGTTCGGCGGGGGTGGAGGAGAGCCGGAAGGCGAGACGCGTTGCTGGTCGGTAGTAAAATTCGACAAGGGCAGCGCCGGGGACTGCTGTCGGGGTTTCGGTGAGGAAAGCGCGCAGAAGGATCAGGCCACCTACGTTGGGGTATATAATAGGCAAGAAAACGTGTGGGGAAGAGATGACGTTGTAAGCCGACACAGTCAACAAAAAGAATGTTGTGTATGATGGAGGAAGTGAATGGAGATAGGTAAGTGAACCAGAGAACGGTCTGGGACATGACGGAGAATTCAGAGGGTGCTCCATAGCAGCGCTTCTGATTGGGTGAATGGCAAAGTGTCACGTGAGCTTTCTGCAGGTTGAAGGTGTGGTCGTCTCCTTCACCGGAGAAGGTTCAGGCGAATTCCAAGTGTGGCTTGACTAATTCAGGTACATTATTCAGCGCAACGGCGCTGCCTTCCAGCCTCTTTCCGACTACACTAAGCCAGTGCCGCACCTGGAGCCGCGAGCGACTGTGTGGATATAATTACAGTGAGGTGCCACAAGTCTCCTGACATATACACAGTATACATCTAAAGCACGACTTTATAATAAGTAATACTAAGCTAACTAGATATCTTAAAATTAAGAAAGAATACTTCCTAAATAGCCTTACTAAATCTCTATATATTTTATATCTAAATACTTATTTTACTTACTTATAAGAGTAAAAAAAAAAAAAAGTATAGTGTTTTTTACTTTCTAAAGATAGTAAGCTTATAGGGGATATATATAGTATAAATACTATATTTTCTTAAGGTAAAAGTAAAAAACCTAAACCTATTTATTTTAGACTTAATATATTTATTATTATATAAGTAGTATACTTTTAAAAATAGCATAATATAATTTATATACCTAAGTAACTATGTATAGCTTTTATAGTTTACTTTTATACCTAATATATTAAGATATAGTGTATTCTTTATAGTGAAGTTAAGGTGGCGCACTATAAGGTGTCAGGAGACTTGTGGCACCCTACTGTACATGACGTTGATGAATTATGGCCAAACATGGCTCTTTCGGCTTGCGCTTGGTGACACATGCAAGCAAACTCCTCCAGCTTTGTGGGCTATACGACAAGTTCGAAAGGCGTCAGTCAGTATGGCAGGTTTTGTGAGCTCCGTAGAAGGTCGGAATGATACCCCGTATCTTCGCCCACATCTAGCATGACAGCCCTCTGTTGGTCAGTAATAGTTGCAGATTTTATGGCCACTAGCCGAATGGCCGGCAGCTCGAGAAACAGTCGGCCTAAACCAATGACTGAGCCTCTTGGACGCGCGCACCTTTGCTCCACTTCGTCTGCAGCTTCCCTTGGTACATAATTCCCGAAGCCCAAGAGCGATCATGGCTCCATGAAAATGATACATGCTGTGTAGAATCAATTTTCTTCTGTCATCACAATCTGGTTGAAGTAATCCCAAGGACCTGGCAAGGACTAGGTATTATTCTGTGCGAAGTGTTGACATTGACGGGGGTGGGGTGTTAGTAATGTTACTCATCTGCATGTCTGCTGGGTGCTTGACTCTTGGCCCAGAATCCGGGCTCTTTACCTATGCAACTGGGACAGTTACTCTGCAGGAATGATACCTTGTTAAAAAGGCATGATCCTCTTGTGTCTTCTGGGTAACATTAAAGGAAGCAGCCGCTGAAAGCGACCGAACAATACACGCAAGAACGTGCATATTGCTGTTTGGAAAAGAGCCTCCTTACATTTTGCGGTGAGGCGTGCTATCTGACAGAGTTGGCCAGTGTGGGCGTGCCTTACCGCGAGAGTTGCCCATCAGGACCCCATCAGGACTCCATCATTTACTCCTGTTGCATTTTTTACGTTCGCTTGCGAGAGACTTGGAGAGGGCAGGCCACAGAGCCCGAGACAATTTGTATTGTCAAGGCGCAATACGGCCGCACTATTGAGGGTCGATTTGCCCATCCTCGACAGCAACGAGAGCCTACAATGGGGAAGAAAGGCCGAAGGCTAAGTGAAAGAGGCTCTGGAATACCAACAAGACGCAAACGTCACGAGAGTATCCATTGCGACGGCTTGCACCCATGGCGGAGCTGGCCCGGGCGGAGAAGCAGCATAAAGAAGAAGCGGGACCCAGAGAGCGGCGGTGGAGATTTGCGTGCTTCCCGGGAGGGCAGCCGAGAGGGGTCTTTATCCCGGTGCCCGGCCTACATAGGTACTTAGTATCCACTGCAGGCAACAGCCGCAAGCGCCTGATTGAAAGGGATGCTCTCTTCTCAGGTCCTGCATGTGGCGTTGAAGGATCAGATCTGCTAGGTAATTACCGAGTACTTATTTAGTCACCGACCAGGGTGGTGCATGCCCGAGGTTCGTCGGTGCCGCTGCCCGCCGCCACGACAGTTGGTTGGCGTTTGCTGGCTATGTACGACTCCTCCTCCCCCTTCCCCTCCTCGCCCAACGTTCTCCTTACCTTGGCTTTTTGCCATGAACCTCAGGGCGACCGACATTGGTGATCATCATTAATGGTCGCTCATAATATCCAGAACGATGCACAGACCTGGGCCCCTCTGGCCACTGCGAGAATTCATCTGCTTGCTTGCTATCCGTATTTGCCTACGATAAACCCCTATTGATCATCAGAGGGCTTTGTTTTGCGCCTTTGTGATTTGAGCTCGGCCACTTTCAAACCTTAAATATCATTGTCCTCGTTCCCACCTGGCCCTGCCGGCTGTTTCGAAACATTTTTTTTCGCCGCCATCTTCCATCTACGACCCTGCATTGTCATCGATAAACCACATCCGGGCTTGATACTACCATCATCACCCTGAGCCTCGAGTCATCTTGAAAGCTTATCCCTTGTCAGTTGCTCGTCAACAACAGATCACAGCCGAGCCTGTCATTTTGAATTATCAAGAATGGGAGGTTTGGGCAAAGGGTGAAGAATTTCAACACACTTAGTCGTACCATTTCCATTGCCTAGCTCAACACTATGGGTTGCGAGTTGCCCTACATAAGACCTGTTCGCCGGTCTACCAAGCCCCAAGTTCCAAGTTCTCAATCTTGTTTTCTTTTTTACGCCACTCCACCAGACCGGATCATCCCGAGGATCTCCCCCACGATCAACCAGCCCCCCTCCCCTCCGTCGATTAGCAAGTGGTGCCGGTTATCTATCAAGCTTCCCAGCTTGACGTAACGTTGCTCCGTGGCCGGCGGGCACATACAGTCGCACACTGCCAATTGGTCGGCCTGCTACCCAACCACCAACAGCCCATCTAGACTGGCTGCACGGTATCCTTGAAGGGAGGCAAAGAACGTCCACAGGCAACTGCTGCGTTCTCGTATGTCTTTCTTCTGCTGCAGGGCAAACACGGCCGCGCTTGCCCCCATTGTTTCTTAAGCAGCCTCGGCCCCCTAATTTCGACCAGGATATCTCTTTTCTTCCTCTTCGTTTCCCACACCAACCTTCCAACTTTGCTAATATGTTATCCTCTTTTCTACTCATCTCCCTCTCTCTCGCCCTAGACCAAGCCCACGCTGGTATCTGGCCGGCGCCTAAAAAGCTGTCTACTGGCAAAGATGTTCTGTTCATAAGCCAAACACTGGAAATTACATACAATGGAGGATCTGTACGCTGGCTCTCTTCTTCCAATCCCTCCCCCGTCGACGAGACACGACTTACTGAGAATTTATTCCACGCGCAGCTGCCCTACACATATGGTTACAACCCGGCCCCAGGATCGACCTTTGACAGCAAAGACATCGTGCAGGGTGGCGTATCACGCGCCATGGGTGCCATTTTCCAGCAGAACTTTGTTCCGTGGAAGTTTCATCAGAAAAATAGCGACTTCGAACCGGACATCTATGCGACAGACAAGAAATCGGTCAAGTCATTGCAGATCACCCAAACCGGCGAGGACGAGCCCTGCACGTTTAAGCCAGCTGCCGGCGATGTGGACGAGTCCTACGCTCTGAACATTACCGAGGACGGCTCAGCCACACTCGTGGCTAATTCTTCCACCGGTGTCCTGAGAGGGCTAGAGACATTTGTGCAACTCTTCTACCAGCACACGTCAGGAACTTCCTGGTACACCCCGCTGGCCCCTGTCGCCATCGAAGACGCGCCGGAATATCCCCACCGCGGGATTCTCTTGGATGTGGCGCGAAACTTCTTTCCAGTCCAAGACGTCCTGAGGGTGATAGACGCCATGTCATGGAATAAGCTCAACCGTATCCACATTCACGCCACGGACTCGCAGTCATGGCCGCTCGACATTCCTGCGATGCCGGACCTGTCTGCCAAGGGCGCCTACCGAAAGGGACTCTCCTACACACCCGAGGACCTGGCGAAGATCCAGGAATATGCAGTTCACCGAGGAATTGAGCCCATCATTGAGATTGACATGCCAGGCCACATTGGCTCTGTCTCCTTCGCATACCCGGAGCTGATCGTGGCCTACAACGAGAAGCCATACTACTGGTGGTGCGTGGAGCCGCCTTGCGGCGCCTTCAAGATGAACGACACCAGGGTGGATGAGTTCCTAGACAAGCTCTTTGATGACCTCCTGCCGAGGGTCAACCCCTACTCGGCATACTTTCACACTGGTGGCGACGAGCTGTACAATAATGATTCGATGCTGGACGAGGGAGTCAGATCCAACTCGAGCGACGTCTTGCAGCCCCTCTTGCAGAAATTCATGGACAAGAACCACGCCCGAGTTCGCAAGCATGGACTCGTGCCTTTTGTATGGGAGGAGATGCCGCTCCATTGGAACATCACGCTCGGAGACGACGTTGTCATCCAGTCATGGCTAGGGGGCGATTCTGTCAAGACTTTGACAAGCAGGGGCCATAAAGTGATTGACAGCAACTACAACTACTGGGTGAGTGTGCAAACCGTGACTTGGCGGGGTGATTGACTGACAAGATAGTACGCCGACTGCGGCCGAGGACACTGGCTGAACTTCGACAACGGAGCGGCTTTCGAGAACTTCTTCCCATTCGCCGACTGGTGCACGCCAGCGAAGGGATGGCGCCTCATGTACGCGCACGACCCGAGAGCCAAGCTCACCGACGAGGAGGCCGAGCTCGTGCTCGGAGGCGAGGTGGCCGCATGGAGCGAGACGATCGACCCCATCAGCATCGACGGGATCCTGTGGCCGAGGGCCAGCGCGGCCGGCGAAGTGTTGTGGTCGGGTCGGCGGGACGAGACGGGACAGAACAGAAGCCAGTACGATGCGGCACCGAGACTGGCCGAGTTCAGGGAGAGAATGGTTGCGCGGGGCGTGAGATCGGAGCCGGTGCAGATGACTTTCTGCACCCAAGGCGACCCGACCGAGTGCGCCTGGCCCATGTAAGGGCCTAGGTCGAGGAGTCACGAGGCAACTCGGACACTTGGTATATACTTTCCAGTACATTTCTTTAGATGGCCAGGCCTTGTGCACGACGCCCAATGACATTACATGAATGATCAACGGACCATGCAGGGAGCAGCGTGGGAAGCCGGGGGTTGTTCGCAAGTTACACTACGTACCTTGGGCACTCAACCGTCGAGCCAACAACCAAGCGCCGTCGGGACTCAGGGTCGGGCCCGTTGGACCAAAGGTTCGTCCGGATGTCCTGCGGAAGCTTGCGACAAAAAGACGACACAGGTAATCTCGACCCCTAGTAGGTAGAGTGAGTCGCCAAGTTGCGCGTGTAGGGACTCGGCATAAACGCCTGGTACGAGATGTGATGAATCAACCCAATGGCTTTCTGCTTTCTGAGAGTGGAGAGAGGCCGGAATGGATGGGTCCGAGCTGTCATCAGAACACGGCCTCACGGCTCAACTCAGCCCTCAAAACATCTGACATGAAAAATGAAGCCCGACGTCACTCGCCTCGGCAGTGAAAGGTAGCTGCGATGTGCTAATGTACACCGTACTATCCGTATAGGTACTACCGTATGTATGTGTACGGCGCTAGCGCGGGAGAAGGGGGGTTCCAGAAGGAGCCCCATTCGACGTTGGGAACAGTGAGGGAGGGGCCCATTTGCGGGGGAAGCTTGGAGTGGAGGCATGTGGGGACCGCGGTTGCAGCAGCTCAAGATTGATTGTTATTCCCCTTCTGGGTATTCAGATCGCGATGAAGACCCACCATGCCACCCTGTCTGTGTACCTACCGGTACTTACTGCGTAGTACCTTAACTTGGCTATGATAGGTTAGGATGTATCCGCAGGGGGACTGAAGGATACGCGGTGACGCCCTATCTACATAGCCCACTACGATTACTGAGTGTATTTGTTAGGGTTGTAAAAGCCCCGTCTCACAAGGAGAGACAAGGAGAGAGCTGATTTTGTACAGGGGCTTTCCATGTCGATTAAACAATGGCATCCATCTGTTTCGAGACAGGTCACAGGGTATGATACGAGGGAGGTTGTACGGATATGCCCGTATAAAAAAGACTGTAGCACAAGGTAGGTAAGTCTACCTACTTCCCTAGACAGAAAGAAGCTTTGCTGGGGCTCGCCAGGTAAAACCAGCGCACCGTGCGTAGCCGAGGTCTCGGTAGGTCCTTGGAGTCTATTCGTACCTACCTTGCAGCTATCTTCCGATGGGTTTTCTCCGCGCCATACTCCGTAGTGAGATGCCAATTCTCTGATGGAAAGAGACGGCGCAACGCATGCCGGCTTGGGTCTAGAATATGCTAACCTGGTGCAGATCAACCAAGATGTGCCCAAGTGTTTCGGCGCTGGACAGACAGCCGCGAGGCTCTCTTATTAGTTATTATTTTGTATTTTTATTTCCCCCCGCCCAATACATGTAGAGGGCGCCACTGGAAACGATCGATGATTGATGTGATTTGTTTTGAGCAGTCAGCAGTCTCATGGGTATCTGCTTTGAACCGTCTTGGCATACGCTCGTCGCCTTCTGGCGGTGGGTCCCACCTCGCTCGTCTTCCGTGCTCCTACGGATAGACCTGTCACCTACCTATCTCCCCGGAGCATGCATACCTGACCTCCTGATGGATCCCTACGGCCTGCTTCCGATAACTCCTCCCCGTAACCCAAGTACAACCTTCTGGACACCAAGTGTGGACAAGGAACCGGGACTCTGGAATCAGTGGGCTTGTTATTGGCTGCTGCTTTCAAACGGTGTGCAGTGTTTAACTCACTCGCTCGGTGCACACCTAGGTACTTAATGGCATCAGTCTCATCTTCCTGCCCTCGTAATTCAGATGATCATGCCCATTCGTCTACCTACCTACCTACCTACCTAGGTAGTTCGGATTCTTTTATCATTCCGTCCCTCCGTGGCATCCGGTCTTGTCCTGCCTACCTACTTCGTCCGCCGCTGCATCTTTCTTCTCTTGTGAGACTCGCTGCTTTCTTCCCCCACCATTGTGCCCGTCGACAGCCCACACACGGCATTTGCCTCAGGACCTTTCTTTCAACACAACCTAACTCGGCTCCGGCATTTACACGTCCTGGTCCTGCCAAACACTTGATTTGCATCTTTTGCAACCTCTTCGCCTCTCGTCTTCGCTCTTCTCGTGCGACCAACTCCGCCGAAAGCAACAAGTCCTGCGCCATCCAACTCTCGCCATGGGCTTGGGAGAGGACGTTCTCGAGTATGTCAACCTCAAGGTGGTTGTCATATTCGGCGTTGCGGCATGGTGGTTGTGGATCGCTGTTCGACGTTTCGATGAAACTATTCGACTGCGCCGTCTGGCGCCCGGTGTCCGTGGACAACCGCTTAAGGCTCACCTACCTGGTGGTAAGTGCCGTCTACTTGACTTGGACTGCTCACTGGCTGTGAGACGGACAAGTATACCGTTCTGGGCCATTGTTCACTTGCAAACCCCCCAGGCACCGACTTCATCTACAAGGCTGTCCGCGCGACCATGAAACACAAAAACGTCGAGTTCTGGACGGACAGGCTCTCCGCGGTAAAGGGATGGACCGGCGAGAGGAGGCTCCTCTTCGGCCTGCGCATTGTTTTCACCGCCGAGCCCGAAAACATCAAAGCCATCCTGGCCACTCAGTTCTCCGACTATGGCAAGGGCGAGCCTTTCCACCAGGAGTGGAACGAGTTCCTCGGCGACAGCATCTTCACCACCGACGGTGACCAGTGGCACGCCAGCCGTCAGCTCATCCGGCCACAGTTCATCAAAGATCGCGTCAGCGACCTGCACACCTTCGAGTCGCACATACAGATCCTGCTCAAGGCCATCGCCAATGGCGGCGCCCTCAACGGCGAGGACCAGCCCGTCAACATGGATACCGTAGACGGCAAAGTTCTCGATATTTCGGAGCTCTTATTCCGTTATACCCTCGACGTCGCTACCGACTTTCTTATGGGACAAGATGTGAAGTCGCTTTCGTACGTGCCCCCTATTCATATGTACCAACCGCATCCGGACTCTAGACTAACGCGGCCCTCTGTCTCTCAGAACCCCCAGACAGGAGTTCGCCGAAGCCTTCAACGAAGTGCAGCGAGTACAGAGCATCATCGCTCGCGCGGCGACGGCGAGGTTCCTTGTACCGCGCTTCTCGTTTCGCTCAGGTCTCAAGATTATCAACCGTTTCGTCAACGAGTTCATCGAAAGGGCACTCCGTCTCAGCCCCGAGGAACTCGCCTCCAAGACCAAGTCCGACCAAGGCTACACCTTTCTTCACGAGCTCGCCAGCTTCACCCGCGACCGCAAAGTCCTCCGCGACCAGATCGTTGCCGTGCTTCTCGCTGGTCGCGACACTACCGCCGCAGCCCTTTCCTGGACCCTCTACGAACTGGGCCACCACCCGGAAGCCGTTAGCAAGTTGCGCGCCGAGATCATTGAGCAGGTCGGCCTCGAGCGCGCCCCCACGTACGCCGACCTCAAGAACATGAAGTACCTCCAGAACGTCATGAACGAGACTCTGCGCCTGTACCCCGCGGTACCCTTCAATGTCCGTCTGGCCCTCAAGGACACAACCCTCCCTGTCGGCGGCGGTCCGGACGGCACGCTTCCCTTGGCCATCCTCAAGGACACACCGATCGGATACTCGACATTTATTATGCAGCGGCGCGAGGACCTATACCCGCCCGTATCCGAGACCTCCGCGCATCCGAGTGAGTTCTCGCCTGAGCGGTGGTTCAACTGGCAGCCCAAGCCGTGGACATACATCCCCTTCAACGGTGGCCCGCGTATATGCATTGGTCAGCAGTTCGCCCTGACCGAGATGGGCTACACGCTCTGCCGTTTGTTCCAGAATTTCGAGAGAGTTGAGAGTTACATGGATGCAATTGACGGCGGTGATCCGAAGCTCAAGGCCGAGATTGTATTGCAGCCTGGCGATGGCGTCAAAGTGGCTTTCTGGCGCGCTGGCAAGGCGTAAGCTAGATCGAGAAACCGAGAACCCTCATGGAAAAGACACTCTTTTTGCACGATGGCGACTTGTACAGAGGTGTCGGGAACGATAATCTCAACTGAGGGATCGATAATGGCAAGATAGTACCGACGGAGGTCGGCTCCAAACTGTTAACAAGTGTGACGACGACGATGACTATAGTAGACAGGCGATCACAACAATTGAGGAGGTTGAAATAAGCCTCCTCGACTGAACAAGTGGCACGGGACGATTCAGCCGCAAGCTGCCCACGTCTTGCTGCTCACGTGGTCCAGAATCGCTAGCAGACCGAGACGACCAGTGGAAGACAAAATGGCCGTAAGCAGATGGCCGGAACATCTGAATCGGTTGCCGCGTGCTGAGGTGAGCAGCCCTGACAGTGTAGGCTGACCGCTGATGTGCGTGGTTCCTCCAAGATAGGACGGAACGGTGCGTGATTGGTCCCTATGGCACAGCGTTGCAAGAGGATTATTGCACAGGTAGGAAGGCTTTTGAGGATGCGAACCGGTCGTGGGATATTGACAAGCACGGTGCATTCGCTCTAACTACCAGTTTGTTGGATAACGTAAGAAAAACCGGAATCTTCGTTCCAAGTACCAATAAATAACAACCAACCTGCAAAAGTTGACATTCTTCGTGCTGTTCATAACCAAGAGAGATCTTTGTCTATTCAGCTCTTATCCCCATTCTTTCCGTAACCGATGACCGGGTCACGAGGCATGCAATGCGAACGCGGCGTCTTATCAACATGCAACACCCTGCCCTGGAATGAAGTGACTATGAGAAGCAATGCCAAACTGCCCAAACAAAACAAAACAAAACAGGGCGATGCTCCACCAAATGACCATTCGAAAAAAAGAAGACGAACAAGAAGGAAATAAATCCGAATTCCGCGGACAAGAATAAGCGACGGACTCGGAATCAGGAAAGACGGAAGCTCTCCCTGATGGCGGCGCCCAAACGCTGGATGGCCTCGTCCATGTCCTTCTCGCTGGCCGAGGCAAAGGTGGCGCGGAAGAAGAGGTTCTTGAGCGGCGTGTCTTGCTCAGTGCGGAACCACGACCCGCGGGCGCAGAGGACGCCCTTGTCGATGCAGGAGTTGAAGATCTCCTCCTCGATCTCGAGCAGCGGGCGCGAGGGGCCGTCCGGGTGGGTGGAGTGATCAATCTCGAGCCACAACTATCACGGGAGTAAGTAAGTAAGTGGGGGGGGAAGATTTGTAGGAGCGTAACGAGAACAAGCCAGACGACGCATGGTTGTCTGGAAGGCGAGAATCAAGCGCCGGGGATAAAGAGGAATGGGGGGGGGGAGCAAACTCACAAACATGCCGGCTACAGGCGGCGTCCAGCTCACGATGGCACGGGGGAGATGTCTCTCGCAGGCGTCCAGGAGCCAGTCACGACGTTTCGTGTACTCCGTGCTCAGATTCATGAGCCACTGCAGGTACCCCTCGTGGCCCCATGCCTCGTCGAGCAGCTTCCACACGGCTATCTGCGAGAGGCCCGAAGGGCCCTGGTTGGCGACCTCGGCGTGGCGGATGAACCTCTCGATGACCTGGGCCGAGGCCGTCACCCACCCCAGCCGCGACCCCGGCATGAGGACCTTGGAGAAGGAGTCCATCCGCAGCACGCGGCCGTCCGTGTCCATGCTCAGCAGCGAGGGGATCAGCGTGCCGAGGAACTCGGTGACGGAGGCCGGGGGAGGCGCTGAGGGCGCGTCCGGGCCGGTGTAGGGCTGCATCTGGATGAAGTAGTAGGGCTCGTCCTCGATGATGTACAGGTCATGCTTCTGCGCCACGGCGTAGATGGCCCGCCTGCGCGCGGCGGACTGCGTCGCGCCCGTAGGGTTCTGGCCCGAGGGGACGGTGTACAACAGGTGGGGTTTCCGGCGGCCGCCTCGGGCCTCCGGGTCCCACCCGGTGAGGATTTCGTCCATGGCCTCGGGGAGCAGACCCTCGGCGTCGATGGGGACGCCGACGGCCTTGACGCCGAGCGGGCCGATGGTCTCGAGTGCCGTGGAGAAGCTGTACTCCTCGGTGAGGACCGAGTCCCCACGGTCCTTGTCGCAGAACATACGGAGTGTCTGCTCGAGGGCGGCGGTGCTGCCGACGGTCTGGCAGCATTGCCAGTCGGCGTAGGGAGGGCTGTAGACGAGCTCGGTGTGCTCGGTGACGAAGCGCATCATCTGCGCGGAGCCGGTGGACTGGGTGTAGTTGAGGGCGATGGAGAGGTCGTACTCTGCGCCGGGCTGCTCCGGGTCGCGGGTGTCGTACTTGCCGACGGTGAGGGTCTGGCCCGAGGCGATGGTCTCGGCTTCGGAGAAGTGCGGGGCCGTGGGAACCCGGAGCGAGAGCTCGGCGTAGGGGAAGTAGGCGCTCGAAGGGAGCCCTCCGCCGAGAGAGATAAGACCCGGTTTCTTGAGGTGGCGCGCGGCCTGTTTCAAGGAGCAAGGGTGCCGGGAGAGGGATTCCGGCGACAGGTGATCTGGAGGCGGTGAGTGAGGTGAGTGGGAGGAAGGAAAAGGGTGGATTAGCTTACGGTCCCAGCGCTTTGCTGCAGGCTTGCCAATGGCCTGGGGGTGAGAGTTAGCATGTTCGAAGTGAGCGTTATGAATTGGGGGGTGTTCAACATACGGGAGCCTTGAACATGTCACTGTCTGACGCCGCAGCCACGCCGGCTATCAGTTTGCCGGCTTTGGCCCTGCGTTCCCGGACGCCATCGAACGGCGAGGGCTCCTGTCTCTTCTCGAATGTGGCCTTCCTCTCGATGGGTGCGGCGTCCGCCACGGAGCGATCGCTGGACTTTGAGTGGAATGCCCGTTGGGCGAGGGTTACGGGAGTCACGGGGGCAGACCCCAGGCTCCGGAGCCGGAGGTCTGTAAGCCAAGCCGTCCGGGCGTTTGACTGGGAACGAGCGGCCCGCGGGAGAGAGCCATTGAGACCACGGCGAGCGGCTCTCGAGTACATGATTACCAGATTTGAGTTACTGGGGACGTGCTGGTGAGGGAGGTGCGAAAGTATATGAGGGTGTCTGGAGTCATGTCAAGACAATGCCGTTCAACGGGAATTCGAGATAAAGGGCGTAGGGCGTATCTGACACTCGAGGGGGTAGTGGGGCAGCCCGCAGCTACCCGCAGCTACCCATGCTTCCCCCGCATGGTGCTACTACTCGCCCGTGAGTTTTAGGTATTAGGGGTCCTCGACCGCTGCGGGCATAGTGGGAGGGAAACAGTCGACGCATACAATTATGACGTGTAGAAGGGAGCAGGAAGGGGAGACCACTAGCTAGCTTGTCCGGGAAGGGTAGCGCGATGGCGGTCCCGTAGGAAGTGGGCGACGGAGGGGCAGCTCGGAGCCGGGTGGGTCCGAATGTGCTTGTATACCTTGGTAGATACGGATAGTTTATGAGAGCCGCCGGATCCAGAACGTACGGCGTTCGTTCCGGATATTGAGGGGACAATGGCTTGGAAGCCCGAGATGGGTTGGCCGAAACATGCCGGGTAAATTCGTGGCACTGGGTCTGCAGTCAAGGACAATGGTGGCATCGGTCCTTTGACGGCGCAGAGAACTCTTTCGAGTCCATTGCCAGCACACCAAGACAGCCAAGACCAAAGGCAGCGCAAAGTAACGGCATCCTACCCTGGCCTCCGTGCATTACAGATCGTGTCGGTGAGGTGCCACTGTTGGCTGCGTGCGCCCCCATCCGAGACAACTGTCGCTCAAGCGTCACGAACCCCCGGCTGCTGGCATTCACGTGGAAGCCCTGAGAACACCGCCCCCCGGCCCCATGAACGATACGAGTCCTCGCGCCCTGAGCGCCGCGGCTGTTTGTTGGCCTCTTTTCCTGCCGCCTGACATTTTGTCAGAGATTAGATGGCGCCCCTTCGTACGGATAAAGTATTCGTCTTGCAGGTTTATTTACACCAAGCCGACGGGTCCAGAGCCAAGGCTTTGCGTCGGCTCCCAGCCACCCGCACCCGCCCATCCAACACCAGCCACCCTGTTTTTTTTTTGTTTTTTTTCCCCGATATTGCGCTCTCGACCAATCGCAAGCCGTGTATCCGTCCCAACCTCTCCCGATCTCAACTTTCCTCCCCGGGGAGCGGATCCGAGTTGGACGGACAACGCACAGGGGGGACGATTATTTGCTCTTCGTGTGCTGTACGCCAAACATGTCAATTTTCTCAATTTCCGTCTCCCGGCTGCCAAAACCCCACACCCTCCCAGCTTATCGGTCTAGTGTAGACGGCCCGCCGCCGCATGAGCTTGGGCTTCCAAGGCCCTTGGGGACCAAGAAGAAAAGAGCCCAAGAGCCTTGCACGGCCCGATGACGCTGCTGCAGCTGCCAGTGGCTGGATCCGCCAAGGAACAATGCAGAGCCATATAACTGCATCTGCCGCTGCCATCCATCACGGCCCGCCCGTGTGGTGTGCTTCGTTTTCCTCCTGCTCCTCCCTACTAACGCCTCGGTCTCTTTGTGTGTTAATCGAGTGCGACATACCACGGACTTACACGGTATCCTGGTTTGCTTCTTCTCGCCTGTGACGTCGTCAGCTCCTTGGGCCGTGACCAAATCACCCTCCCTTCCCCCCGATGGTCCGATTTGGAAGATAATATTTTCTTCAAGTGAGGGAGTTTCTTACCCCACCTCGCCATTCCTCTTGACTTGCGAGTCTTTTGTAATACTACATCCTACCTACTTGAATCGGTTGGCCCGGTGCGATCCCCATACGGATACACCCGTGTACCACACACACAGACACACACACACACACACACACACACACACACACACACACACACACACACACAATGCTCTTCCCAAGAAGACTACTCGCCGCCGCGGCGCTGGCAACGACGGCGTCGGCGCAGACATATTCGTCGTGCAACCCCCTCCACCAAAGTAAGTCGTAGTCTTACCGGTCGTCACAACACGAACCCTCCCCACCCTGTTGGGTTGTTGCTTGTATCTGTGTACTAACGAGCCACCTCGCCCTAGCAACATGTCCCGCAGACACGGCCCTTGGCATGGCCATCCACGTCGATTTCACCCAGGGCGCCGTCAACTCATTCGCGGCCTCTGGAAACCCTACATACGGCAGCGACGGCGTCACCTTCACCGTCGCTGCCTCCGGCCAGGCGCCCCAACTCATGTCGCTCTTCTACATCATGTTCGGCCGCGTCGAGATCACACTCAAGGCCGCGACGGGCGCGGGCATTGTCAGCTCCCTGGTCCTGCAGTCTGACACTCTCGATGAGATCGATCTGGAGTGGCTCGGTGCCGACCCGACCGAGGTGCAGTCCAACTACTTCGGCAAGGGTGACGTGACGACGTACAACCGCGGGCAGTTTCACCAGACAGACAACAACCAGGACAAGTTCATGAAGTACACCATCGACTGGACCTCGGAGCGCATCGTCTTCTCCGTCGACGGCACCATCGTCCGCACCCTCACCGAGGCCGAGGCCGACGAGAACCAGTACCCGCAGACGCCGATGCAGGTCAAGTTCGGCGCCTGGTCGGGTGGCGACCCGGCCAACGCACCCGGCACTATTGACTGGGCCCGCGGGCCGACAGACTTCAGCAAGGGGCCCTTCCATATGGTCGTCAAGGACATCTCCATCACCGACTACTCGACCGGCAAGGAGTACAAGTACACCGGCACCTCGGGCAACTGGGACTCTATTCAGGCCGTCGGCGGCCAGATCAACGGGAACCTCGGCAAGGCGCGCCAGGTCACGTACACGGCCACCGCTGCCGCCGACACGGGCTCGCCCGCGCCGACAGTGCCGAGGGGTGGTATCGGCGCCGACGAGTCCGCCACTGCGACGCAGACCGGCTGGCCGTGGGTTGCCAGCGCGAGGCCGACTGGCGGCTCCGTCCCGGACGGCTGGCGCATGAACTCCGAGGGCAAAATAATCCCGGACGGCGCCGGGACCTCAGTACGCCCTCAGTGCTTGGCCGTGTTGGCGTCTCTTGTTCTTGGTGCTGTCGCAGTACTTGGGCGGTAACGATGAGCGAAACCCGTTGGAAGAGAATTCCCGACAGATGAGAGAGGGACGAATACCTGGCCAATGGTTTGCAAGGTTTTTTTTTTACCGTTTATTTTCATCAATTTTTTTTTTTAACTCTGGCAGAGAACGTATAACAACAACGGCTCGAGGCACATTCTGGACAGCTCTTTGCATAACAACGGCGTTTTTGTTTTTGGGGCTTTTCTGTTCTTTGGGAGCATCAATGGGGGTCGGTTGTGCACTGAGCGGAACCACTGGAGGAATCCGCGCAGATGGATAAAATAGACACAGTGTATTATGTGTGGCCCTCTCAGCGAAGAGAAGACCTCATGATGTGTTTGTACAATTGAGTTAACAATGAAATCAACTGCCTTCCCGACACATTGTGTATGCCAAGGTGTATCGGGGCTTGTGGCGCTAGAAGATGATTGAGGCTCATTCATATCCCTGACTTTGGCGAATTCGAGCATCCAATCATATTAACCGGCGTTGTGGCAGAGTGGTCTAATGCGCAAGACTAGAAATCTTGTTCCTTCGGGAGCGTCTGTTCGAATCAGGCCAACGTCGATTATTTTGTCCTCATGAGCTGCATTTCCGATTGATGTCTTGCTTGTTTGTATCCTCGTTTTGCCGCCCGGCATCTTTCGTCGCCAGAACAGTCGGTAATGTTATCCATGTCATCGAGGGCGTTTAATACCGGCCGCCACGCTCTCTTTTGCTGTCCCCCTTCGGATTCTTTACACTACCTTTCTTCTTTTTGACAGGTCGATAGGAGAACACAAATGCACCCAACCTCTGGACGCTACCCAGCATGAAAAAAAAAAAAAAGGTGAGAGTCTCCACGATACAGACTAACAGATGTGAACCGACTCTCTATTGTTGTCGCTGCAATGTGCCTTGAGTGATGATTGATCATCCTCTTGACTGCACTTGACATGCCAGGATTCCATCTTATTCCCCTCCTCAGTTGTTTATTGTACGCTGAACATCTATATGTTAGGTGGGCAGCATCTGAAATTTGCTGCAGCAATATTCCCGTCCGACAGGACTTTCCATCCCGTACATCTGCCTGGAATAAACTCACTGGGAGAAAGACAGGATAGGATAGCATGACACAGCGGTGTCAGCAAGGAGACATGAAGGCTGTCTCCTAGTTACATGCCAAGGGTGGCCTTGCTGCATGGAACGTTGCACCTCAAATTTGAATACTAGTCATAACCTCAGAATACAGGCTAGTCACGCACAACGCAGGCCTAGCCCATTGCAACCAAAAGTCAAGGAACAACATACATCGCATGCCTACATGCCCGAAATGTCAGAGTTACTGTATTCGCTGTTTTGGAATTAACTAAACTGATCTAGTCTGCCGGGGGCTGTATGCGGCTCTATAGCAAGCGGAAAAGACGAAAAAAAAAGAGCGGCCAGCGGCAAAGAGGGTCTCTAAGCTCGCCGATTTTGAAGAAAGCTCTGTTTATCTCTGTGGCACTTCCTTTTCCCTCGCGCTGTATACATGGGACATCTCGACTGTGCCGCCGCCGTCACCTGTTTTATGCTTTCCTCCCGCCATCGTAAATGCACAACGCCAAATAGCGAACTGAGGGCTTGCTGGCAGTCCGATCTCGGACTCTGCAGTCTGTTGGCGCTTGGAGTCGAAATGCTGAAATATCGAAATGCTTTTGGTACAAACAAATACAGTAATAAATATTGCCGAGTGACGAAAGGCTGGTGCAGTAAAGAACCCGAACGCCGGGATCAAAATTCCCAGTCATCATCTTCAACGGACTTGATAGCCCAGCTGAACTTGTCACGGAGCGTCTTCGAAAAGAACTTCTCAATAGGAACGTCGAACTTCTTTGCGAAGACGACAGTAAGGCGAGGGTCAATGTAGTTCTGACTTTCGTTAGTAGCTATCCAGTCTCCAAAATATTGTCCACAAACACTTACAATCTTAGAGGTGCTCAAGGCGACCTCCTTGTTACCATCACGATCAGCAGCCTGTAGCTCCAAGGTCTTGACTCTGTCGTCAAACTTCTTCACCTGTTCGTCGAGTTTCTCGATTGAGGGACTCCGGCCTTCCGGCTCCACCTTCTTCGACTTGTTCTCCTTCTTGAACTTCGCCGCAAGTTCATCTGCTGCCTTGAGACGCTCCTTAAGCTCCTTGTCGGGGAACGGCTTCTCTCCTTCAGCGAGGCGTTTCTCATTATCCTTCTCAAACTTCTTCGTGATCTTGCTACGCTGCTCTTCCACCAAGAATTTCTGGTGTTCAAGAATCCATTCGTCGGTCAAGTCCTCCGGACGAGCGAAGAAGTCTGCGCCCTTCTTCTTCTTCACCTTACTGTCCACCTGAAGCATCATCATTTTCGTCCGCCATTGCTGGTATCGAAGACCCTTGATACGATCACCGAGCTTCTCCATCTGAGCCTCATGGGCGGCACCCACAGTGCGCTTGTGGTTGCAAAGGATGGCGACCTCACGGTTGCAGTCGTTGTAGAGCTTGACCTTCTCCGCGATCGTCAAGTTCTTGTGATCAACCAGCTTTTGAAGGAGGTTGGACATGGTGAAGGATGCGTTATAGGTACGGAATACCTTCGCTGTCAGACCCGGCATGTAATTCTTGAGGTGGTTGTTGAGCTGCGTCGTAGTCAGGCGGTCGAAGATGTCGTCGCCGTCTGTCTTTGGCGGCTTCTTGAAGAGCTTGAGGTTCTTAAAAACCTGCTTTTCGACCGTGACCTCGTCGTAGAACCGAATACTGTCCTTTCCGAGGAAGTCGAAGATGACGGTGTTGGGTTCTCGCAGGGTGATGTGCTCATACTTGAGGGAGCAGCAACCGACGGTTTCAGCTTCGTTCTCGGCGTCCTTTTCGTTGCCAGCTCTGAGAGCGAACTTGTCGATCAGGTACACGGCCGTGGCTCTCTGTCGGTCAGCCATAATCTCGCTCTTGAGATCCTTGGTGTAATCTCTGCGAATCTTGTCGATGTGCTTCTTCAGCTCGCGCGCCTTCTCGAACTTCTTCATGTCACTCTGACCCTTGATGGCGCTGGCGGCACCCAGCATCACGTACTTGTAAGCGCCGTTAATGTTTTCCTGCCACATAGCCAACCAAGTAGCCTTGTTGTCGTGGACAACCGCTTTCCACTTGTGGCCCTTGGGGGGTTCCGGAACCTTGGCATCCTTGCCAATGTTGATGGTAATTTGCTCAGGATACACTCTCTTCTTGAGCTTTCCGGTCTTTGGGTGTTCGCCACGGCCGCGGAAGAGACTCGGAGGTTCGACACGGAAGTTGCCAACCTTTTCCTTGCGTCCGTCCCACTTGCAGTACATAAACGGGGCCTCCAATTCGTCCTTCTCAGCCTTTGCCGCCTTCTTCTCCGCCGCGGACCGGTTCTTTCTGATGGCGCTCTGCTGCTCGTAGTATTGGAAGATTTGCTCAAAGTTCATCTTGGAGAACTCTCTGATGTCGACCTTGTTGCCCTGTTTGTCAGTCGCGTGGCCTGACTCCTTCAGGACAGCCTTGAAATCATCAAAGAAATTCTTTTGGAATACAGGGTTGTCGACGTTGTGCTTGGAGTTCAGCATGGCCCCAAAGAAGCCGGCAACTTCCTCGGCTTCAATTGGAAGGTTGACTGGCTTTCCATCGTAGACCAGTTTGACATTCTTTGGAAGGGGCTGGTACTCGGGCGGGAACATGACTCCGTTGTGTTCCAATGTGGTCCACTTGACGCTGTCATCCTCCTTCTTGGGATCCTTCCACCACTCGTACTCCTCCTCTTCGTCTTCCTCGGGGGCCTCGCTCTCTTGCTTGGCTTTTGCGGCAGCCTTACCTTTTGCCACTGTAGCCTTGGCTGGGGTGGCCCTCTTGGCTGCCTTTTTCGCAATGGGCTCATCGGAATCTGATTCAGCCTTCACGCCGTTCGGCCTTTTCTTGGTAGACCCGGCGCCGTTCGATTGGCGCTTCTTGATCGCTGACTTGGCCAAAGGCTCGTCGTCGGATGATTCGTCCTTGACAGGTTTTTTCGGCGTAGCCTTCTTTGCCTTAGCCTCGTTGGCACGGATGCTGCGAGCTTCCTTGGCGGCTGCCTTCTCGATGTCGGCCTTCTTCTTTGCAAGCCTGGCACCCAAGGGCTGGTCATCGTCGGAGGATTCGTCGGGGAGAGCCGTCTCCTTGTACGAAGGAGGTAGGTTCTTACCCCTCCTTGAGGTGAGCGGCTCATCATCCGAATCTGTCTCTGGTGCCTTGGTCTTCGTCTTTTGTCGCTTGGCCTGAGAGCACACCATCAGCCTCGGACTCCGCCACAACCTGCCTACCATATACAACCTACCAGAGGGGCGTCATCGTCGCTTTCGCTTTCGTCCTTGTAATTGACCTTGGGCAAAGATGAACGTGACTTCCGCTTGCCGTTCGTAGATGGGCCATCGACATCCATAGTATCGTCGTCCACAGGGCCATGGCGGATGGAGAGCCCAGGCGGGGCCGCTCTTGCCTTGGATGCGGTTCTGTCCATGTCGATGTCGTCGGCTTTCGAAATTCTCGATGCAGAAACTACAATGAGGGAGTTAGAAAGTGGTTAAATTTTTCTTGGTGGTTCCGCAGGCACAGTCGAGATTGAGGGCAAGGCACGCGACGAGTCAGGTACTTGGGGTTGTGATTCGCCGTGGAGAGAGAGAAAGAGAGGGAAAAAGTGACACGTCTGGCGTAAAGTGGCAGACGCGAAAGGTAAAGCGTCCGAAAGCGCTGAAAGTTTAAGATGGGTTCTTAGCGCACTTACCGTGTCCGTTAGACCTCGCAAGAGGTGCGTCGTCGTCGGAAGAGCTCATTGTGAGGGCGAAAGGTATAGGTTCGCGACGTTTATGGACGGTTAAGTAAGAACTGAATCGCAAAGTGCAAAACCGGGGCCTTGTGGAGCAGAAAAAGTTGCTATAGACGCCGATCCGCGCAGAAGAATCGCGTAGATATAGAGGCAAGAGCCGGATTGTTGGAAGGACCGCCACTTGCTTGGGTTGAAGACGCGGGGGAAGGCACCCACGTCAAGTTCGACTCGAGGAAGGAGGGCGAGGTTGTCGGGAGGAGGGAATCGAGGGAAGCTAGGAAAGGATGGCGGGAAATTCATCGACGACCTTCTAGTCGGGAGCGAAACTTAATGGGGCTGCCCCTTGGAGTCTGGGTAAGCCAAGGAACAGTAAGCTGGCTGGGAAAGCAAGAGCCAGTCCCCGTCCTGGTACTAGTCAGCGCATGCGCCACAGTCAATGACACGTGACCAGCCACCGGCTCCCGGTCAAACTCAGTTAGCCGGGAAAATGGATTGAGTCGGGTGCGAAATGCTAAGCAGGAGGAAAATAACCTGAACCTACCAATCTCGCTATCCCGAAGCACCGTCCGACAGCGTCAATTGATCTCGAAAGCGGTCGTGATCAATTGGTCCCCACATACGGCAGAGGCTCGATCTTCTTAATACCTACCAACTCTCACAATGCTTTCCCGGGCGGCGAGACCAGCTCTGCGAGCTGCGGCTGCGGCTCCCTCGCGGTAAGTCGGAATCCACATCTTCCTGAGCTCGGAAAATCGGAGGAAAGGGACTGCACGTCAGAAGAGGCCAACGCCGACCGTCGACCATCAACGATCGAGGAAACCAGGAACGGACATTGGAAAAGGGGCCGGGGAGCGATATGGAAGAATGGATTGATATAAGAGAGCTGCGATGCTGATTACGGCGTTGCTACAGAGTCACGGCCAGCGCTCCTGCCAACGCTGCCACCTTCGCGACCCTCCGTGAGATCGAAGGCCGCCTCAAGTCCATCCGCAACATTGAGAAGATCACCAAGACGATGAAGATCGTCGCTTCGACTAAGCTCAACCGTGCTCAGAAGGCCATGACCGACTCCCGCGTCTACGGCGCCACCTCGAACCAGGTCTTCGACTCGGCCGAGACCAAGCCCCTCGAGGGTGAGGGCAAGAAGGAGCTCATCATCGTCTGCTCTTCTGACAAGGGCCTTTGCGGTGGTATTCACTCCGGTCTCTCTCGCAACATCCGCCGCCAGTTCCTCGAGAAGGACGCCACCGCCGACCTCGTCATCCTCGGCGAGAAGTGCAAGTCCCAGCTCCAGCGCACCAACGCGAAGGACATCCGCCTCAGCTTCGCCGGCGTCGGCAAGGACGTCCCCACCTTCGCTGATGCCCAGGCCATTGCCGACCAGGTCGTCCAGCTCTCCGGCGACTACTCCTCCATCAAGATCCTCTACAACAAGTTCATCAACGCCACCAGCTACGAGCCCACCATCATTGAGGCATTTTCTGAGGAGGCCATTGCCGCGTCCCGTAAGCTTCCCCCGCGGAACATGACCGAGACTTCTATTGCACCAGCGCATCTAACATTTTATAGCCAACTTCTCTGCCTTCGAGGTCGACGAGGAGCTCCTCCCTAACCTCCGCGAGTACGCGCTTGCCAACTCCATCTACTGGGCTCTGGCCGAGGGCCACGCCTGCGAGATCTCTGCCCGTAGAAACGCCATGGACGTAAGTGATCCTCCTTCACGTCAGAGTTCCAATTACAGTCGAGCCCGTGCTGATTTGAGATTTATAGAACGCTTCCAAGAACGCCGGTGACATGATCAACAAGTACCAGATTCTCTTCAACCGCACCCGTCAAGCCGTCATTACCGGAGAGCTGGTCGAGATTATCACTGGTGCCACTGCCTCCGAGGACATGTAAAGCGGGTTTGGAAAAGCGCGCATCAGACAGAGATGATTACCACCTCTCTTCCCTTTGTATCAAGCTACCAAGGGCGGCTAGTTGCCCTCAGTGTACCAAATCCTCGCGAATACATCCTGATCTAGCACACGGATAATTCTGTTTCACTTTTCATCGTCCCTCTCATGAACGAAATCATTGCCTGTGCTGGCCTATATTTATGCTACTACTATCATGTTCACCCTCTCGAGGAACCTATTATGTACGGGGCCCGTTACCGGGCGAAGGGAACAAACAGCGTGAATAGCATATCGAGGCGAAAGAGGATGATTATAACATGTGGGTATGCAGTGCTCCCCTCAACGCCAATAAAACAAAACCATGGCCCCAGTGCATCCTGACGCCTACGCACCCGTTCGTATGAGAAGACCGGTCACCCAACCGACCCGTTTGTTGGGAACCATCTGCTAGGCCAAGAAATCAAGAACGAAGTACCGAAAACCTATACTCTAAGTAGCGCCTTCCAAACCCACAAAATCATACCCGAAAACCATCATCAAAACTCAACGTCGCTGCCGTCACTTTCGGCGTAGCTGACTTGTTTCGTCCTGCGATGCTTCTGCGCGCTGTTCTCCCGTTGCGACCCGCTGCCCTCCCCGTTCAAGGGGTTGTACGGGTGCTCCCGTCGAAAAGCCGCCAGGATCTCGACGTAGTCCTTGTCCCATTGCGCCAGCTTCTCGTTGTACGCCGTGACAGCCTTGGCATAGGCGGCCTTTTGCTCGAGCGCCTGGTCCTCGAACGGCTTTCTCTCCTCGGGCGTGGTGGCCTTCCACATCTTGGACGTCATGACGCGCACCTCGTTCGGCGCTGGTTTCTTCCGCCCCGCGCGCTCATCCTCACACTTTTTACGGGCAATCCCGAAGAAGGCCCTGCTATAGAGGAGATAGGCATTCACAACCAACTTGCCGGGCGGCGAGGGCCTCTCGCCAATCTTGGACTTAATGTGTTCCCAGGCGGCCAGATCATATGCCTCCAGAAGAGTCTGTTCCGGGTCCTTGGGCCCTTCCATGTCCTTCCGTTTGTTTGAGACGCTTTCTTTGGGTAGAACTAGGGGAGTTGGGATATCTACCGGGCCGAGCATCGAATCGACAACCTCTGATGCTGCGCGAAGTCCCGATAAGTAAGCTCCGTGAACGGTGGCAGGATGAGTGCCGATTGTGTGTTCCCCAGCGAAGAAGAGATTGCCGATCGGGCGCGACATCGCATCGTAATCGTCCGGTTGCATGTCTGGACCAGCCGAAGAGTAGCTTCCTCTGGCGAACTTGTCCGAGGCCCAGCGAGTGACAACCGACTCAACAGGGTATGGTACTGCAGGTCCAAAGACGCTGCGCAACACTTCGGTCGCCTCGGCAATCAGGTTGTCGTTACTGTTATGTTCCGTGTCAAAGCCGGCATCGCCTGCCATTAGCGCTACAAGACATGGTAAACCTGTTGTCTGGGTGACATTGAACCATTGAAAGAGGCGCCCTCTTGAAGATTTATAGTCGCTTTGGTTCAGACTATGTCGGTTAGGGGCATCTCGCAGAACACCAAAGATGTGCCTCTCCGTATCCCAGAAGGGGTGGTCGTAAACCAGAACCAGTTTGTTGAGCACGCCATAGCCTATCCGGGAGATTACGTCCGTCTTCCACTTAGGCAAAGGTGGGTCAAATTCGACGTTGCCCTGCTTCAACACACCAAGCGGTATTGTCGAAACGACGTAGTCAGCTTCAATTGTTGTTCCATCTTCGCAGTAAACAGAAGCTCGGCCATTTTCCTGCGTATCGTACTTGATCTTGTTGACGGCAGCCCTCGGCCTAACGTCGAGAGGCGTCGGGCAGTGCATAAGACCTCTGGGGACGCTTTGGTACCCGCCAACGATCATGGTGTGCTTGCCTTCCCACTCGTTACCAGCGTCAATATCCCAGCCACCTAAGCTGAGATTATGAAGATTCGTGGCATTGCTGTATTCCAGGTTTGCCACATGCCAGTTGATAAGGCGGTGGTCTTGGGCGGTCAAATCCACGATATTGCGGTACTGAACGACGGCCTCGTCCATGACCGAACCAAGGGTCGCCGTTGGCAAGCCCGCAGCTTCGTTTAAATCGATATTAGCGTCGTTTGCCGCACCGTTTTTCAATGTCCACCCCATCATCCTAGCCTTTTCAGATGCTTTGAGGATACCTGGTGTGCCAGGTTGAGTGTGGACACGTCCGGTCAGCTTATCTGAGGAAACTGGCACCAAGTTGACTCGTTCAGGCACGTTTTGTTGGGAGACCGGCGGTGCGTGCGGCAGAGCGGCAGTCGCCTCTTCGGCCTGTCCAATCGTCCTATGTCCGTCACTCACGGCATCTCGCGCTTCATTGATCAAGTCCCGATTACCCTCGATCAACTTGGAGGGCTGTGACTTGAATTTGTATTCGCTGACTCGATCCAAGCAGTCGTTGTACAAATTCTCCACGAGCTGGTCTCTCACATAGTCCACAGGCTTGCCGTTTGAATCGTAAATTGTCGTCTCTGACCGCAGGGCACGGTATGGGAGACAGAGCTGTGCACGTACAAGGACGTTCATCGGGTTGCCGCGCTCGAATCCCGTAATAATCATCCCGCCCATTTCAGCGGTGAACCGTTCACCGTCAAAGTCCGGCAACGGCAGTGTCGGTTTTGATTTGAACTCTCTTGAGTAAACTCTTCCACCCACCCGACCGCGTCCCTCAAGGACGATAATTTCCGGTAGCGGCTTTCCAAGCGCACGATATCGGTCTGAATACTGCCGGAGTAACCCATCGAGGTGTCTCGCGCAACCCAACCCGGACATACCGGCACCGATGACCACGATTCTTTTCCTCCCGGGCACATGATCTGTACCTGTGGCTTGTTCAGCCCGGTCGCTCGTCCCCGGGAATTCTACACAGCCAAAGTTGATGTAGCCACGCCGCGCAAGCCAGTCGTAACACACGCTTGCGACGTCAAACCAGCGGACGTTGGCGCAGCCGACCGCCTCATTCCTTGTCACTGCAACACGCGGGTTGTTGTACCAAAGTCGAAGGATACCGTTTCTGATGTTGAGATATGTGGTAACCTGGACATGGCTGATGTGATGTCGGAACATCTGGTATTCCTCTTGATGCAGTGCGTATGGGTTTAGCCTCGAGGACTCGGCAGCTTCTATGCATTGTCTTGCATATTCATAATTTGAGAGATTTGATGGGATTGATGACTTTGGCTTTACATCGAAGGATCGTCGCACTGCCTCGCGGACAAGAGGAGTCTCCGTCGACGGTATGGAGAAGTCCTTATGGCCTTCTAGGTCTACGGGCGTCGTTGCCTTACTAGAGAGCGATGAGGGTACCGAAGACAGCTCAGACTGCTCGTGGTCCGACAGATTAGTCAACGGTGATTCGAACGACTCGTGAGGGGTATCGTGTGACTGGATATGAAGGGTCTCTGATTCAGCCTCTTCGGCCATGGGTGAACTGCTGAGGCGTCAGCCAGAATATATACTCCGCTTTGCATATATATACTAAGACAAAGTCATGGCATCACGATGGAGAAGAATGAGCAGCCACGTACTCAGGGTTGGATGCAGGAGCGGAGGAGGGCCCCGCCTCATCCTGGCTTGTGTCATCCAAGTCCATATCTTCGGTCCACACGACAATTTCCGGTGCGATTTCCGAGACTGCTTCTGATGAGATTCGACTTGGTGGGGATGCTGTCATCGATTCTGAGAAATTTGACGTCGATATCCGACTGAGCGTTGCACTAGCCCTTGAAGGCATGAAGTCTGATATGTGTGAGTTTCGGCCCGAGAAATCCATCAATGGGCCCTTTCCGAATCCTGCGTCCTGCTTAACACGAGATCTTGGACTGGACCTCATACTTCAGTCGTCGGCTCGGGTTGAATTCGAGGATGAGGTATGTCTATATGTTGATGGTCGGCGATGAAAGTTGCTCGGCCTGAGCCCCGTCTGGGGGTGTGATGCGGTGGGCCTAGTCCAAAGTTGACAACATGTTACGATAGCTTAGCTAAGGGGAACCCGGATAGCTTCGCTGTGTAAGATCCGTCAGCTGGTTTGGGTTCTCGGATTTGCAAGTACTGGGTATAAGAGAAGACAGATGTGAGGTGCCGACCTTTTGGCTGCGGAGACGCCACTGGCCCTGGCCGCAAAGCACTGTCCGTTCTCGGTTGTGAGCTGTCCCGATATCGTTCGAGTATCGACAGGAGAGCACCGAATGAGGTGCATGAAACCCGACCTATCGTTCTAGATAATTTTGTTGAGGAGACAAAGTCGTACGCATGAAGAGAGAAACCGTCAGATACATGACCCGATGAAATCGCTAGGTTCGGCACTCGACAAGAGGAGCTCCAGCGTTCGAGACAAAAAAGGCGGGTCACGTGATGCCCCGGCAAGCTATCCCCATTGCCTGGGGGAGACTCGTTGGACTGACTGCAGGCCCGAGCCACAGTCGGCAAACATCTCTGACCGAAACCACTGACTCGAGACACTGGCCGAGAATTGAAGAACCAGGAAGAGGAATATAGTGCTGCTAGTAGGTTCATAGCGATCCCCTTTTAGAGAGATTTATTATCTAAATTTCCGTTGCTTCCTTCGTCTTTGACCACATCGCTCTACTCCAATCTATTGATCCTTGCATCGCTAGTTGTCCCCGCTGCAAAGCCCCCCGTGCATCTCACGGTGTGGGGCTTGGAGGTTTGACGTTGTCTCTTGCGAACGATTCCTTCTCGATCGCTGCATCCATCATCCGGTCCCCATTTATGATCGATGTCGTACAGATGATAATGTTTCTTCGAGCTGCAGATGAAACGGATTAGTGCCGTGCTGCTTAGAAGAAGTCATCTGGAATCACTTACATTCTTCCTGCTTCGCGATGAACCGGAGAGCGGCAATCTCGGTGAACGTTATGCCTCCGACGAACACGACGAACACCGTTTGCTTTTCTGCCCCTCCTGACAATAGCGCCCGAGCTTTCATGGCTTTCTCCTCACCCTTCTGTAGTTCGTAAAATGTCTGCCCACGAACATGTTTGACAGCTTCGTCAAAACCATGCCATCCCTGCACTGCGGACCCTCCAGGTGCACCGCTGACGCCGTTTCCTCTCGTAACTTTCAGCAAGTATTGCTTCTGCAAAACGCACTGAATAAGCCGAACCGACAGCGGAGCGTATCCGCTGTACACGTACGCGATATCATTGGGATCGTCTTCCTGGACCTCGTCAACGATGAGGCGAAGAAGTTTACGAAGGTAAGTGTAGTTCGTCTTCGTCCCTGTGTTGTTACCGCCGGCGCCACTCATGGGGATCATTTCCGCCAATGGGGACGATCGCGACAAAAACAGCTGAAGCTTCTCAAGGTTGTTCAGAGTCAGAATGTGTTGGTAGCCATAGCCCTCCAGAATCAGCCGCCGGAAGTGGTCAAATTCCTTTGGCTTGATGCCACCTGATATGCAAGAGTAGATGCAAAGCAGTCTTAGGACTTCGGGCAATGGGGTGTCGCGAGCAATCAGCTCCTCAATGGCATCGAATTGAGAGGATGGGTCCGCGCCAGCAGCTAGGTTTTGCTGCGCTTCCAAGAGGCCCTTGAATTGGTCTGTCCGCGTATACTTTATAATCTCCTCCGCCAAGCCTGTATGGATTCTCAGGCTCTGTTGTTCGGCCTGATATCCCGGTAGCTTGCTGACAAAGTCTTTAAGTTCGGCGATTGACTTGTGGCTGTTCCGGCCCTCGTAGTCCTTCTGCAGGTTCTGCAGGCGGCGAGCAACTTTGTTGAGCAAACTACCCACGATGGCAAAGTTGGTATCCCGAAGTTGCTCGTATAGCTTATCGGAGGAGTCCAACTGTATTTTTCTTTTCCTAGCCTGCGCACTGGTCGTCGAAGACTGAGACGGGGCACCGACCACAGTGGTATCAACTTCAGCTTGGTTGTTCTGAATACCAAACACCTCATCGATGAGTCCCTCGTATGTCAATTGAGTTAAAAGAGGAGTGACGAAATCTACTTCGCGATCGATTATTATAGCACTTTCGGTTAGTATGCTTGGCGACAAGCTGCCTCGGTTCGTCTCAGCAGCGTCCTCGCCAGCAAGAATCTCTTGTCGCATTCGTGCCAGGAGCTCGGCGACTCGTTTCGCGTTGTCACCCTTGCCGATAATCCGAGGAAATAAGCCATGATCCTGCTGAATTCCCATCAAAGCTTTGGCAAGTAGGAAGGACGGCGTGACGTCTTTGGAGAGATAGAGGTCGCGAAAGGATTCGTCTAGCTCGAGTGAAAGAACGTCTTTTTCTAGAGGAAAGAAGTATAGTGGCAGCTCAGAGATATTGACGTCGCCCAAGACGCCGGCCTCCTCCAGCAATTTGTCAGAGACGAGGGTTCGCCGAGGCACCCAGAAGATGTGGAAGTCATGGCCGGTTTGACTCTCGCGCTGTAAACGTCGAATCTGCTCTATGAAGCCTTTAGCGCTGGGCACTGAGCACAACTCGTCTCGTCTCACGATATATGGGCTATGATGAGGTATCAATCAAGAGCACACATGAAACCATGCGGGGGGTTGTGAATCTCTCAGCTACTATGGGAAAAGGCCTCGTGGATCTGCATGGTATGAAGTGCTCACCTGCTATCGTTTGTGCATGACGCGCGCACTCCCCGCGGGCTATGAATATGACATTTCGCTGGCTGGTGTCGGCGTTCTTGTTCTCGAGGAAGAAAAACTTGTCCACGCCGTATTCCTGAAGGGTTGTGACCTTGACGATGGTTCCAATTGGGCCGGCCAAGCTGCGCTCAAGAATGAGGTTCTTCTTTCCGCGAACCTGATGACGCCGATGGTTGGTTAGCTCCTGAGGACAGGCTGCCAGCTCGGAAGGCCTTACTTACAGCCTCGAGCAGGTAAAGGAGATCCTTGCGTGCTTTATCCTTTATCTGGTCCGTATTGAAGCCAGCTCGAGGAGCCATCTTCAGCCCTCCATGCGTTTGAAGGATATTTCGTCGTTGTCGTCGTCGTCGTCGTCGTCGTCGTCGTCGTCGTCGTCGTCGTCGTGGGGCGGCTTTGATTGACCGCTGCTCAATGAGTGAGGTGGAAGGCAAGAAAAGGTAAGGCTGATGTTGGGTGTCGGGGGTTAGAGATTAGATAGAGCACAGGACACCACACCTCACACTCGGAGCTGCGTCAGCGGGGCCTCGGCGGGTAAGACGTCACTTGGGACTCCAGTTTGCGTTGCGGCAAGGCGTGCACTACGAAGATTTGTGTCTCGGGGCGGCCAGTTCATTGGGGATTTCCACACCGGGTAGCCACTGCGTGTAGCCTGCTCTCTTGGCATCCAACAAAAGTCGGCCTTGACTACTTTTTTATCTCGAAAAACTGGCGATCATTGATTCAAATTCAACGGAAGCTGGGCAAGACATCTTTCGCAAGGTGGGTGGGGGTATGCTGGACCACTGAATGTCATGATCTCTTGACATACCACATGGTCTGCCGGATGTAAAGATGCACGCTATATGACAGGACAAAAGATCGCCCAGCCTGACGAGCTTTTGCCTTTCGTCCTGTTAGCTATCAATCCACATGGTGCTAAACATCGTCTGCGGGAACCCGATTCCGCTTGCAAAGCACTTTTTCCAGATATTATTTCTGCAGTGCCGCTCCATAAATGCTGCAGAGGCACCATCATCGCCATGCTGCGGTATTCTCCTACTTCTCGCGAGAACCAACTCCATAGCCATCTGTCTGTCCTTAGTTCCCGATGAGTATGTCAAATTCAAATCCAACGCCAAATCCAACGCCGCCGTGCAAGGTGTCATCCTCTGGATCAGACGGTGTTATCGTGATAGTAGAAGTCGATATCTCTTGGCCGCAGTCTGTTGCTTCGAACAAACTCATCGTCTCCCGCTGGTCGTTCGTTCTTCTCGTTTCCAGTCAACATGCTCTGTATGCTCATGCATACGCTCTCGACGTTTTGCACTGGACTCCAGCCTTGACTGCCGAGTAAGTCGAGACAGATGATGCCGTTTGAATAGATGTGGGGATGCATTGGAATCGGTCGCTCGGCCGTCTTAACGAATGTGACCTCGGGGGGCTCTAATAAGACCGGTCAGCTTGGGCAGCGACGATGAGCAATAGCAAGCGCAGAGAGCATACCTATAGGGTATTGTTGGGAGAACTTGAACTTGAGCCTGTAGACCTGATCCTTATACAGCGGGTTGTCGTCCAGAACCCTGATGTCCATGAACCATTCTTCGAAGCTATCGGCCGAAATGAGATCGATACCGGGGGGCAGACCAGTGTTCAGCTATAAATGAAAAAGTCAGACATTGTTGCGATACAGCGAGCGCGCGCAACACAAGGGTCGGCAAAAGTTGGCCACGAAGCAGCACAGTATATGCATGGGCTGGATGCGACAGACCTTTGAGAGCTCCTTGGCCAGCCGCTTGGAAGCGAAGCTGGACGCCATTTCGAAGCGCGGGAAGACGCAGAACGATGCGGATCAACCCACGAAGTAAACGACGAGAGAGGTGGAATAGAGCAGGGACACCACAGGAGATGACCGTCGGCGGTTCGAAAAAAGCAAGGCAAGGCTAGTCGACGGAGGGAGGAGGGGCTTGTTGGTTGTTGGTTGTTGGAGGGGCTGCTCAGAGACGGACCCCACGATTCGGTGGTTCCTGCCGAGAACAGCACAATGGCGAAGGCGATGGATGAGAGGACGCGCGATAGAAAATTGAATGCAAGAACTGTGGAGGGAGAACCCCGATGTAAATCCTTGTCTTGTCTATCAGGAACGAGGCGAATATCCAAGATGCAGGAGAAATTACAATGTAGAAAGCGCCGTCAGGGAAGATGCAAAGAGGAAGATGTGACGACGGTCTCTGTCGATCAACAGGCCCCGTTAGGTGGGGGTTGTGTAAAGATACTGTAACAGCAGGCTCCAAGGTCGGACGCAGCGAGCAGCTAGCTAAATACCTAGCACCTTGATAGCGCCGCCCGCGGGCAAACATTGGCGGCTGGTTCTGATACCGGGTCTACCTAGGTGTAACTGTACATGGTGCTGGTGGGGGGACGTCCTTTTCTTTCAGTGATCCAGATGGTTCTTGGTGCGCTGAAAGAGTGTATCGTTTACTCCAGCCTGCACGTATTTACGTGGAAGAGGCGGCATACTTTTAAATAACATAACCAAACACCCTTGCACTCTTGATTGCCGTCTTTTGGAGCCCCGTTTCCGGTGACCAATCCCTCTTTTCGGCAACGACTTGCAGGCTATGGAGAAGAACGTTTGGTCTAGAGAAAGGGATTGAAGCCGACGTGCCTACAAGCTTCATATCAAGCAGCGGATAATGCCCCTCCCTAGGTCATGTAGCCATATTCACCAATAGGTGGTGTCTTCGGAGCATGCATACGAGCCTTGTGAGAAGCCTAGCTTGCTGATGAGTAATTTCAAGTAGGTAGCCTGCGGGCTGTGGGTGTACCAACTTAGATCCGTCTTGATTGCCCGTTTGCCAGGTGCTAGTCCCTTAGCCGGAAAATCCATGGCCTCTACGTTACGTCACTGTTCGAATCGCAAAGATAAGAACAAGAAGGCTGGATAGCTAACTTACCAAGACGAAAATGTCATTACGTGTACTAGGTAGGTTGAGATGACAAGTCCCTATGATTTTGCGTAGAGAGAATCAACCTTGAGGCCCAAGACACAACTACTTTCTGGGCCTCACGATGTCATCGCCAGGAAACCGCGTTTGCCTGGACGGGCCTGGCCCGGGTTTCTAGCCTTGTAGCCCAGCCAACGTGTGGTGGTGCTGGGAGAGAATGTGTGAGAAGCGGCCCTCCTCAGCCACGCTTTTCAAATATGCGTCCTCCAGTCGTTTTGATCGCACAGGATACGGCGATCCACACCAAAGACCCTTGCCGGCCATCTTTAGTGCTTCTCAAGCTTCTCAAGTGCAGTGTCATCGCGGCCATGTCCGTGCTTCCCTTCTCAGCCCCTCATCTGTCTGCGGCTGAGCATCCTGTTTAATTCCTAGAAGCCCACAAGGCTCACTTCGGCTGGCCCTGACCCCTGAAGGCGCTGTTCCTTGTGATGGATGGATGGATGAGCTGCCTCTTTCGCTCGCTGCGTGCCCTACTGCCCAGAGGCTGCCTCTAATGCATCTGTTTCCTCTAGAATGGTACTTTTTGTGGTCTCGATTAATTAGCAGAAAAGCCACCCCTCATCCACCCACCCCAGAGTCTCTTCCTCGCCTGTGAAGCTCACCTCTTTTCTAGCCCACCCCCTTCCCATCGCACCCGTCTTTTGTTACCCCACTTCACCCCTCAGCCCAAGCACCAGCAGCAGCAGCTCCAGCACCCCGACCCGGTCCCCCTCTCGCCAGTCGACCTTGCAAGTCTCCATCAGCACCGCTGCTTCCCCTTCCAATACAGGGTTCGAGCTTTCTCGGACTGCTTGAAATTTCCCTTCCCTACGCCAGGCTCGAGCATCTCTTCCTTATACACGCCCGTCTGCGCTTCCGCTTCTTACGCTCGACTCTCCCCGACTGCTCCATCGTCTCTACGCCTGTCGTGTCCATACAGCCATTCGACTACCTTTCCGCTCGCTGCGACCGCTCACTATTCCCACAAAATGAGTTGTAAGTGCCACGTCCATACTCTACAATGGCCTACAAACAACCAGCTTCGCTTGGTTCGGGCTGCTTCTATTCGCTTCGTGCCATGCCTTATCCAATCTCCCCGCGCCCGCGTTACAGTTGATGCTGACCACAAATTCCTCAACAGTCTCCAACATGCTGAGCAGGCTTCAAGGCCAACCCGAGAGCTACGATAAGAAGTCCGAGCCTGCCCTCGATACCCCCTCTGAAGATCTTGCTCTAACGCGTTCATTACAGGGCCAAATACCGCTTTGGACGCACGCTTGGAGCTGGAACTTATGGTATCGTCCGTGAGGCTGACGGTCCGTCCGGCAAGTGCGCCGTCAAGATTATCCTCAAGAAGAATGTGAAGGGCAATGAGAGGATGGTTTACGACGAGCTGGACATGCTCCAGCGCCTCAAGCACCCTCATATTGTCAAGTTCGTCGACTGGTTCGAGTCCCGTGTAGGTACCGCACTAGTTGGAATCGTGACATAGCTTCTAACAACCGCCGTAAAGGACAAGTACTATATTGTTACCGAGTTAGCTACGGGCGGAGAGCTATTTGATCGTATTTGCGAGCAGGGCAAGTTCACGGAAAAAGATGCTTCGCAAACCATCAAGCAGGTCCTTGAGGCAGTCAACTACCTGCATCAAAACAACGTCGTCCACAGAGGCAGGCTCTTCCTGGCATCTCACGTTATTGACAGCTCTGCTAATCCTTGTCCCAGATCTGAAGCCTGAGAACCTTCTCTACCTGACCAGAGATGCCGAGTCCGACCTGGTCTTGGCCGACTTCGGCATCGCGAAGATGCTCGACCGGAAGGATGAGGTTCTCACAACAATGGCCGGCTCTTTTGGCTACGCAGCCCCTGAAGTTATGCTGAAGAAGGGTCACGGCAAGCCTGTGGACATGTGGTCCATGGGTGTCATTACATACACTCTTCTCTGTGGTTACTCTCCCTTCCGTTCGGAGAACCTCCAGGACCTCATCGATGAGTGCAGTAACGCCCAGGTCGTTTTCCATGAGCGTTACTGGAAGGATGTTAGTGACGATGCCAAGGATTTCATCCTGCATCTCCTGCAACCGGAGCCTGTGAAGCGCTGGTCGAGTGAGGTATGTGGCCTTGCAGGGGCGCTGTGAGGCAGTAACACTGACAAATTCACAGGAGACTCTCCGTCACCCCTGGCTCAGCGGAGAGAACGCCACCGATCACAACTTGCTTCCCGAAATCAAGGCTTACATTGCCAAGGCTCGTCTTCGCCGCGGCATCGAGATGGTCAAGCTGGCCAACAGAATCGAGACGCTCAAGGCTCAGGAGGAGGACACGGAAGACTCGGATTTCCCGGCCGATGCTATCAGCGCAGCCGACCAATCCAAGCACGTCGGCACACACGAAGTCGCCGTTGGCGAGAAGCGCAGTCTGTCAAAGACGATCAAGGGGGCCATCTTCCGGGAAGTTGTTCTTGCCAAAGTCCGCGAGATGAAGCAGCAGCAGGATACTCTGAAGGTGAAGGAGGAGGCGGAGAAGGAGCACAAGAGACGCAGCTTTCAGGGCTGAGGAACGTCTGACGTCTTTGAGGGGACGTTGACGGGTCTATTGTGACCCCGGAAGATGATACCACACCGAGTTGGATGACGCAGCAGAGATATAGTCACGACTCTGAAACAGCCCTTGACGTTGTTATTATTTCCTTCCTCATCGCGCTGCCCATTTGTTGTGCGCCCGTTTCGTTTTCGGCCCGCGAGGTACAGGCCTTGGTCACTGCTGTTTGTTTGTTGCTTACCCAGAGCGGATGAGAAGAAAAGAAAAGCGAGGAGGACCAGGTTTTTTGATACAATCGTCGTCAGTCTCATACAGAATTGTGTTCCGTCTTGACATTCCGCCCATGAATCGCGTGAGCCGTCTGAACAGTGACTATCCTTCGGATGACGTTTTGACATGTCTGATCGCGGCCCCCCGCCCCACCGCTTGGTATATTGGGCCATCTTTCCCGCCTTATTAGCCGACGTCTGTTCGACCACGCCCCTCATGCGGGCAGATCTGTAATCCATGTCCAATGACATCCTGAGTGGCAGTGGCACAAGTGTGGTGGCTCGATTTGCGACATTGCACTTTGTAAGGGGACAAGGCTCCAAGATGAACTGTGCGAGCTGGCATTGCTACTACTTGAAGTCAGGAAAGGGGGGAACAGTACCTCCCGTGAGTAACAGCCCCTCCTCGCCCTTCTCTTCCCGCTCCAAACTACTAATACTATGTTGTGTTGTTTGTTCGTTACATACAGGTCGTCGAAATTGTTTGTACAAGGTATATATATAGAAGAAGAAAAAAAACAGGGCTTGGAAAGAGCCAAAGGAACCGCTCCATTGTGCGCCATCTTGCTCTTACGATGCTGAATCGACCAAGAAACAACGAGACAAGAGAAAACCCCAGGATAAAAAATTGAATCGTGAAAAGCAAACGGGAAAAGAACTCGAACCTCCCTCCGCCTTCCATTTTATTTTGCTTCATCCGTCCCGAACGCTGTGCGCTTTCAGTGCGCCATAAATTGTAGGAGAATTACCGCCCTGAGGAAGGGCAGTACAGGCTCCAATTAAGTGAATATGTGCCGACATGTGCCTGTGGTATCATTGGAGAGAAGTTTGAAAGTATAAAATGCAAAAGTTGAATGCGCGGGTCCCATGTGACCGAGACTCGAGGCCCCGTCCAACATTATAATTCGGCGAGGACACTCTCGCGGAGCGCCTCGTAGCGGCTGACGTCGAAGCGGCGACGCTGCCAGTTATTCTGGCGGAGACGCTCGATGCGAGCCTTAATATCGAGACTGCGTAGCTCATCGCTGAGCTCCGGGGTCGCGGCTCTGGCGGGAAGCAAGCTGGCGTCGGTGGTATCGTGGGGAGGCGCAACAAGCCGCTCTTCGACGTCGGCGATGTGGACTCCGATCTGCGATCGGAGGCTGGAGAGCAGACCACAGTAACGATGGACAGAGCGCTCCTGCAGGAAGTCAAAGGCATCGCAGTCCTCATTCAGAGGCTCGGGTGTCGGTGGCTTCATCATCTCCTCGGGCTCGTCAACAGGTTCTGGCTCCTCGGGGAGGACCGGGAGATAGCGTGGCTCGGGCTCTCGCGGGGAGCATAGGTAGTCTTCGAACCCAAGAGTGGGGGAGTCGGGGCGGATGAATGGCTCCTCGGGAATGTCGCAGAAGGTGACGCGCTTTTTGTGGCTGACGGACAGTTTGGTCACGGCATCCTCGACGGAACAGATAGACGGTGTCGGCGACGAAAAGGCCGTTGAATTCGTCCAAGTTCGGGATGAAGCGCGAGAGGAGGTGGAGCTTGAAGGAGAGTGCAGGCTCGAGGTTGCTGCTGAGGATGACCGTGACGAGCGAGCCATATTCTCGTCTGCTGTCTTGCTTAGATCCGAAGCCTGCAAGTAGTGATTTCGTGCCTGCTGAAGGAGCATTGTTCGGTACGGAGAATTGCCCTGCAAGGGTCGTGAAAGCATGTCAAAAGAGCTGGCAGCGTAGAAATGCAGGTATATCAGGTACGCCGGCTCAATGTTCGCCTAATGATCTTTGGTTAGCATGGCCTCGGACCGCTTCTTTCGATTTTCAGGCAACCATAACTTACATCTTCTTTTATGTTGTCCAAGATTTCGCAACACCTCAGAGAGCATGGCCGGTACTTGCGGTTTAGATATTGACGCTTAACTTCAGAGACAGCCTTGATCCATTCTGCAGATGTGTAAGGCAGGACTGGCAGAGAGGCCGGCGTCTGCATTGACGACCGCCTAGACGTACGCGCTCTGGGGGATGGCAGATTCGTCGTCGTCGTCGTCGTCGTCGCCGTCGCTACTGTTGACTGCGGCGTAGGAGCGTTTGATGGTGCGGCCTTGCTGGTAGGGAAGACGATGCTGCCGCGAGAACCGGCGGCAACGGGGTGAAGAAGCAGAGGTATTAAGCCACCCATCGTGAAGGATTTATTAGAAGGCGTGCTTGCTGAAAGAAGGTTTCGGGCACCGAGCTGGCTGAGTGATAAAGAGGAAAAGATAACTCGGCTTGCAACTTCTTCGTCTGATGTAGGACCAATCGTTGTGCGGAATCCACACTGGACAGTCGCAGTCGTCAACTAGAGAGCGTTGCCTAACGTTCAAATGCCAATGACTAACAACCGCGTTGCTAAACCAAGTAATGATGTAGAGAGAGACCAAGCTGTTCAGGCGGCCGGATGGAAGATTTAATCCGAACAAGCCAAGTGCGCGTAACGACTGGAAAGGCCCGACGAGTCACCGAGGCGGGAAGACTCGGCAACAGGCGCAAGCGGGTAATTCCCCAAATGCGTAACGGGCGGTGGCACCGGGATTCGGGACAGTCTCAAGTCGTCTGAACACTAGCTTGTTGGCATTAACAGTAGTGATCTCCAGCAAGGGTATTTGTCAGAGGAGACTTCAAGCTGATGTTGAGTCTATCGACGTCCGGGGTCCTGAGGTTTGTGGTGTCAAGATTATTAAAAGAACTGGAAGGGGTGAGGCATATGGGCCTAAGACGGCAATGTCGAGTGGAGTATATTAGGGTCGATGATTTCGGATATCCTTGCTCGTCAAGAAAGCGGAGTGACAGGCTGCGTCGAGTCGAACGAGGCTGGCTGAACGTCAAGGAAGCAGAAAACAGGGAAACGCCAATCAGAGAGAGTGCCAAATGCAGGGACTGCGTATGGTTGCGAGGTGGTGAACGTGGCGGCCAAAAACCAAGACACGACGTCGGATGTGAGACCAGCGATGGTGAGAGGTCTTGGTCGATGACGAATGGGCCGCTGAGAGAAAGCCAGAATAGCCGAAAAGCACAAGGAAAGGAAGTTACCGGTGGTGTTTTCTGTGTAGACTGTTTTTAACTCGAAAGGTTGGACGATATTATGGTACCGGGTGGGGCAGCCGGGACGATGCGCGAAAAAAAAGACAAGGAGAAACGAGGGGAAGAGGTTGGGGAATCACGAGCGGTATCTCGAAATCGCAGTCTGGACGCCCTCCGGGCACTTTGGGGGGGACGGGTTGTGTTCAAGTACCTCGCGGGATGCATCCAGGGGGAGACGTGATTTCGCAGGTCCCCCGGGCCCTTGATATGGGAATCGGTCGAATGAGGCTCGAATTGAGGTTACTTTGGGTAGGATATTTGCGCATCGACGTTGGACTAGGGAGAAAAGGGGAACAAGCTTCAGGCGTGGCCTGCGCAACGAGATTTTTCTCGTCCCTCTCGAGGACCTGCATATCGTGCTCCATCTCGACGAGGCGTGTTCCCCTGGCACCGGCGCGCCTTATCCTGCTGACCCTTGCTGCTAGCCCTGCTCATCGCTGGGGCCACCATAGAGTCAAACCCACACCCAATGCACACCTCTTGCGCGCAAACGTACTACTGCGAGTATACTATGTAACTCTAGCGACGGTAGGTCTACCTACCTAGGTAGTGTGCTTCGTACCTGACTACGACCGCCCACATAGGCAGTACGCGTCGTGCTACATACACTACTGCCACGCTACATACCCGTCTGTCTGCATTGCAGCTCGACGAAACTATGGGTGCTCGAGGTACACGCTATGAGCATCGAGGCGCTGCTTGGTGTGTGGGATGGCTTGAGGTGGCTTGGGTTGCTCGGGTACGGAAGTGAGCAGTCGTCTTTTGTAATCTGCAAGGTGCGAACAGTCCCCACCTCACGGCCGGACCCTAGATCATTAGGTGGGTACGCTATGAGCAGTACGTACTCGGGAACGAGGCGTGGAGAGGATCCCGGCCCTTCTGCGATGGCGTAGGTATGTGTGGGCCAGACCCTCACCTGGTGTCATTCTTTGCAGCCCCCCCGGAACGTTGTGACTATCTTTTCCCCGTAGTGTTAATCAAGACGGTGTAGTGTAGGAGGGGGCAACAAGCACTCGGCGACACTCGCAAAGCAGGGACAAGCTCTATACTTGTAGGTGTCGTGTAGGCGCGAAGGGGGGGGAGAGGTGAGAGATGGGGATTGGGAGACGGACGGGACGGTGGGCTTGGCTGGCGCCATTTCGCAAGAGGGATGATGCCGATGAAGAAGAGTTCAAGCCTTGGAGTCACGACACACGCCAGAAACGCTGTGTGTGTCTTGTCAGCAGGGAACCGTGTCTCTGTTTCTGGGCGGCCAACGAACCGGAAGGAGAGAGTCCTGCATGCCCTGCGTCAAAAGAAAGAGAAGAAGAAGAAAGGCGCAAGAGGGTAATGGATCTTTTCCAACGGTGAAGCAAGCCGGTGGCAGAGGAGACCCAACGGCCAAGCAGCCTGGACAATCGTACCGAGGGTCTGGAGGGGGCTTGCATACGACTCGTACTAGTTAGTACTATCTACTATGTATGCTGCTTACAATGTACAGGGTGGCAGGGGGAAGTTAATTACCCCTATGATGTTACCCCCCATAGCTGATATCATAGTAGAGGGGGAATATTCACCGAAAGTGAAGTCCTGCAGTAGGGGGGTGAACATTAGTTACCTAACAGGGGTAATTAACTTCGGCCGGATACCATTGTACATACCGTAGTACCTAGTCCTGCGCCGGAAGTCAGGAACCAACAACCGAGCAGGGGGACCCATCCCGCCCCTACGAGCGCATCGGATCTCCATTGACGTTCCCTTCCTCGGACTACCGTCACTTTCCACGCAGCTTCCGCCCATACTTTCTACCTAGGGCGCCCCATACGCGCGCCCCTCCCTCCCCTGCCATAATCCTCGCGGCCTCCGTCGTCTCTCTCATTGCACCCTCATTCCCACTGCTACACATTGAGCGACTTTGATTGCATGAACATGCATTTCTTCTAGGTTCATGACAAGTGACAACATCCCACCCACGCCAAAATCCCGAATATTCGTACTGACCCTGTCATCCTGTCGTCCTGCTGCTGGAATCTACCGATACCAAATTGGACCAAGAACCTGGCTAGCCTTCGATCTCCATCTTGCCCTTGAGCCCTTAGGTCCTAGTTCGGCCATTTGGCTCCCGGCACTCGTGAGTTCCTCCTACCTATCCGTACCTGTGCAACGAATCCCACACCACCGCTCGCCACCACCAGCACCACTCGGCGGTCCCAATAACGTGTTACGGTAGCATCATTATGTGGCTCCGGTTATCCACGCCTCGGCATTTATGTGCCATGGCCGCCATCAATGCAACAACGCAACGCTTGAGCGTCTTTCCCACCGTCCACGGGCAAATATTCGATGAGAAGGAGAGCCAAACGAAATTGGACTGCGCAACGGCACCGGTCGGCCTGTCAAAACAAACAAGCAAGCAAACAAGAACAAATCCTAACAGAAATGACAGGATTAAAATAAATTAAAATAACAAGTATGCGCCAAAACGCTCACTGGACCCATACAGAGAAGCAAGCAAACATTACCAGCACCAACGTAAAATATGTACCTAGGTACGGAGTAATGTATGAAGGACTCCTGTACCAGCGATAAAGGAGGAAAAGCAGCAAGCATGGATGCTGAGCCTAGGTACCGCGACCCCGGGTATGGGATCAGCTGGCAATTTTGTCCGGGGGCTCCATCAATTGCGTCTCCTCGCCATGTCCTTAGTCATACGTCCATCACGTTCCGGACGATCCGATGGCTCGTTCTCGTAGCCTCCAACTTTGGAAGAAAGAGAAAGCAAAAGAAGGGGGGAGGAGATTAGGTAGCCCGAACACCCAAGAAGCAGGAAACCAAACGTGTGCCGAGAATGAACACAAACTCGTCCGAAGGCGAAGAAGCTGGATCAAAAAGAGGTCTCAGCGCAGTCTCGCATACTCTCAGCCATTGAGAAAGAAAGAAACAAGTGGGCCTGGAACGAAACATTTCCCTCGTGCAACTCTGTGCACTCGCACAGATCTCTCCAGAGGGAGGAACATAGGACGACGTGGTATGCACCACGAATCCCGAATCCCTCACCCCTCACTGTAAGATCAATAAGCATCATACTGATTCGCCGAACCAATGTTGATATACTTCCGAAGTTTGGTTCTGTGTCGGTAGTATTTGTTTGAGAAAGATGCGCTGCGACGAACAGCGCGCATATGAGACAAGCATGTATGTTATGGGGGGGGACGAGCCTCACCGCTTGTGGTGTCGAGTCCGACCTACATAGTAATGCCTAATGATGCAGACGCGAGCTGGTCGGGAGGTCGGAAGACGGCCTTAGCCGGAGGTGAATGACTGATGGAGAGATTTTGTTTGTACCTGTACAAGCTGAAATCCCTCAAGTTCAGATGAACGTTTGCTGCGCCTGGGTTCAATGCGTCGTGCAGTAGCGGACGGCCACCGTCACACAGCAACCCAGTTCGCAGTAAGTTGGCAGCCAGCCGATTCGTGCAGCCTTCGATCCAGATAGACTACAGAGCGACGCTCAACTGAGGTCTTTTCCGCAAAAAGGAGTCCACTTCTTCTTCTTCTTCTCCTCCTCCTCCCCCTCCTCCTCCCCCTTCCCATCCCGTCACATCATGGGCGCGGAGAGGTCCTCGAATAACCCCGCTTACCTGCGTGTTATCGTCAATGGTCCGGTCGGAACTAGGGTTTCTTCGTGAGGGGTAAGCAGAGCGGCACCGAGCGCTTCCGCCATCGGGCGCACGCCTGAATTAGGGGCACACACGTTGGGCCCGTTGGCGAGCCCACGGCCGGTCAATTCGGGTTACTTGGCGGCGGTCTCCCATCCGGTCTTGCCAACTTCTCACCTCGAACACTATGCGACTAGAAACACTAAGTTTGTTGATAGACCAAAAAGAAAAAGAGAAAAAAAAAGAGAAAAAAAAGAAGAAGAAGAAGGGGGGACGTGGTCTCCCACCGTCATGCAGTTCATCTCAAGACTGTGCGTCCAGCGATCACTGGCCTCGCAATAGCTTGCGGGCTAAAAAGCTCGTGAACCCGCCCCAGCGCGCGAATGGCTTCATCACTAGAGAGCCGTGGTGCGACGGAACGACACCCCATTCTCTCGTGGTTGCCAATCCGGCCCGCCGCCGCTCTGCTCGAGCCGCGCTAGCTGGGAGATGCAGATCCCCTCCATCTGACTGAAGTCCTCGGGAGGATACCGTCGCAGTCTATCCGTACTGCGTATGCTTCTCTCCCTGCCCGCACGTGGTGGACAAGGGGGCATCGAACGCCGCGCCCGACGTTCCTCGACTAGGGATATAGTACCGGTATATCAAACCTGGCTGATTGGACGCAAGTGCCCGATAGATACGCCACCAAGCCAAAGTTCATATCCCAATGCTAAAAACAGGTTGACTTTGCAAGATGAAACGCTCGTGATTAGGAGCGAATTGAGCATCACCGTCTGGGTTGGGGTAGCAGGTGTGCTTCCTAGCTCGTCTATTGCGTTGTTCTTTTTTTTTTTTTTTTTGCTTTCTAGTGATTCATCCACCGTCCGCCTATGCGCTCGGCGGGGGCTTGCTCTCCTCCGTCGTCTCCGCGGGCTTCTCTCCCTCCAGCACGGCGGCAGCTGGTTCCTCCGTGGTTACCTTGTCCGATGCAGACGCCGGCTTGATGTCCTCGCCCCGCATGCCTCCTACGACCCTTAGGCCCTCGGCCTGTCTGGCGAGGCCGTCGAGCTCGCGCTTCCGTGACAGGCGCTTCTGCACTTCGGGAACGAGCGACGCCATGTCGACGAGCTCACCGTCCTTCTGAGGGTGGCCCTCGGGAAGACCCAACTCCTTGATTCTAACGACGCCCTTCTGTACCTCATCGTCGCCGAGAATGATGGCGAACGGCGTCGCGTTCGACTCCGCAGCCTTGAACTGCGGCGGCAGCTTGGGCTTGACTTTGTACAGGAACTCGGCCTAGATATTCCGACACCACGTCAGCGTTGGGTTCTCTGTCTGACCCAGATCAGGTCTGTGCATAGCTGCTATTCTTCTCACCTTGATGCCTGCATCCCACAGCTTCGAGCAGACCTCGAGTCTCTCCTTGACCAGGCCGGCCTTGGATCCCAAGGACATGACAAAGACGTCAACCGTGCTTTGGGGAGCTTCACTTTCGGCCTGCATCCTCGCCTTGGTGATGCTGAAAATTCTTTCGATGCCAAAAGAAACCTATTCCGCTGTTAGCGTCTCGCCTGTCTTTGCTTGTTGGTGACGACCACTTACGCCGACGCACGGAATTTGGGTCTTGCCGGAGAACATGCCGACAAGGTTGTCATAGCTGTCGTCGTCGGGTTAGCGAACGGATAACTTGTCAAGTGGGAGGGATATCTCGATATATCCTTACCGTCCACCGGCAGCGACACTGCCAACGCCAACACTGGGATCGTCGGAGCGGTCCTCGTCATCCTTGTCCTTGCTCTTGCTCTTCTTCTTAGACTTGACTGTCTTGTCATCTGCGTTAGGGGCAGCAGCAGGTGCTGATCCTTCCGTAACGACCTCGTAGATGACGCCAGTGTAGTAGTCCAAACCGCGGGCCAAGGAGAGATCAAACGACACCCTGTCGAGAGCACCAAATGCCTCAAGGTAGTTGAACAGAAGCTCGAGATCGGCCATGCCGGCCTTCATTGAGGCGTTGGCCGAGAGCTTGTCGTCCCGCTGCAGCTTCCGGAGCAGATCCTGCTTGCCCTTCTGGACTACCCACTCGCCGATCTTGTCGGCAACCTCCCCATCCAGACCCTTCTCCTCCGTCATCTCCTTGCGCGCGTCGACCCAAGGGAGCTTGTCGAGCTTGTCCACGGCGGAAGATATTGTCCGGATCTTGTCTTCGGGCACACCACAGACCTCAAAGATACCGTCGAGAATCTTGCGGTGGTTAAGCTTGATAGTATAGTTTCCGTTCCAGCCAAGGCCCTCAAAAACCTCAACTATAATTCGGATGATTTCGGCATCGGGGAGCATGGAGTCGTAGGTGCCAGCAATGTCAAAATCGCACTGGTAGAACTCGCGCATGCGGCCCTTGTTCATGGCAGGCTGGTCGCTACGGTATCCATGTCAGCTAGACGCTCAAGCGTCTTTGGGAGGCTATTGTATGACATACCGGCGGTAGACCTTTGAGATGTGGTAACGCTTGACACTCTGGATATCCTTGTTCATGGCGAGCCATCTGGCGAAAGGGACGGTCAAGTCGTATCTCAGGGAGGTGAGCTCACCACCCTGGTCGGCAAGGTCGTAGATGAGCTTGGAGTCTTCACCATACTATCACAGGAGTGTTGATCAGTATGCTGTGCTGGCTCGAGGTTCGAAGTGGATCGCGGGGTTCGCGCGCATCGCCCGTAGTGGGGGGGGGGGGGGGGGGGGGGGGGCAAAGCCGGAAAGTCGTACCTTGCCAGAGAGAATCTCCTTCAGCTCGAAAACGGGGGTGTCGAGTTCCATGCCGCCATGTTTCTGGAAGACACCCTTCAGTTGCGAAAAGATCTTCTCGCGGATGAGCATGTCCTTGCCGAACCCTTGAGCAAAACATTGTATTAGTTGCGGCGCATGATTCATCTATGGGCGCAATTGGCGATGCGGTATTGACTAACAATCCTTAGTGCCCTTGGGGGTCTTCAGCTCGAACTTAGATTTGGGGGCCATGGCAGGCAACTGTTCGCTTTCGATTTGGTAACGAGGGGTGGACGAAGAGAAAGCGCGACGACAGGGTCTGCTTCGGGTGACGATGCTGGTTCTAGGCAAAAGAGGGGGTGGAATTGGGCTTTGAGAAAGAAGAGTCAGTCGGTAGGCCGGTCGGGCGGACCTCGAGAAAATCTTCACCTGGATCTGCATTCACCTGGCTTCCAATTGCGCAGAGGGGAAACCGATTTCAGGGTAGAAAAAGCGGCCCTCGGGGAATCTTTGCGGATGACTCAATCGCAAACTTGGAGGGGCCCGACTGACTGACGACTGTTTTTGGGGGGAGGGGGATTTTGTGAGGTCAAAAAACTGCTGCAAGGCTGCGACTGGACGGGAATGCGCCTGCATATGCGTGACCAATGACATTGCCGGGCCGAAGATGACAGATCCCTGCTCTTCGGACAAGGCTTTGCCGTAAGTCCTCGGGTGGACGGTGTCGACTGGAGCAACAACTGTTCTGACACCATGTGTCGGGTCAGAGCATTCCGAAATTTGACTAGTTTACTGGAGGCTATCTCCACGGCGTATGGAATATCTTTGAAACCCAGTTGGTCACAATCATTGATTCTCTATTTTTTTTTTTTTTTAAAATTGCCCTTTCGCTATCGGAGCCACCTCGAGAAAGCTTATCTTGGGGGAAACCTTACGATGCAAGAATGAAAAAGCGGCCTTGAAGTTCTCGGCCATGGATCAATGGACCGATAGTGACGATGTAGAGATCTTGCATTTTGTCAAATGACCAGTGTTCTCTCATCAGTCCAGGTAGCTTGCACGGTGCTCAGGACTGACTTCGGGTCCGTTTGGTCCCCCACAACGTTCGCGGTTACCGACTGGGGGGGTCTTGCCTGAAGTCCGGCCCCAAGGCGTCGGACCAGACAAGGTGAGTGGGGTCGGAACACTGCGTGTGTACAATAATAGGTACCTAAGTAACTACCTGCCTAGGTAGGGAGATATCAAGGCTTTGCTGAGGTGCTCATAGCACAGGAATTCCAAAACATCTCTGATTTTACTGTGTTTTTCTTCGCTTTTTTTCTTTTCTTTTCTTTTTCTCCGTCTTTCGAAGTCTCTTCAACACCAAGGTGCTTAGGAGATGAAATCTGGGACAGCAGAGCAAGAAACAGAACAAGAACCATCAACTGTCCCACCCACCCGTCGTCTGTCTACGAAAGATGTATTTTAACGAAATTGTCAGCACAGCCTAATGAACCCAGACAAAACTCACTCTGTCATTTGTCAAAGCGTTCATTGGCGGTGTCAGCAGCGAATTCTTGGCGACGCCCGCGTCGGAAACGAATGAGTATCTGTCTACCTAGCAGGCTTTTGCTCAGGCTTATCAGAGACGTCAAGAAATGTGCCACGTGTACGGATATGGATAACGTCACCTGTGACCAACTAAGTTATGGGAGAAGAAAGAGAGGAGGCACAGAAGGAGCGAAACAGCATGGTAGAATCTAGATCATGTTGTTTGCAAGTCCACATCAGCTCATGGCTGGTGCACGGCCCGTAAATTGGGTTTACGACGCCAACATGGTGATCTTACACGAACTACGCCCGCTAAAAACCCCTTCAAGACATCTCGGCTAACCGTTCTGGGCTGTTTACGAAATGAACACTGATTGGCTACATTGCCAAGTGCCATATGCCGTCCGAGTTTCGTCCAACTTGGAAAAATCCCAATACACATGAGGTTCAGTCTACAGTATGCATGCTTTCATGATATTAGTGCAAGAATCAGCTCATAATCCCTGCATTTGACCGTAAACCCTGACTGTAACAAGATTACAGAAAAATGCGTAGAAATACACTACCTACTACCTCACTTACGCATAAGTTTACCTACCTAATAGGTATGTAGATTCGTGTGAGCACCCTACTACTGAGGTACCTAGGTGGTAGTGAAAGGGTAGACTATGGCGTCTACGTTTGCCCCACCATTTCCGTAAGCGGGGCAATTATCCACCCGAAGTGGTGGGCCCAATTGACTTCCCGTCCGTTGAACTTGGGCTCCCCCAGCCAACATCTCTCCTAAACCAGACTGGCTGCCTTCTCTGGGGACTGGGTATTACCTAGGTAGCTGCCTGGGTCAGGCAGGTAGGGTACGTTGCTGCACGGCTCGTAAAGTCCCAATTCGGTGTTGTATACGAATACACGCAGGATCAAGAACCTAGGTGGGTAGGTAGGTAGGTAGGTAGGTAGGTAGGAACGCAAATGTAGTAATTCACTTCAACGCACTTGGCTGCCTCGCAGGGCTCTCTCTCTTGTCGTCACCACATCTTTTGTAATATTGCTCACTTGTATAAACACGACTTGGAGCCATCCTCACTTCTTGTTCTTTTGCTCTTCTCTCTGACACCCCAAAAAAGACAAACGTCTAATTAGTCTTATTCGTTCATTATTTCATTTACCCATTCCACTAGCTACACTTTTCAAAAACAACGTTGTCCAAGTGTCCCTCTCCTACAGCATCACCCCAAAACCATGATTCATTGAGATCCATCCTTCCGCCCCGAATCGGTATGAACCCTATCAAGACGGAGACAGCCTCAGCGGATGGCGTGTCGCCAGTGGCCGCCGGTATCGTAGACGAAAAGAATGGCGCGACACAATCGACAGCTGGAAGCAACGAGGAGTCCACTCCGAAAGCCTACACCAGACCTGAAAGACAACCCAATGTGAAGGACTACCTCCGCGTCTTCACATATGCTACGAAATGGGACATATTTGCATACTTCGCGGCCGGTCTCGCCTCCATCGCTGCTGGTACCACCTTGCCGTTGATGAACGGTGAGGAACGATATGCTATTCCTAGTGCTTTGTGTTTCTGACTTGTACATGTAGTCGTTTTTGGTCAGCTTGTGGACCAGGTCAACGGATTCGGTACTGGAAACGGTACAACGTCGGCAGACGATTTCAGGAAGGTTGCAGACCGACAAGCACTCTACCTATTTGCACTATTCATAGCCCGCTTCGCTCTCAACTACGTCAACAAATTCGGCTTTCGAATGATCGGGATTCGCCTTTCCTCCGCAATCCGCCTGCACTACCTCCAACGCCTTTTTGGTCAGACCATCCATGTTCTTGATTCGATGCCGGCCGGCGCCGCGGCCGGCACCATCACCTCGACCGCAAACACTCTCCAGATTGGCATTTCCGAAAAACTTGGCGTCTTCCTCGAGTTCAATGGCACTATATGGACCGCCATCATAGTGGCATTTATATATAGTTGGTCTCTGACTCTCGTTACGGCATCAGTTATTCTCTTCATCCTCCTGGTCTTGGCCGTGCTGCTCCCTTTCATCATCAAAGGCCACACTGAGATGACCAAGGCGGAAGGCAAGGCCTCTGCTGTGGCCAGTGAGGCTTTTTCAAGCATTCGAATAATCGCTGCCTGTGGTGCCGAAGACCGAATCGCTGCTCGGTACGCTCGCTGGGTTGAGGTTGCCCGCCAGAAGGGCCAGTTCACAGCGCCCTTGATAGCTCTTCAATTCGGCCTTGTTGTATGTCTGGTCTCCTAGCTAATGATGGCTTGATCTAATCATCGGTAGTTCTTTGGGCTCTTCGGCACTTTCGGTTTGGCGTTTTGGTACGGCACGCACTCTTGGGTGGATGGACGGATCGGTGGTGTTGGAGAAGTCATCATGTGTGTATGGATTCCGACCTGCTTGAACTGCCCCCTAATTTATGCAACAGTGTCCTCATGTCAGTGATGCTTGTCGTCATGTCTCTTGAACGCATCAGCACACCCCTTCTTGCTATAAGCAAGGCAATGGTAGCAGCATGCGAGTTCTTCACTGTCATTGACGCTCCCCATCCGAAGACGGGCGATTTGAAAGACCCTCAGGTTTCTGCCAACCAGAACCTCGAATTCAAAGGCGTAACCTTCGCGTACCCCGGAAGACCGCACGTCAAGGTACTAGATGATCTTCATCTAACTATCGAGGCTGGCAAAGTCACGGCCATCGTGGGGCCATCAGGCTCTGGCAAGAGTACCATTGTGGGTTTGATCGAGCGGTGGTACACTCTACAGGACCAATACGTCATCGCCAAGACAGTCGAAAAGGACAAGACGAAGGAAGCCCAGAAGAAGAATAAGAAAGGCAAGGAAGACTCGGATGATGATGAAAAAATCACGCCTGAGGAGACTGGCCCAGCTGTCGAGCTCAGAGGCTCTGTCACTACATGTGGCCATTCTCTTGACGAGATCGACTTGAAGTGGTGGCGATCTCAAATTGGCTTGGTTCAGCAAGAACCTTTCTTATTTAACGATACCATCTTCAAGAACGTCGCTTATGGTCTTATTGGATCGCAATGGGAGAATGAGTCCGAGGAGAGGAAGAGAGAACTCGTCAAGGAAGCCTGTCAGGAGTCATTTGCAGACGAATTCATTGACCGCCTGCCGGATGTAAGTTGCCCTCCCCCCGCCCCATCCCCCGAGCCGACAGAGACTGACCTGTATCAATAGGGATACGACACTAGAGTCGGTGACAGCGGTGCAAAGTTATCCGGCGGTCAGCGTCAGCGTATTGCTATGCTCGAAGCATAGTACGAAGCCAAAAATTGTCATCTTAGACGAGGCCACCAGCGCCATCGACGTACGCGGCGAGAGAATCGTGCAAGCTGCTCTCGACAAAGTCTCCAAGAACCGAACAACAATCACTATTGCCCACCGCTTATCCACCATCAAAAAGGCCGACCGAATTGTTGTCCTAAAGAAGGGAAAGGTGGTCGAGCAGGGCACTCACGAAGGCCTTCTGGAAAACCACGAGGGCGTCTACTATGGATTAGTCCATGCTCAGCAGCTTTCGCTTGGAGATGACGTGGATGACAGCGACGAAGATAACAAGGAAGAGGAATTGGGTACAGTTCTTAACCGAGAGAAGAGCGCCGCCAAGTCCGAAGTTGATAGCACTCGCCAAAAGGCCGAGGTGAGGAACCGCAACCTGTTCCAGAGTTTTGGAAGATTACTCTACGAGCAGCGGCATCGTTGGATTCTGTGCCTTTCAACAGTGGTGTTCGCAGCTTGCTGCGCGGCCGGTACCCCTTTGCAAGCTTGGTTATTCGCCCAGGTCATTGCGGTATTCAACCCGGGAAATACCCCAGACAAGATCCGTAGTGACAGCAACTTTTGGTCTGCCATCTGGGCGGCCCTGGCCGTTGGTATCGGTATCTCGTACTTCCTCATGGGATTGGCGGCGACGTATCTGGCACATTTTATCTGCGCGACCTACAGGCAACAGTACTTTGATGCCATTCTCTTCCAGAAGACCGCATTTTTCGACGAGGAAGAAAACGCCCAAGGCAGCCTGACCGCTAGGGTGGCCGGTGATCCCAAACAGTTAGAAGAGCTGCTCGGTCTGAACATGGCCATGGTTTTCACAGCCATCTTTACTATCATTGGTGCAATTTCCGTTGCCTTTGCATTTGGGTGGAAGCTAGCCTTGGTTGCTCTCTGCGTCACAATGCCCATCGGAATTATCTCTGGCTATTTCCGTTTCAAGTATGAGATTCAGTTCGAGAAGATGAACGCAGCAGTTTTCGCCGAAAGCTCCAAGTTCGCCGCAGAATCCATCGGAGCATTCCGAACCGTCTCGGCACTGACCCTGGAGGACACGACATGCGCGCGGTACAATGAGCTGCTCAAGAACCACGTCACACATGCTTTCATGAAGGCAAGGTGGACCAGTTTGGTCTTTGGATTCTCGGACTCGGTTTCCATGGCCTGCCAGGCTCTCATTTTCTGGTACGGTAGTCGGCTTCTGATCTCTGGCGAATACAGCACCCAAGCCTTCTTTGTCTGCTTCATGGCCGTAATCCAGGGTGCTGAGGCTGCAGGTCAGAGTCTTAGTTTCGGACCCAATGCGGCCCAGGTCACAGCAGCCTCGAATCGGATTATCAACATGCGGGAATCTAGAAACCAGGACCTCCTACCGGTCGTGGACACCATTCCGGACACCGAGGGTGGTGTTCAGATAGAGTTCCGCGACGTGCATTTCCGATACCCGACTCGTGATGTCTCTGTTTTCAAGGGGCTCAACCTGGCGATCGAAAAGGGCCAGTTTGCTGCCCTCGTTGGAGCATCCGGCTGCGGCAAAACGAGCATTATTTCTCTCATGGAGCGTTTCTATGATGTGCAAAAGGGCGCTATTCTCTGCAACGGCAAGAACATTAGCGACGTCAACATCTACGAGTACCGGAAGCAGCTGTCGTTAGTAGCCCAGGAGCCTACCTTGTTCCAAGGCACAATCAGGGACAACATCCTCCTTGGAGTGGACGAAAATAGCGTGACCGATGAGCAGCTGCACCGGGTATGTCGGGACGCTTCTATTCACGACTTCGTCGCCTCGCTTCCAGAGGGGTATAACACAGATATTGGCAGCAGAGGCGTCTCTCTATCCGGTGGCCAGAAGCAACGTGTGGCAATTGCGCGCGCGCTCATCAGAGACCCACATATACTTCTGCTAGATGAGGCCACAAGCTCCCTTGACTCGGAGTCCGAGAAGCTGGTTCAGGCCGCCTTTGAAAGAGCGGGAAAGGGCCGCACTATGCTGGTTGTTGCGCACCGTCTCGCAACGGTGCAGAACGCAGACATCATCTTCGTCCTGGGGGAGGGCAAGCTGCTGGAGAAGGGCAACCATGTAGAGTTGCTGAAGAAGAAGGGAGTATATTGGCACATGGTAAGTCTGCCTATCAGAGGTTTGATCCGAGGCATGTTACTGACCTCTTTCTTGCAGTGTCACAGCCAGGCACTCGACAGATGAACGATCCCCCTGATGCCACAGGGTAGCTGCAACCTCTGCCGCTATTGCGTCGACTACAACTATTCGGCCTCATATATTTGAGGTGATGAATGGATGATACGATCAGGGATAGGTAAAAATGAGACCATCAATATGCGATTTGAAATCTCATGCCGTTGATGGGGTTTTCACAGCCGGTTATGCGGCCACGAAGACTCACAAAGCCGCAAAGAATCTCAACTCCTCTTAGTATATTTATCTGCATTCCCCAATCTCGAGTCATCCGCCACAGGTCCGATATTACAGTTGATGCTGTTGCGGCTGCCACGACGGAATGACCAGGGCTCCAATGGAGGTTTCTCTTCACTCTGATAGATATAATCTTCGGTTTCCAACGGAGAGGTTTTGTCTAGTCCCCGCGGGAACCGCTGCTAATCGACACAAACAAACTTTAATACATACAAAATACTGATGGCGTGGTATTGATGTCTACGAATGAAACCCAGAGATATATCCTCTTCACGTGGCTCGTCTATCTATGAAGTACTTTCACAATCCAAATTTCCAAGCGTGTGTGACCTTCTATGTCTGTCTATCCTCGCCGGCCGTCGCACCTCCGGCCTCCCGCTTCATAACCTCACGATTGCGTCTCCAGCCCCCATAGCGCATCTAGCTCACGCATGATGAAATCCGTCTTGGTCATGACGAAGTCGTGACCGCCAGGGAGCTCCTTCCACACTACGTTATCCTTGCCGCCCAACAACGGCAAACCGTCCTTGGCATAGTGCTCGAGGTCGATGATCTCGTCCGTCCTGCCAATGAACACAGCCGTCGTCCCCTTCGCCCGCCTACCCAGCGCGCGCCATGTCTCGTCCTGGCCCGTTAGCGGCGCCCACCGCATGCACGACATGAAGGCCGGCACGAAACCCTCGTGGTGGGACACCATCCAGGAGACATATTCGCGCGCCCGCCGCTCGACCTGCACGTCCTCACCGCCGGGCCCTGAGACCTCGGCGGCGGCAACGTCGACCAACTTTTCCGCCGGGTCGTCCTCCTCCGCAGCGGCGTTGGAACGCTTGCGCGCCAGCGGCCGCTGCAGCCTCTTGCGCGTGACGGCGGCGAGAATCCGTCCGGGGACGAGGCCCGACTGGAACGTTAGCTGGGCGAGGAGGCCAAAGTTCTCGACGCGGATGAGTCCGGCGGGTGCCAGTAGCACGAGGCTCTCGACCATATGCGGGAACGCGGCGGCGAAGGAGGCGGCGACGGCGCCACCCAGGGAGTAGCCGATCACCCGGACGGAGTTGGTGCCGGACCATGCGAGCGGGGAGGAGGCGAGGGCAAGGAGTACCTGAGTGGTGTACAGGCGGGCGTCGTGCGGGAGGTCGCCGACGCCATCGGAGAAGCCACGGCCGAAGAGGTCAAACATCATGACGCGGCAGCCCCGGGCAGCAAGGGCGTGGGCGATGCGGCCGAGGGTCATGCACGAGGTGCTGATCCCGTGGATAAGAACGACCTTAGGACCAGTAATGGGGCCGAACTCGTAGACCCGAATGGAGCCGTACTGGGAGCATGTTTAGCCATGTACTAATCTCGGTTGCTTTATCGTCTTTGTGACAAGTGAGAGATGACGGGGAGGGGGGGAGAAGGGCGTCTCACAGGCGTTTCAACATCCCGTGCACCCGGGAAGGAGTCTGGTCGGTAAGGAAGCTTTTTAACCTCGTCGCCCGAGAGCTTGGATAGTTTGGTCTTGAGAGGGTTAGGGATGGCGGTGCCCCAATTGGGATAGAGGCCGAGCCGGGCAAGAGATAAGAAGGAGAGCGTGGCGACGACGGTTGTCGCGACGATTGCCGCCGTCCGCGGTTCAACAGATGGGATGAAGAGAGAGTCCATGGCGCTGGAATTCCAAGCTCTCGGTGTGTTGTGAGATATCAGGATCGGGATATGCCCTTTAGAGAATACGAAGTGGAGGAACGGGCGGAGGGAGGAAAGCTCCCGGAGCTCCGTAGGTACTTTCTGAGACGGTTTGCAGATACCCCGCCGACCTCGTCTCCTAAGATTCTGAGGGCTACGAGGTGAGTGATATACGACAATCACGGCAGTCGACGCGTCTATAGCCTAGTAAGCCCCGATGCGTTGTCGTTGTGTAACCGAGTAGGCTGATGCTGAGCCCAGCTCGGATGTATGTCTAGTGGAGAGCGGAAGTCGTATGCGTTGGTGGGAAACTAGCCAGGTACCACGTGGTTCCTATTTGTATCGAAAAAGTGGAGACGAACTACCTAACCTTCCTTATGTATCAGCTGGCAGGTAGCGGCCAGCACAGAATGGCATTTGATGGGATGCCCGATAAACCACGTCCAACAACACACATTTCACCCCTGACAGTGCTCTCTTTCCGTTCCGGCTTCGCTTTACTCCAGTTTCTTCCGATGCAGATGAAAATCGAATAAAGGTGGCTCAACTGCACGTGAATGGACAACAGTGGACTGAATGCCGCATCTATGGGCCAGTTATGCCATCCTCTTCCACTTGGAGATCGTTACCTGAAGGCCTGGCTCGAGACAGTATAGCAACTCCGGACAACAAGATGACAATCCACACACGACTGCAACGTGGACAAGTAAATATCAATGGAATCACCTGGTCTTTCAAATTTGACTACAGTATGCCGATAAACCCTAAAATAAGTCATAACGCTTTGTCTTACCATGCTATTGCTGCCAGCACTGCCTTGTATGCAGCAAGGAAGAAGTGCATCAAGGGTGCCCTGAGACGGAGCGCCGAGTCTTTTGGCGCGCTGGGCTAGTGTACGGTTGTTACCAGTTCCTGACTTGTTGGCACTATGTCCATGGGTACCGTTCACATCAAGGGGCATCTTGGGGGGACCTACTCTTGGCAGAGCTTCTTGACAAGCTTTGGGGTCTCCTCCCACGAATTCTCTTACCACCGGTGCCGCCCGGCGGCAACATCGCATGACGTTGTCATATTAGTGGGTATGACTCCTTCGCGGCGCCGGCGCTCTCTTCCGGTTCTGGGCCGCGAGACCTTTCAAGAATCTCTTGATATTTGAGAAGGTGACCCGCTCAATAATCGTCATGACCCTTCGACGTCCCTCGACGCCCACAGCGTCAGATCATTAAGCAACTTATGACCCAGCGTGGCTTTGAACGCCGCCACATCGTAATTCCTATGTTGATGTTCTCACCAACTATAAACAGGAGAGGACTTAGGTCACGGTGCCGTTGGCCGTGGAAGGTGGTCGAGTATGCTTGATATTGCCAAGGAGACGCCTAGGTGATTTCATGACTTGGCATCACCGGCAAAAAAACACGGTTCCACGGGGCTATTAAGGGGCCAAGTCCGCGGAAACACAAAGACGTCAGTGATACACCCACAGTGTTCGCGGGGTCAGGACCGATGTCGTCGTATTATGATTGAGACGAGTCGTCGCAGGAAATTTGAATTTGCTGGATCAACGAACCGACCCCTGTTGACGTTCCACAGGGGGGGGGGGGGGGGGGGGGGGGGGTTGCAGAAGCTAATAGCGCGGTAAAGCGCCTCACTAGTGCGCTATAGTTCACGTTACGTCGGAGCACTATTGGAGTCGCCGTGCTCGGGAGGATGCGGGGCCACCTACTCAGTACTTACCCTACAGTGACATGCGCAAAGTCTGAAGTCATGCGGGCAGGGGGATTAGTGGTTGACTTTAGGCTCTCTACCGGTACATGTCACTGTACCTACCGACCCATGAGTGTTTGCAACTGGCAATCACCCTTGGAAAGCTTAACTTGACGCCGCCTGGATACGTCAAAGGTACCGGGCTTTTGGGATTCCACGTACGGACTTCGGAACCCTCCGCCGTGATTTTGCAATGCTACTAGCTTTTTCTCATAAGAAGGAGATGCATCTTGTGAAGTGTGGACTAGGAAACTGGCTGTGGTCGTTGTAAGTCTAGAATGAAGTCAACACAGAGATTTGGTAGCGAGAGGGTGTCTTAGTAGGTCAGGTGAAGAAGGTAGCTGCCTGCCGGTCACTACATTTGGCTACTAAAATCATGAAACTGAAAGGGTGCAGCGCGTATGCAGGGTATCGATTATAGGTCTAATAAGAAAGAAAAAAAGTGCAATATACAATATGGCAGCAGGCCATACATACCTTGGCGCGCATTACCCTTCAACACCGTAAACGTGCTTTTGGTACAAATATATACACCCACCGTCTGCCCCAGACTCCCTGCTAGGAACAAAAAGAAATCAAAAACAAAAAACAACATCCATGTACATGAAAAATGACGCATGAAATCTTTCAAGACATCCCCACTGCCCAAGCAGCGTGGCCGAGCTGCTTAATAAGAAGACAGAGGTTCTCGACGATAGGCGGATGAAGATCCGACGAGTCTCGAAAGTTGGCCCGGAGAATCTCCTGCGCAACCTCCATGCACGCCTTGGGATCGTCAAGCGACGCCTCAGTGGTTCCGGCCCTAGTCATGGGCCCTAGAATCACTGGATGACCCTGGTTGAACCCAATGAAGCGATGCACCAGGTTCGACTCGGTGCCGTCTAGGAAAACCTTTTCTTGCTCGTGATGAGCAGGCCGGTTCCCGCTCGCCTTCGAAACCACGCCGTATGTCCAGCATGCGAGGGCCGCATGGTGGACGGCTACGGCGTAAAAGTCCTTGAGATGACCCGGCGGGAACATCTTTGCTTGGCGCAAGATCTGACCCGCGTGCCAGAGGGACTGACGCGCCTCGGCACTCTGCGACCACTCGCGCAGGTCACCAAAGACCCGGCGGGCTTGGTCCTCGCCCTCTTTGCCCGAGAACAGCTGCAGGTCGTTCAACGAGAGATGTAGGTTCATCATCAGAAGATGCAACACCAAGCTCTCCTGAGCCGAAAGCATCTCGTGCCAGTTGGATGTGACCTGCAGGAAACCCTGCAGGTCTTTGCACAATTCGGCATGCCTGGCGCGGAGCACCTCTCCGGATTTAGTCTCAGAGTTCAGCCAAGTCCGGGTGCGCAATACGGCACAGAGCTGGAGATACTCTAGGATCAGCGCCCAATAACCATGTAAAAATATCGAGATTGCGAACTGCAAATCCAAGCGTTGGCGATTCGTTGCGAGGAGGTTGATGTCCTTGAAGAGGTCGCAAATCGAGGGAGGCCGGCTATTCTGCTCAGCGGTTCGTTTGAGGTAGTGCCTCTTCCATTCGGTCGCCGTCTTGGCGAACCACAACTCCCTGGTCTCGGGAAGAGGCAAGGTGAGTTCCGAGTACGACATGGATGGGTTGGTAAGCGTGGTCATGGAGGTCTGAGCGTCTCGCACGAAGCAGTGGAAAAGTAGTCTGAATGTGTCAGCACAAGGATATCCCAGACATCGATCGGAACTGTAACCTTACCTCTTCCACGACTCCCGATCGTACCAGAGCCTCCATTTGTTCTCCAGAACCTCGCCCTCGTCCGAGATGTCGACTTCGATGATGGGATATGATGCCCGCTGGAATTTGCCGCGGTATCTCATCATCTGTGCGCAAGTAGTGTGAGCAACAAGATCCTTAGTAGGCGAGCGGAGAGCGTGGTGGTACTCACTGTGATGGGAATCAGGAGATGACATTCGGCAATCTCCATCTTGCGCCGGTTGCCGCTCCACAAGCCGATGTCTTGGCCCAAGATCAAGGTCTGCACAAGACCCAAATTCTTGATGGATGTATTGGCGTCCTCAAACCTTGATGGGATAGTGACTCGGACCGCTTCCTGCAGAGCGAACCCAAACTTGCGCAAGGTTTGCACAGGAGTCAGTATGGCCCCAGCGGAGGCAGCGACGGCGAGCCACTCTGGCCATTGAGCTTCCATGGAAAAAGAGCCATGGTGAATCCATTGCGATGTCTGGCAGAAGTGCGCCGCCAGAAAGATGTGGACCAGGCTGTCCATGACCTCCAGCGAAGGGAATGAAGAAGCGACGCGGCTCATGATTCTGTCGTTCTTGCAGGTTGACAAGACGATTGCCAGGATCTGGTCCCTACCCGACTGATCTAACTTGTCCTTGACGGTTCTGGCGTGTTTATGTCGGCTCTGCTGAAAGGCGGCGCTGGTCGTATCGTCGGGCGGTACGGAGAGGTTTGGGTGTTCTACGTAACAGGAGTCCGTCTGGGTGGGCGCCCATTGCCACGGCGATTCCGTCCAGACCTTGACCAGTGTCTGTCGCATGTGCGTCAGGTCGATTGAATCGTCGGTTTGAGGGGTAAAACTCGGGTCGGACTCGGCGTTGCCCATGGCGTCCATGTTCCAGTGGTCCAGAAGACCAAAGTCCACCTCGTTCAGCTCGAGATTCGAGTTGTCGCAGAAGTCGAGAACGGCTAGGCCCTGCGCCCCCGCCATCCTCGATACTTCCATTCCTGGTTCATAAATAACATTTTGGAGGAAGTCGGAGAAGGGCAAGGACGTGTCAACAGCCGAACTGCCGATTTCGAAGTTGACTGGGACGGGCCTGTCTTTGCCTTGGCCAGTGACGTTGTTCTGGGAGGGAAAGTGGCCAGATTCCGACTTGACGTGATGGGCGGAGCCCAGCTGAGCATTTTCGTCCCTGGGTGGGAGCATGGCATGCTGGGGATGCTGCTGGTAGACAGCCGAGGGGCTGCTGTCGTAGGCAGACTGGGAAGGGGACGTAGCGAGGGAGCCAGGTGTCGAAGTGGTCGTGTGCGGGTTCCCAGACAAGTGGAGAAGGTGCATGGCAGCTGCAGAGCCAGCTTCGGTGGACGAGGATTCGCAGTTGAGGTTGCGATTGCGACACCGCGTGCAAGGCTTGACCTCCTCGCACTTGACACGGGCGGTCGCGCAAGGCCGGCATGCGTGAGAGACGCGGCCAGCGCCGGGAGACGTATCGGTGCGACGTCTCTTCTTGTTGGGGTCATTGTCGTTGTCGTGATTAGTGACATGGCGTTTGAGAAGATCTTGGCGGGCGAATGCCTTGCCGCATATCTGACAGGCAAACCGCTTCCCCAAGGTATGCGTCTGGATGTGGCGGGCCAGATGCTCAGGGCGAGAATATCGCCGTTGACAGTGAGCACACTGGTAGAGGCTGGCAGTGGCAGCATGGCTCTGGGTAGCCGGAGCCGTCATGGGACAGTTAGGTTGGTTCGACTGTGATGGGGCCAATGATGAGGGCGAGACGGATTGGGAGAGGCCGTTTGAGCTGTGTGACTGAGCCGAAAAAACAATGGCGACATTGGGTGAAGGGCCCGAGACGAGGTTGTTGCGGCTGTGAACGGAAGCACTCGGTTTATCACTACCAACGGCTCGGGTCGGCATCGTGGTGTGGCGCCCACCGTCCATGACTCCTTGGGTTAGTAAGACCGGAGCGGGTCCGGCTATCCGCTATAGGTAGCCAACGGCGACGGCAGCGGGAAGCGAGAGTTCGGCGGCTGCAAAGGAAAGAAAAGGAAGAAGGGGGAGGAGAAAGAAGAAGAAGAAGCTGGTTGGCAACAAGCCTGGGCCCTGAAGAATACCTAGAGTTGTCGGGAGGGGGATAAGGAGGAAATGCGAGCTACGGGTGGGCAGAAGCAAGCTTCTTGGTGCAATTCGAGCAACCAAAAAAGGTAGCGGTTGCAGCCAAGACTGTCAGACAAGATATTGTCTTGAGTGCGGAAGCTTGGGCTTTGGCTTTGACTCCAACGCCGATTCCTGACGGGTGGTAGCAGTAGTAGTAGTAGTAGTAGTAGTAGTAGTAGTAGTAGTAGTAGTAGTAGTAGTAGTAGTAGTAGTAGTAGTAGTAGTAGTAGTAGTAGTAGCAGTAGGTAGTTGGAGCGATTCAATCGTGATTAATGCAGGTAAGGTAGGTCGCCAATGGCGGTAGGGCCTCAGGGTGAGGTAATGTATGCCAATGTTTTTTGTCGGTAGAGGGGACGAACGCACCAGGTGGGGTGGGTAACCTTTTCTGAGAATGAATTAAAAAAAAGTGGATGTATACTCCGAGGTGCAGACCCGCGTTGGTGATGTCGCTGCTGCTGTGTAGCCGCATGGTGCATCAGGGCGCACGCAGACGGAGAATTCGTGGGTCCTTCGGGACGGCGCTAAGCAGTAGTTTAAGAAAACTAGGGCCTGGCTGCGGGTTTGATGCAAGACAGAAAAAAAGGGTCAAGAAGTGCTGCGCCAGGTATTCGTACCTCAACTCAAGTACGTTATCCGTACTACCCATATCTAGATGACTATCCAGAGAAGTCCAATGCGACTGGACTGAACTGAGCTGGGCGGTAGGTACGTACTGGATATGTCCGAGGTACATACCTACCTAGTGTATCAACGGAACCATCCCAACGTCACATTGTAGTATATCGGCCGCTGGTGATGAGTACCTACCATGTAGGTAGGTATTTACCTCGGCAGGTCGGTATTTATCTCTGTGGGTAGGTTGGTACATGTCTAGGTACCCGGTATATCGGAGTCGACAGTCAGGCACGTCGAGTCAATATCCGAGGGCGACCCTAGAGACGAAAAAAGAAAAGAAAAAAAAAGGATAGTGAGCGATGGAAGGGGGTAGGGGGACTCGTCATCCTCTGGCCGGTACTGGTCCCTAAAGAGGAAAGGTTCGAACTGCCAGGTTCGAAACCCCAAACCCAGGCGTTCATTGTATTTGGTGGAACGACCAGGTCTGTAATCATGCAGATGCGACTGGAGAACTGGAGAATAGTAATCGTACGTGTACGCAGACCTAGATCCGACAGGGGTGACACCGCAAGGATCCGTCGACAGCCAAGCCCTGAGACGACGACGACGACGACGACGACGCGGCTTTTCCACACCTAATAGATGCTTCTTCATGCCGATGCGGGTTCTCTGTGCTGCAGACAACGAAGTGCGAGTCCAACATAGCCTGGAGCGTCGTATAGCCCCGTAGACTGACATGTTGATTGTCACCTTGGCCTACGTGAATAGGACTGAAGACCCCCCCCACCTTCCTCTTTCCATCAACATTGTCCGGCAAGTACATATATATTTATATACATACATACACCGCGGACAGCCTTCTCCCAGCAATGATGCCGTACCCATTGTGTCGCGTACGTGAGCCGATGAGGCTGTTCATCTTGCGGGAACCAGAGGTGCGTCAAAGCACACGAAGCCGTAGACGCAGCATCAATGCCAGAATAGCAGCCATGACCGGTGTGGGAGCGCGACTCGAGGGCAACAGTTTGCTAGACGTGTTTTTTGGCATCATGGCAGCAACTGTGCTATCGATTGGGTTAGCTCAGGCAATGTTGTAAAGTCAATTGGCCAAGCCATCAGCCTGACTCGTGGGGCTAGACGGCCGGTGATGTTCCCTACTGCCACCATATTCGGAAGAGTTGGAGCAATCCTGTCTTGTGCCGCCGCCAACCGAGAAGCATGCAAATGCACCAACGCAGCTTTGCGTGTACTGCCCACTTGCATTACCTACCTGGTACGGAGTAGGTAGCACCTCAAACGCGTATGGGCCCCTAGGAGGCTCCATTCCTTGCAATGTCCATCTCCAGAAGTGGAACACCCCTCCCACTCTCTTCCTTGAATGAGAAAAGCACGGCATACATACGGATACAAGCACAACCCGTTGAAGGTGCAAGAAGCCCTGCAAACAACGCGTTAACACAGGCATTCCAACAGAGGGAGGGGTTTCTCATTTGGAGCCTGGGAAGCAGACAGCAAAAAGCGTTACGTAGGCCCGATTTGCCCGTGCCACCCCAAACCCTGTTCATATCCGTCAAGGATGGAGGGCCCACTCTCTAGGTACCTTGCAGCAGTACGGAGTACCTAGTGTTAATGACCTTCCCTCCGAAATTTCCTGAATGAAACCATTTAATTCCCATCTCAGCTATTTGTCCGCAACCATCTATCTGCCTGCCTACTTGTAAAGTTAAGCTCTTCCGGCATGTTGGAGGTCAGAGCAGCCTTTGTGTTTCCTATCCGGTTGGCACCTAGGCACTGCAGGTAATACGCCAACATTGAAACATGCTGGAGGATTTTGATATACTACCTACCTAGGTGAGCTAGGTACGCAGTTCCGTAGTGCTCCTTCATCCCAGCCCCCCAGTCAGACGACGTGCCCTATATTAACATCTGTGAACCCTACGTCTGATTGCTGCGTCTCTGATTCCAACGACGTCTTCTCATCCATGCCATGTTCTTGCTTGTAAGGTATACACCAAGGCAACGACCAGTGGTGGGCAGAACTCTAGGTCGAGGAAGATTGACCGAAACCCCCTTGGTTGTCTCTTCTCGTCCCGCGGCCAAGCAACCATAGCCTTTTCACCGACAATGGTGCGCTCCTAGAAGCTTGAATTCTGCCCGCGTCCGCAAAAGCCCCGTCAGTCAGACATAAACATGACGACTTACACCCTGTTTCAAGACGCCGGCTCTAGATGATGAAGATAGAAAAAGACGGCAGGATGGAAACTCCACACGGCATCAGCGCCAACCATACTCCATCACAATATGAGATGTGAGGCGGTGGAAGCGTCATTTGAGACACGCGCGTTACATCTCGCAACAACTCTACTCAGGTGAGCCCTATCGACTTTGCCCACGTGTGCACAGGACATCAAAGGATGACAGTCTATGGTTTACCGTTTCGTAGCCGCAGCAAAGTGTGTGTGGCTGGTGCCGAATACCTGGGCTGGGGAGGGGGGTATACATAGTTCCGGCAAACCTTTCCCTTCCTCATGAGGCTCTTCAAGCAAGGTCATGGCCTGATCAGTTCCAGACAGCAACAGGTGGCGGACGCACGTGGAGAGGCCAGAGTCTAGGTACGGTTCTCGAGCGGGTGTCGGATATTCATTTATCCCTTGTGCTCGTATGCACGCAGGAGAGAACCAATCCGTACCTACCTGCCTACCTCATTAGCGTCCCGAAAAGGAAAGAACCCTCTAATTGATTCCTTCCACCAATGTCTTCTTGGTGGAACTCGTCTCCTCGAAATCCAATACACACACCCTTCCCCTTTCACGGATAAGACAGTGGATGCTACCGCCAAACCCCCGACTATCTATCCCTTTCCGCGCATCGCTGCCATGTCTAGACTCGAGTCTGTTTCAAGTCTGTCCTCAAGTTTGTCCTCTCCTGGTAGGGTTGAGGCTTGGGCCTGGTCACCTCCTTCTTAGGCCCGTCGCTTATCTCCTATTCATCATTGGGATAAGCCGTTCGGTGTATTTGGCAAGCTGGCCGACCTCGCTGCGATCTCATGCAGCCTTCTTCAAGATACCACCGAGAATTTCATCGTCAGTCATTGACGGCTCCGGCGGCACATTCTTGCTTTTCCTGTTCTTCACCGACCATTACAAACCTGCCGTCCCTCCCGTGTCCCCAACTAATCACCGTGTTTGAGATTGTTGAAGAAGCCCCCATATCTTCCTGCAGAACCCAATTAACGACTGAGGCTACTTGGTGGACCTCGGAGGGCTGGCTGTTTTGCCGAATCGTCCAGGCCACAATGATACAAGTAGTGAAGCTCGTCGTCCAGAGCTCCGAAAAGACTCCCTCATGACCTTGCTGCAGTCCCCTCGATAGCATTGGTAAACACAGCTCTTGAGTTCTTTACTGCGGTCGCCACTGTCAATGAAGACCTCACTTTGGCGGTCGCCCAGACTGCCTACTTCTTCACCACGACGGCGCTGACCCAGAGCGTGGGCAGCTATCTTCTGGGTGCCCTTGGCCAACAAGCTCTGCTGGTGGCCAGTCTACATCGCGAGTTATTCTGTCTACTTGCATGCACAATTTGATTCATATCTCGAGAACTCCTACGGCGGTTTCTGGGCGGTCGAATACTCATGGGGTTTGGAGCCGGAGCTGCCGAGACTATCGCCCCCATCAGCATCGCCGACGTCTTCTTTCTGTAGCATCATTGCCATCCGTCATGACTGGAGAGTCATTCGACAAGTTTCTGCAGCTTTCATCGGCGCTGTGCTTCTACTAGCCCTCTCCAAATTCCCGAACATGGCATACGAACGCCACGAAACGAGCGTCCGGAGGCGCCTCGGCTCGCTGGGTGAGAGAAAGTCCGAGTCGGTCATGTACGAAACAGGGCTCTCTCGCTCCGGGGTAAACTCCCCGAAGCAACCCTACGTATCTCTCTTGAGCTTCTTCAACAAAACACTTGCGCAAGAGAACCTAGTGAAGCTCGCCCTTTGCCCGATGGGCCTGATCATCCTCCCCCCGTGCTTTGGGCGGCACCGGTGCTGGCTGTGACAGGAGCTTTCCTCGTAGCTGTGTCCTTTCACATGGCAACCGCGTTTAACACTGCATACGGTTTCGATTCATGACAAGTTGGCCTCTATTTCGTCGCCGGGATCATGGTTGCTTTGTTCGGAATCCCGGCCGGTGGCCACCTAGGCGATCGGGTTCGGACTGGTTCACCGGACGAAACGGCGGTGTCCGAGATCCGGAGATGCGACTACCTGGCATAGTCGTTAGCATGACAACGGCACCGCTGGCATTGGTGCTATACTCGGCATCGAGAAGCAGCTCCAATGGATATGTCCCACTCCCGTTATTGCCGAGCAGCAGAGTTCAAATAGACAGAAAGGGGAGGGAGGGGGAGACCCACCCCCACTCAGCCGATCTTTCTTCGCTTTCTCTCCATCCGCCAGGTGAGCCCGCAGCAAGCTGGAAGACAGTGGCTTTAGGGCGAAACTATTCCGCTTCAATCCGTGTACTGTTTATCCTGTACGTTTCTCTTCCGAGTCGCGATCAACGAGACCAATCTCCTCTTCACATAGTTGGTTGTTGATAGGGATCATGAAGCCGTCGCCTCAGGGTGACAACGTTCCGCCTACACGATTTCCTGCCACATTTCATTAGCTAGCTCCTTGGCCAAGGTAACTATGGATTGGATTTCGAGTGATTGTGCGGGGAGATCTGAAATGTTACGGTACCGGTACAAGTGGTGTGGGATAGCAACCGAGCTAACCACGGTTCTCCCCTCCCCCGCATTCTGTGCCGGTGGGTGGTAAACCGGAAACATGGCGGGGGAGGAGGAGCACGCATTCCAGTTATCCCTGTTTGGAAAGGACTGGCTTAGTGAGTGAGGGTCGTTTTACCTACCTACCTAGATCCCTTGGGGGGGAGGCTGGAGCTCATCCGAAAGAGTTCCGACGATCGATAATCTGTTATTAGTCTGTCGATGAACATACGAGCACGGTATCTGCCATGCGTTTCAGACGACAGCTTCATCCTGTGGCGGCCAGGCGGTCGTAATAGTCCAGGCTGTCGTAAGAGTCCAGGGTCCCTGGTCGGCCATTGAAGAGGCTAAAATGAGAAAAGCATGAGAGGGAGGGGCCGGAGAAACTGGAGCTGCGGCAGTCGATATGTGTGGCCTTGGTCTGCGCTTGCCGGGACGGGAAGCGTTTGAGATGCCGACCTGTTGCTTCTAGAATACGCAGCGCGGCACCGCCCTCCTTTCGCATCAGTACTTGACGGGCATGTTTCCCTCATCCTAGTGTTGTGTGTTTCGTTTCTTAACCCCTTCGCCCAGGTTATCTTTATCTCGATCCCTCTCACTTCCCTCACTCAATCTTTTTCTCATTCATCGCCAACAGAAACCGACCGACAAGGACGAGTTTCGCCATTGCCTACGACTACTCCCTCACACACTTACTTTCACTCGGACGTTGGCACCTTGATACTATGTTGATTAATGGTGAGACCCAGCACCCTAATGGCGCTCACTCGAGTCCTATGACCCATGATCGTCCCCGGCCACTCAAGGTGGCCATTGTTGGTGCGGGTATCGGAGGTCTCAGTGCCGCCATCGCACTGCGTCGGGAAGGTCACCAGGTAGACGTATGAAATCCTTGTAATACACCATCACCTGCCAATGCTCTCGTGGCTCACCTTGAACGGATTGCAGCTATACGAGCAATCGAGGCTCGCCAATGAGATCGGCGCCGCCGTGCATCTGGCACCGAATTCCAACGGCCTCCTCAGGAGGTGGGGCATCTACGCCGAGACTTTCGGCGCCAACCCTGCGCACCGCTTCAAGGAAAGAAACCTGCACAACAAAGGCGGCCTCGACGTCGACATCACCAAGTCCGAGGGCCAATGGCAGCACCCCTGGCAGTTTGTCCACCGCGGCCTCCTCCATAGCGAGCTGCGGAACGTCGCGACGGCGGAGGATGGCGTGACCCCCCCGGCCAAGATCCACGTTGCGTCCAAGGTTGTCAGCGCGAACCCTGAGAAGGGCGAGATACAGCTGGAGAACGGTACAACTGTGCAGGCGGACGTCATCCTTGGCGCGGACGGTATCTACGTGAGTTTCAATGACTTTCGCTGCTGGTGTCTCGCATGGACTGATACCTGCATATCAGTCCCGGGTCAGGAAATACATCACCGGCACCGACTACAAGCTTTTCCGCTCAGGCAAGGCGGCCTTCCGGTTCCTCATCCCGACTGCTGCGGCTCTGGAGGATCCAGTCACTGCTCCGTTGATCGAGAAGGAGAACTGTCTCAGCATTTGGTTCGGGACAGACAGGCGTATTGTGGTTTACCCTTGCAACAACAACCAGCTATTGAACTTTGTGTGCATTCATCCAGATACCGAGTCTCACGCAACCACAACCGATGGTAAGCTTCTCGCATCTCACACATTGCTGAACACGAGGCTGACAGATGCCAGGGTGGAGTAAGAAGGGTTCCATGGAGCAGCTCCTCAAGGTGTACAATGAATTTGATCCTGATGTGCTGCAATTGCTCAAGAAGGTCCACCCGGACGAAGTCAATGTCTGGCAGCTGCTAGACATGGAGGCCATGCCCACATGGGTGAATGACAAGTTAGCGCTCCTCGGTGATGCTGCTCACCCATTCACTCCTCGTAAGTCGTGGTCAAAGTCCGAGGTCTGCCAAGTTACTAACAAGAAGACCAGACCAAGGGCAAGGAGCAGGTCAAGCGATGGAAGACGCTGCGGCGTTGGCTGTCGTTTTGCCAAAGGGTACATACCCGGAGGATGTGACGGAACGGCTTCGGCTGTACGAGCAGATCCGCCTGGAACGCGCGCACAAGATCCAGGAGTTCTCTCGCCAAGCTGGCATGGACAGAATACCCGGACAACAACTACCTCCTATCAATAGTTTGTGGCGCCCTGGTCTACAAACTCGCCGAGCTGCACCTGCTAACATGTCGACAGTGATGGAGTACACGAACTACAACTTTGGCCACGACGCGCATGATCATGCGACAAAGATGTTCAACAAGTACCTCTGGTCCAAGAAGAAGGATCTTTACTGGCGCATGCCTGTCGGGTTCGGCCCTTTCCCCGGCCCCCGTCAGGACTTCTACGGCCGCCGCCAGCCGTCCGAGCTCGACCGCACCTTCAAGACCATCTCCGTCAAGTTCCTCACGTCGCGGACATTGCTCGAGACGATCCTCCCGAACGACTCCTTCCGTTTCAAGGCGCCCGGCACCGTCTGCACCGCCTCCCTCTCCACCACGCAGCTTAACAACATGTCGTGGCTCGGCGGCGGCGGCTACAACCACCTGGGTCTGTACATCCACGGCATCGAGTACGTCAAGCGCGACGGGACCTCGGTCGACGGCACCCATCTCGCCGTGCTTTTCGAGTCCCTTGCCGACCCGATCGTCTCGGGCCGCGAGGAGCTCGGCATGCCGAAGCTCTTCTGCGACATCGACGTCGAGCACCACGCCACGGCGGCCCGCGTGCGCGCGTCGTGGCGGAGCACCAGGTTCATCGACATTTCGCTTGACAACCTGCGCAAAGACGACCCCGAGACGGAGCACGGCACCATCGGCGGCGAGGCGGACTACGGCATCCTGACGTACCGGTACATCCCCTCAGTTGGGAATCCCGGCAAGGCCGACGCCGCATACGCGTGCGTGGTGCCGCACGAGGAGGAGGCGCGGGACGTGCCGTCTACGGTGCACGCCGTGGCGAGATCGCCTAGCGCCTCGGTCACGGTGGAGGGCCACGACTGGGAGAAGCTGCCGACACTACATCACATCGCCAAAGTTCTGGCCGAGATGCCCATCTACAAAGTCTTGGGCGCCAAGGTTGTGGAAGGAACCGGGGTCCCCAATGTGTCCGCGGCTCGGAGGATAGAGTAGCGGCTTAACTTCGAGTGGGGAGTGGGGGGAGCTCTTGGTGGTTTTTGGTAATCTGGGAACAGCATATGTGAAGCGCATCGTGTACATAGTTTCTATTGCGGTATTCGGCTGAACGGCCTTTGGGAACACCCGAATCATTTTATCGTATTAGCAACCGATGCTCGACCTAGTCCCGACATTGCGTGTCAAAGGCGTGAGAACGCAAGTGACAGTTCCAAATGCCGAACACCGGCTACTTACTGTATTGTGCTGACAAGGGCCAGATTGGGCTCAGAGGCTTCCGGAGTAATTCCCACTTCATGCGTTCACCCATTCGTGTCTGGTCAATTTGTTCCCCGCAGCGACCCATGAGCAGCAAGTTTCCGCCTTCAGCAGGTAAACTATGCGTACTGCCGATAGAAAGCAGCCCGAGTTTACCGTTCCCACCAGCTCCCCGCACACCCCTCCACCACCACCTTCTCGTCACGGGCCCGGCCCCGCCTCCACTTCCCGGACCACGTTCGGGGCTGGTATCGCTGTGTTTCGATACAACCTCGGATGCTGATCCGGCAACTGGCTTTCCCCCTCCTTGCCGCCCTCAGAGGCTGGGGAAGAAACTACGGGGATTTTGAGGAGGTGTATCGGAAACTTTTAGGATTGCTAAGCCCTGACAATCCTCGGTCGGGGAGTAGAATCGTCCGTTCGTCTCGCATTGCTGATATACCTACGTAATGGACCACGCTTTCCTAGTTGCCTACTTGCCTACGATATCCAACAAACACTCTTGGAAACCGTGTCATATCAGCGAGAAGACACAGAGGTATTATAATTGACCCTCGAAGTGACGCAGACCAAAAAACAAAAACAATAAAGACGTTACGTACATTGATTTCCCAGTCGAAATGGCATCTTCAGTCACTCCGAACAACCTCCGCCGCCCTCAGCGCTTCATCACAGACCACGCGGCCGACGGCAAAGCCGTCTTCAACACCAGCCTTCCCGAAGAGATCCCTCAGCAGACCATCGCCAATGACGCAAAGTTCTACCTGGGCTACACCACCGAACACACGCCCGTCTCCTTCGCCGGCAACAAGGACGTGGAGACGTACGCCGCGCGCCTCGCAAACCCGCCGGGCATCGTGATCCCCGGCGGCAGCGTCATGCGCATCGTCGACTGCCCGCCAAACTCCCTGTCGCCCATGCACCGCACCGTGAGCCTGGACTACGGCGTCGTGCTCGAGGGGGAGGTCGACCTCGTGCTGGATTCCGGGGAGACGAGGAGGATGCGCAGGGGAGACGTGAGCGTCCAGCGAGGCACGATGCATGCGTGGAAGAACGTGAGCGAGACTCAGTGGGCCAGGATGCTGTACGTGCTCCAGGAGAGCCAGCCTCTCGAGGTCGCGGGTGGGGTATTGGAGGAGGATTACGGCGTCGGAATGGAGGATGTGAAGCCCTCTAGCAAATGATCGAGCCGAGACCTGGCGCTGATATGGGGACAAGGATAGCCTCACGTCATACATTAACCAAAATGCCGTATCATATATGCACAACATTGTTTCATTGTTTCATATAACGCTCCCAAATGTAAAAAGCACGCTATACGTTTGGGGTGGGTGGGGGTTTAAAAGGAAAAGAGTAATACACCCCCGTGTCGTGTCGTGTCGCTTTGTTTGCTGTAAGTCAAGACGGTTCTGCGATGTGTTTCTGAGTAAACTGTCATTTGGGCTACTGATACAAGGAACCGCTCAGTTATCACCTGTTTACCATGACTCGAACAAGGTGGACATGTCACGTATGTGTCCCGATGCTTTTGGCAGGCAACTGTTGGCTGTGTTATCCGGAGTGTGCTAATGTGTTGGTCATGTCAGTAGATGTTGTGGCCTAACATAAGATAACATAAGAATGAAGGAGGGGCATTCGATGTCCCCTCGAGGAGGACATATACGAAAACCAAAAAGCAACAGCTCAGGAGAGGGCATCGAGCCCGGGGGTCCTACACAGCTCTACCCTATGAAAGGTCTCCAGGACTTTTAATGACATGTTACCCAACATGACTCGGGGCGTCCCCCTGATATATCTAGTCGCGGTATTTACTTCTCTATCAATCAATACGGCCTGCCTGATGCTGTTCGGGTAGGTACTATGTGGCGCTCCTACCTGTGCGATGACTTTTGCATCATTTGCACATGCAGCTGTAGCGCTTTACCTAACCCAAACTCACGTCAAGGCATATCCCACTGGGCTTTCCAGAAGTCAAATTCATGGTTTCAAGGAGCGTATATATTGCCGACGTTTCTACTGTTTAACTTCTAGATTTGCTGATAATCGTAACCGGCGAACTGTTCGGTCATTGACCACCACTGACTTTGTCTCCTCAATCAATGTAACTTTGGTCTACAAACGGGGTACACACCAACCTTAGATACACCAGTGGTCTTCGTTATGGGATGTCGGAATCGAACGAACCCGTACGCAGACAGTCAGCAACAGTTTCATAAGGTAACATCTCAAGGAATAGACCAAGTTCTCAATCATCCTTTATATTGTTGATTATAGGGGCTCTAAGTAACCCTAGTAGAGCTACTCTTGGATAGGTGTTCTGACAACAATAGCATTGTTCTCTGAGAACCCCCGGAAAGGTTCTAGTCAGTGCCATGACTCGGTGCGTGTCTTTTAAAGCTTTCCTGAGGAGATGTTCTGGAAAGTATGTATTGTGTAGTGAGACAAACAAAACCATTAAAGATAATAAGAAAGGGAAAAAACAAACCCAGCTTCATTGGATAGGCTCTCAGGCTCATCGCGGTGATAATCATGATGGATACCTACCTAGGTACCTAGGGAGGAGTTGTACCTGTGTAAGGTAGCTTAGAATAAGGTATGGCAGCTGCACTCCAATCAGCAAGTCCAGCCACGGTGGCGGACCCTTGCCCATTTGGAATGGGACCTCCCCGCGCCACACTTCCCAGCTGGCGCCAATCGCGCGATAAGATCCGACGGGGAAAGGTCCACACGAGTACCTACCGGTAGTAGTAGGTAGGTAGGCAGGCTGTTGTGTGATAAGCACCAACCTGTGGACCTCCCTGAGTCCCGTTGCGACTACCTAGGGCGGCAGGTGGTTCGAAGAGGTGCATGTGCTCATGCTCGTGTCTCGGCCTGCCCCTCCAAATATTCCTCGCTCCATCGCCTAGGACTTTCTGCCAAGTTCTGCACTTTCTGCCACGGCGCCAACAATCTTCCAAGTCCCAAATGCACCCGACCGCCTTCGCCTCTCCTTGTCTAGGTAACAATCGACCCCACCATATGTCGGACATTGACTCTTGTTTCGTCATGCTGACTTATCACGGTTCGACAGCCTGACTTATCGCTCGCCCACGAGTTGCTGGCGATCCCGACCGACCTCATTGACGCAGAACATACAACGGCGAGCTCTACTCAAGACGAGACGAGACAGATCCTCGATAACCCCGTAGATATCAACTGAGCTGGAGACAATGCAAACATTCTAAGATGGCGAGTCCAGACGGTGGAGCTGCTCTAGCTTCCCTTGACGATAACCGCCGCTTGCACGATGATGGAGGAGATTCGATATCGGGCAGCTCCTACATAGGAAGTGACGCCTCGGACGACTCCTCAAGGCCAGGACAATGTCGCTGGCGAACTGCCCGATACCACGACATGGAGTGCTCCCGATACTTCGATTGCCCTACCCATGTCGTCGAGAGGCGGCTCTCGGGCGCAGAGGCCGACGATAGCGATGAGGGGGACGACGAACCAACCGTGCAGCTTCGAATAGACGAGGACGCGGTTGGAAGTAGTTCCGGCGCAAGGCTCCAAACTATCGAGCTCACCGCGGCCGGTGATGCTGCAGAACCAAGAGCAAGCTATGCGCCCGTGCCCGAGGCGACCGATAACGTCCTACCGATTGCATCAGCAGATTCAGCACAGGCAACCTCAGCACGGGATACCGAAGGGCCTGATGAGTCTCAGGATCCCGAAGAAGCCGCGTCGGCACCACCAACGCCTCTGAGTTCTCGACTCTCAGAGTCCTCTCAACCTCTTCCTCCCACCGCAACGCCTGCACAGCCTACGGGAGAGTTTGTCCCGCCAGAAAGCTCCTCCAGTTTGATAAGCTTACAAGCTGCAAACACATCGTCGCAAGATTTGCCTCTACGTCCAGCCTTGTCATCGAGTCGATCTCTGGAAACGGCGCCCCCGCCGCCACCTAGAAGATCGAGCTCTTCAGCTGTCGTCTCGTCTGCCTCGCGGGGCCAGCAGGGTTCCGAGGAGAGGAGTGGTCCACCCGAGTTTGTCTTGCCAAGGTGGCAGCCAGACGCAGAGGTGACCCTTTGCCCGATATGCCACGTACAGTTCAGTATTTTTGTTAGAAAACATCACTGCAGGTGGGTTTGGCCGGTTCTGGTACTGATGCAAGCCACATGCTAACGCGACATAGGAAATGTGGAAGGGTCGTGTGTAACGCCTGCTCGCCTCACAGAATCACGATCCCTTATCAGTATATTGTTCAGCCGCCCGGCCAACCGCGGCTGGCGGCCCAGAGATACCCATCTTCCCTCATAAGCGGTGAGGGGGGATATGCAGATTTCAGCAGTCTCGGTGGAGGAGAGCGAGTTCGTCTATGCAACCCATGCGTCCCTGACCCTAACACCACACCGCCTCAACAGTCGATCGGCTCGCCATCACAGCTGTCGCCACGAGCGGCGCATTATAGATCGCAAAGCAGCATAAGTACTATGTCTAGCAACGCGCCCCCGCCCAGTCGCTTCTCGGGCTACTTTACGTCCGGGCCTTCCCCGGATACGTATGCGCGGTCTAGAAGCATCACTGTAAGCATGGCACTCTTCACTCCCGGCCTTCTCCCAGCTCGATACGGAGGGCTAACAATCACAGCATTCTGGATCCGGCGGCTCTTTGGGTTCTCGCGGACATTACCAATCCACGCAAAACCGGATCATGGCGGGAACCCCTCCCACGTACTACCCCTCCTCGTCGACAGGGTACCCGGGTTCATCCCGTTACCGGTCTATGCTAGATGTTGGGCCGTCTTCTTCATCTTCGGCCGCCCAGAACCGTGCACTGCCGCCTCCGCCGCCCCAAATCGCGGAGGAGGACGAGTGCCCGGTCTGCCACCGCGAGCTCCCGTCACGCAGTCTGCCGAACTTTGAGGCTGTGCGGGAGACGCACATAAACACTTGCATTACCGCTCATAGTACATACAGTGGCACGCCTACGGGAGAAGCACCGCAGAATACCGTTGGTACCCCGCCTCCTCTGGCCGTACGCCGGACTGGGATGTTTCCTTATCTGGCCACGGAGAAGGACTGCGTCGATTCTGCCGAGTGCACCATCTGCCTCGAGGAGTTCGAGGTAGGCGTTCCCATGGCGCGTCTAGAGTGCCTCTGCCGTTTTCACCGGTCCTGCATCTCGGCCTGGTTTGTCAACCACCCCGGGCGATGCCCCGTCCATCAGCATGATAGTTTTGGCTATTGATACCTAGGGATGTTCTTTCGATATTTCATCTGTCGCTTGCTCTGCATTTTGGCGTTTGGGTTTGGCCGGGCCAGTCACTTTAACCAAGTCTCTCATTTGGTACGCGCATTGCACCATTCTTTACTGGTTTACGGCTACATACTTGTCTCCTAGTCTTTTTTGTTGCCTGGCGTCATTCAACGTGTGACGTCGGGAGGATGGGGCTCGGCTCACGCAGAATGTGGCCGTCGCAGATGTGAGTGTCCAGGACGGTGTGCAGTTATAGTTTATGTTTGGGTCATATGGGAAACTCTGGGCCATGCACTGTCGGGCCAATGGTTTTCTGTTCTTTTTTGCACAATCAGGGTATAATACTTTTGCCGGTAGATACTTCTGAAGAGACAGGAGGGAGGGAGGGGCGGACTTTTTTGTTGAACAGTGAACTCGCAATTGCTCTCTTCTCGCCGAAAAGACACCAACTCAGAATAGATAGATTTGGGGATTTTGCTGTATATGGCCACCCGTGGCTCGAGAAACTCGCTTCAAACGTGACGACCTTCCTCTTGGTCCCGCACAATGATCCCGTATTGTTTAAAGGCTTGACGGCGGCCGTTTCATCTTGAGAGCGATGCTGGGTGTTTTCGAGAGGGTTAGAGACAATCACCGTGTTGAGTGGGTTTTATTATTATTATTATTATTATTATTATTATGATCATTCTTCTCCTTCTTTTTATTCTTTTTACAAAGATTGAACATCTCTTGTTCTCTCTCTTCCTCTCTTTCTAGAACACGTTTGCAGCTTACTGCACCAAGTCATGGCTATTGAATCTCTCGCCCCAAGGATCAAGAATGCGCCATTGACCCCGTAAGCCATTCCACATAACCGTCACCACTGCCGCCATCGCTGGCTCGGGAGGGCCGCGCTTGTCTAGGTGGGCCGATCGCGGGATCCCCAACCGCCCCCACCGGTTCGGGTCCACACCCCATGCGGACTATGGAGCTCCACGTACGTAGTAAGCGCCGGCTGGGCCGACCTTGCCGGGAGAATGTCAGGAAGGAAAGAGATATATGAGCCGCCTCGAGCATGTTTGAGGTTAACGTAGGGCCTGGGGTTTGCCAATCAATCTGGAACTACATGTACTGCGCTAGCCTCCAACATGCTGGAGGAGGTTCAGAAGAGAATTGAAAAAAAGAGAGGTAGGGCAGAGAGACAGACAGATAGACGGGCCAGGTGCGTGCGCCTCTTGTTAATTGTTGATCCCACCACCAATTAATACGCAATTGAAATGATGAGATTATTTCTTATTATTACACTACACCCCCCCCCCCCCCCCCCACATGCATGTCCTTTGAACTTTCTCGTCACACACACAAACACACTCACTGCGTCTCGACGCCCCCGGAGCCCTACCGCATGAGCTGATAAAAATCCATGGAAGTAGTTCGTGCGTGTGTGTAGTTTAGCTCACGTCCCAATTTCCCTCAGGGGCGAATAATGTTTATATTCCATGCGTGTATGTGGGTGTATGTGGATACACACCACAGCAGGCACAGACGAGTCTCAAAGTGGTGATTGTTTCTGTACTACATGATTAGATGAACCAAAGAGCCAGCAAAACCTCAGCACAACTGCATAGTTTCAGAGGATCCGCTCGCTCCCCGCTCTTTCTATACTCCAAGTTTATCGGATTACTGTCAAGGCCGACTGGCAGAGTGTGAAGGGTTTGGAAAAACGGATAGGGGGTGCATGCCGTTGAGCATTAACCCTAAGCAACGCCTCAGCTATAGGCCAATATCACGGTTACTACGGGTACCTACTCATGCATCTTCCAAGATTCGAAGATGAGTGGGGTTCTTGCTCTTGTCCCTCTCCCCTCATTCGTGCCGTTTCAACGTTTTTTGCTTGTTGTAGTAGTAGTAGCCTAAAGGTCGCAAGGAGAATGTTTCCCACCTCTCTCACACACCCCGCTCGATGCTGGTTCCAAACCCCCGTCGAATTTAGATGAGGATGGAGCCACACTCTCGCCAAGGGAGGATGAGATGGCGGGGGAGGGTGTCGATCTACATGGCAGATTCGCACTCATTTTTGCCCTGCCCTTCGCACGCAACGGCTGGCTGGACCGGTCTGGCCTCAAGGACGAGGACGAGGGACGGGCCAATGAACGCAGAGTCATACTGCGGAACGGTCGAATCTTGCACGCGTTACTTTCCGTGGTGGCGCGCTACTTGCTTCTTTCGGCCTGCGGTATGGAGATGGGGTGTAATGAACAAGCTTGTCCTGCTCTCTTTTCTCTTAAAGAAACCCTCATGTCCTGTTGCCCTTTGGACTCCCCAAGCTTCCTCCCCTTCATCCGCGCTGGCCTGGAACTGCTATTGCCCCTCTGTGGCCCGTCACTCTTTCACCTTCTGCTATTGTCAGCTTGTACATTGCCATCGTCCAAGGGACCCGGCACCTCTCTTTTCGACTCTGCGTCTATCAGTTGCTCCTCTTCTGCCAGGAAGTCACCGTATATACTACCCACCACGCCAACAGTCTTCGGCACAATGAAGTACCATATTCTCTTGTTGGCCGCCGCGGCCGCCCACGTGCAATCGACGCCGGTCGGACAGGTGGCCCCCGTCGCCTCCGCCGAGACTCCGGCGACGTCGCCGGTCCTTGTGACGCAGAACGCAGTCTCATCGCCCACATCGGGAAGGTCGACCTTTTACGGCGGCAACACCTCCGGCGGAAAGTGCTCCTTCTCGACGTACCAGATTCCCTCCGGCCTGTACGGCACCGCCTTCTCCGGCCAAGTCTGGGACTCGGCTGCGCACTGCGGCGCTTGCGTCAAGGTCACCGGCCCCAAGGGCAACAGCCTGGTCGCCATGATTGTCGACGAGTGTCCTGAATGCATCGAGAGCCACCTCGACCTCTTTCAAGACGCCTTCGCACAGCTTGGGTCTCTTTCCGGCGGGATCATCTCAACCTCGTACGAATTCGTCAACTGCGGCATCACATCGCCCATCAAGTTGCACAATAAGTCGGGCACTTCGGCTTACTGGTTCTCCATGCAAGTGCTGAACCATAACGAGCCTTTGTCGGCGCTGGAGGTTAGCACGGACGGCGGAAGCACCTGGAAGAAGACGACCCGCCAGCCGTACAACTTTTTCGAGAACTCAAGCGGCTTCGGTACCGACTCCGTCGACGTTCGGGTGACGGCCGAGTCCGGAAAGACTGTCATCGTCAGGAATGTCAGTGTCAAATCCGACTCGGAGCACAACGCGGCGTCCAACTTCTAAGCCAAAGACTCAGGCGTCCCGCAAGCTCAGGCTTCCAAGGTATGAATCTGGCGCATCTTGGAACGGTTGTGCCTTGGCCACTGTCTGGTGTCTTGCAAAGACATTGTCCGCGCGCCGGCTCTAATTGGGATCGCGTGCTGTGCATGCCGTGGAGGACAAAGGTTCTGCGAGCAATGCGAGCCAAACAATCACCTGCCTCGCTTGGTTGATGGCTCTTTTCTCTTCCATTCACTCTTCCGAGACGTCTAAGGCGGCGCATCGAGGGCGTTGGCGATATCTTGATCTGGGGTTCTGAGTAAAAAGGGGGCTCTAGGTTGACCCAAGGAACGCTCCTAGGATTGGTTCTGCGCAAGCTCGCAGAACACATTTTGGTCCGAACAGTCTTGCTGCGGGCCCTGAGGCATAGTTTGTATCGGATTATCCCGATGCCCAGAGTCATCTTTTCTTCCTCTGAATCTTGAACTTGGTCCGCGACGACAGTCGAAATGCGCTTTGGCCAGTGAGAATGTGGCCGTGCAGGTGCATATACTACGTAGGTGAGCAAGATGAAGCAAGGTAGGAGGTAATTCCGTCAGGCACTTGGTGCCCGGTGGTTCACGGTAACTTATTAGTCCTGTCCTAGCGACACAGACGGTTCGATTTGACGGCGGAGATCGCCAGGCACGGTACCTGTAGTAGGGTGGCCAAGGAACAATCAGTGTCGATGACCAGCCCAGCAGATATGGCCGCTCAAGTAGAGCTTCACTTTTAGCCTGTGGTGTTCTGGCAGTGTAGTGTTGACGACTGCTCAACGAAACTTGTATACTTGTATATTGGCGTTGTCCAAATGCAACAACGTTCATGGGCTAGTGCTTGCCGAGACGTCAACGGTGAATTTCTTATTCAGTACCCGTATAGGCCACTCGAACGCGGATTGGTGGTAACGACTGAACTAAAGAAAGTCAATGTGTTGTGGCTTGCTGAGATGAGGCTTGGGCCTTGCTGCGCAACGGTGAGGCCTTCAATCGCTGCATACTACCTACCTATGTAGTACAGAGTAGGTATGCCGCGTTCAGGTACAATTATTACTGCGTTGTCATGGCGAACGTCCGTGGCTGTGCGACACGCTGCACGGCCAAATGGTATCAATATCAAGTTGCAGTCCTTAGTGAGCGTCATGGGTAGCATTCGCCTGTATGCATCACCGCACTGCTGTGGGTATATGACTGGATTGAGACAGTTGAGTAACCTGCCAACCTGTCAGTCGTACCCGTTAGCCATCAATTTTCAATGTGCCGATCGAAGATGGGATTGGCAGCAAGGATCGGCTATCGGGAAGGCTGTGTGTGGTTCGGCACCCGTTTGGCTTTGTTGGTCGGTTTGTCCAGGTCCGGGCTTGAAGGGTCCTTCGCCGTGCCAAGGCCTCGGCCCTGTCCAGCTGCAGCGCAATGGAGAAAGTGGTTGGGGGTAGAAGAGGAGAGGGGCTGTTGCCATGGAACTTGGGAGTACCTAGCAGGCCATTGAGCCTATGTGCTGGTGACGTGACGCATCTGCAACATCCTGGAATGGTCCCAGAATCAAGCTAAATAGGTATGGCATGCATGCACGCTGCACGTTTTGAATTGTCATGGCGAAACAACTGGGATACGATACGATACTCATGGACTGGCCCAGAGGACGATGACAACTTCTTGCTCGTTCGCATTGTTCGTTCGTATGCCAGATAAGGTTTGGTCGAGCTCGGCCTTACTGACTCGATGCCATGGCGGTGTTCAGAATGATGATGAGACGGCAAACTGCGGACGATGAAGTACGGCTGATACGCAGCATGCACGGCTCACGCTGGGTATGTGCATTCCCTGCTTGTTGCTGCCGATCTTGAGCAAATGGACGGTTTTGTGTGCGCAAGTGGGAAAGAAACACGACACCGACGTGTCCCTGTCACACCTCGACACGACACCCAGGGTTTTGTGTGAGCCATTGACAGTTGTAAAGCGAGGCAGAGCAAGAGTGCAAGTGTGTGAACGTGTGAGAGACAGAGAATGGCTGAGACGTGGTTGGCCGGGCCGAAATGGAGCTACGTGCTATGTATATATCTTTACATACCGTGCCTAGTTGTACGGATACCTAGCTACCTAGCCACCGGTGATCCTGACCAAGCTGGAAGTTCGGCTCTGCCCAAGCCTTAACGTTTGCCGCCCCGCTTTCAGAAGTGCTTCCATTGCAACCTTTCCGGGAGGCCACCCAACTTTCCAAGTCCCAAGCAAGCTGATAACCCCTGTCTCGAAGCTCCATCAGCCAATCCCGCTGATCTGGCTCGACCAGGGGGGAAGAGGGGGGGGAACGGCCCATTAGTGCTGCAGGCGCCTGCCCCACCTGTCCTCAGTGGCCACTCAGAGCCTGCTCCAGTGTCTCCCACAGCTGAACCCGCTGAGGTAATTGCGAGTATTACGTCGATATCCGCAGCCAAGAAAGACCACGGCCTTCATTTTTTTTTTTCACTTGCACTTTACCTGTACCGTTCCTTCTCCGCCAGGGAAATGGCACCGAAACTAGCGAGATGCCGTACTGCCCACAGTTGTCCATCCGAGAACCCCCTTTCTTGGCCCGACTGTATTCGTACTACTGGTGGTAGAACCGTACACGTGCATCCGTAAAGTGTCCCCTTTCCCTACCCACCCTTTTTCGAGTCTGGGACTCTGAGCATGGCTTAGCTTAGGGCCAAATCCAAGCTTCGCTTGGTCCAAGCTGCTCGGCCCCTAGTCCACTTCGTCTAGGTCTCTACTTTGCTCTGATCTGCTCTGCGCTGCTCTGTGCTGCTCTGCGCTGCTCCCGAGTGCTCGTTGAAGCTGCATCGTGATATTGTCTAGTCGCTCGCACCTGCACTTGCGAGCAAACATTGCTTCTTGCATTGGTACAAGCGAAAGGTTGTCTTATGTAGTGTACCTGGTGTACTTGTACAATCCAGACTGCCGCTGTCTCCTCCTTCCTCGTTCCTCCTTGCTCGGCCGTGCTCACCAACCCACACCCTACCCCCCGGTCCATGTCCACGCCGACGTAGTGTGCCGCTAGCGAACCTGACGTATCTGGGCCAAATTCCAATCCAACCTTCACCTTTCTCCTTCCCTCTATGCCACCTCACCACCGTTTTACATTCTTCTCCCGCCAGTGCCAGCTTTAGCTTCGTGGCTTCCCGCCTTTGTCCTTTTTCTATCAACGTGTTTTACCTTCCTCCACACAACTTTTCATCACTAGCTCCCTCCAACTACTGGCCGACCAGCCACAGCCCGGCCACTCTCCATTCGCTCTCCCCCATTCACTTCCTCCTTTTTCCCTGCGCCGATCTGTGCGGATAGCTATCATCTCCTTTTAGCCCGAGACCTCCCCGAGAGCGTTCCTTCACTTCTCTTTTCCCCTTCCGTTATTTCCTCTCTGCTCCCCCCCTTGGACCCCAACTTACCCAGCCCACCGGTCCACGTTACCTCTCCTGGTCCGATCCGCGGTCCCTTTATGCGTTGACACGAGAATTGCGACTTGAGCGCCGTCCCAAACTGACCTCGAACCCCGATACCGAGCTGCTCTGAGCAGCGCTAGAGCTCAAGAACATGGCTTCCGCCCTCGAGAAGAACGAGCTCAAGGTCCAGGGCGTCGTCGAGGCTGCCCAGGACCCCGAAAGCAATGTGTCTGCCGATGACGCCCAGAAGAAAATCGTCGAGGAGTCCAAAAAAGCCGGCATTGCTGCCTTCACCTTTGACCCCGACGCCAGTCCCGAGGAGAAGCGCCGCCAAGCTGCTGCCGTGAGTTGTGCGACCCTGCTTTTTTGCTTTGCCTCGAAATGACCTTGACTGACCCCTCCCCTCCTTGATAGGTTGTCCCACCAGGCTTCCACTCCCAGCGAGCCAAGGGTGTCTCCATCGTAACAGACGTCGCTGATTCGAGCGCCCCCGTAGCCGACCTCCCCTCCCCAACCAAGGCAGGTGTTATTGAGCCTGCCAAAGACAAGGACGGAAAGCCCATCAAGGCCGGCGAGGACCCTGCGGGCACCGAGGAAGAACCTTATACGAGAACCGGATGGTCTCCTCAGTTCGGCTGGCCCGCCGACGACGTTCATGAGGGGGCTAGTCTGCTGGACCACTCCACCTGGCTCGAGAGCAATCTCCCTGACAAATTCTACGGAGACTGGTACCACAATGCGGCAATCATTGGCTTCGCCTGTATCTCGTCCTGGCTCGTGGCCGTCTTGGGCGGCGGTCTCGGCTGGGTCTTCATCCTCATGGCAGTCTGCTCGACCTACTACCGGACTTCCATTCGGCGAGTCCGCCGCAACTTCCGTGACGATATCAACCGGGAGCTTTCCCTGAAGAAGTTGGAGACAGAAACTGAATCTCTTGAATGGATCAACTCTTTCATGCTCAAGTTCTGGCCCATTTACCAGCCTGTTCTGGCCCAGACTATCGTCAACTCGGTTGATCAGGTGTTGAGCTCGGCCACGCCCGCCTTCTTGGACAGTCTGAAGCTGAAGACATTCACTCTGGGTTCCAAGCCACCGCGCATGGAACATGTCAAGACGTACCCGAAAGCCGGTGACGATACTGTCATCATGGATTGGAAGTTCAGCTTCACTCCTAACGACACGGCCGACATGACATACAAACAGATCAAGAACAAAATCAACCCCAAGGTCGTTTTGGAAATCAGAGTAGGCAAGGCCATGATCAGCAAGGGACTCGATGTCATCGTCGAAGATATGGCTTTCTCTGGCATCATGCAACTCAAGATCAAGCTGCAAATCCCCTTCCCTCACATCGAAAAGGTGGAAATGTGTTTCCTCGAAAAGCCCACGATTGACTACGTCTGCAAGCCCCTGGGAGGCGAGACGTTCGGTTTTGATATCAACTTCATTCCCGGTCTTGAGACCTTCATCCTCGAGCAGATCCACGGCAACTTGGCTCCCATGATGTACTCACCCAACGTGTTCCCCATCGAAGTTGCCAAGATGCTTGCCGGCACCCCGGTTGACCAGGCTATCGGCGTCATCGCTGTTACACTCCATGGCGCCCAGGGGCTCAAGAACCCCGACAACTTCTCCGGCTCTCCGGACCCTTACGCAGCTTTGACTCTGAATCGGCGCCAGCAGCTTGCCCGCACAAAGCATATCAAAGACACTGGAAACCCGCGCTGGAACGAAACTCACTACATTATCATCACCTCTTTCAACGACTCCCTTGACATTCAGGTTTTCGACTACAATGACTTCAGGAAGCACAAGGAGCTGGGTGTGGCGTCATTCTCCTTGGACCAGGTTGAGGAACTGGCCGTCCATGAAAACGAAGTCTTGGAGGTCATTGCTGACGGCAAGGCCCGCGGCCAGCTATCGTGCGATATCAGGTTCTTCCCAGTCATGGAGCCCAAGAAATTGGACGACGGCACCTTGGAACCGCCCCCAGAATCCAACACGGGTATTCTTAGATTTACCGTGGAACAGGCCAAGGATCTCGATGGTACCAAGAGTCTCGTGGGGCTTCTTAACCCTTATGCGACGCTCCACCTCAATGGCCGGGACGTCCATCACACAAAGAAGCTCAAGCGAACCAACAATCCCATCTGGGACAATGGATCCAAGGAGATGCTCATTACCGACAAGAAGAACGCCAAGCTCGGAGTCACGATCAAGGATGAGCGCGATCTCGCCGGTGACCAGGTCATTGGAAAGTACCAGATCAAGCTTGAGGACTTGCTTGACTGCATGGGAAAGAGCCAGGAATGGTTTCAGTTGGCCGGTGTCGCAACTGGTCGTGTCAAGATGATGGCCCAGTGGAAGCCGGTCGCTCTCTCCGGTGTCGTGGCCGGTACTGGCGGCTACATTACTCCTATTGGTGTCATGCGTTTCCACTTCAAGAATGCACGCGACCTACGCAACTTTGAGACCCTGGGCAAATCTGACCCTTATGTAAGAGTGCTTCTCTCGGGCATCGAGAAAGCGCGCACAGTCACTCACAAGAATACTCTGGACCCAGACTTTGACGAGGTCCTCTATGTCCCAGTTCATTCTGCGAGAGAAAGACTGTCACTTGAGGTCATGGACTCGGAGAAGATGGGCAAGGATCGCAGTCTCGGTCTGGTCGAAGTTTTCGCTGGCGACTACATTTCACAGGCCGAAAATGGCGAGTACAACGTCCATGACACGAAGAAAGTTTTCCAAGGTGGCTTGCAGCTTCACGGCAAGGGCATTGCAAAGGGTGTCTTGACCTACACAGTTTCATTCTTTCCCTGCCTAAACGTTGCCGATCCCGAGGAAGAGGAAGAGCAGGAGCAGGCAGCAGCGGCCGATAAGGCCAAGGCGATCGAGGATGCCCCTAGATCTTCAGAGGCCGGCAAGTTCAGCAGCGCCGTCGAACCGAAAAAGGATGGAGCCGAACTGGAAATCAGCCCGCCCAAGACCCCAGTCACCCCCGTCTCGCCTTCATTTCCAAGGAAATCCAAGGACGAGAGTGGTCCGCCGAAGATTCGTCTTTCCCCTCAGGAGCTTTTGAAGTACGAGTCAGGTCTCCTGATTTTCAAGCTCATGGAAGCAGAGATGCCAGAGGGCAACACGCATTTAGAGATCTGGGTCGACGACATGGCCTTTCCCTCGTACACCTCATCGACAGCCAAGCACAAGAAGCACACATTTGAGGAAATCGGCGACTGCTTCATCCGAGAACTGGACTTTTCTCGCCTGACGCTCAAGGTCCGAGAGAAGGGCGACAAGGTTGAAGGGAATGAGAAGGACAAGGACCACACTATGGCGAAGCTGCAGGGGAACACTCTGGACACGCTAAAGCAGTGTCTGGTGAGCATTACACCTTGGACTTGTGCATGATGACATACTAATTCGTACTAGAACAACCCCACTACGCTTAAGCTGAAGGGCAAGGACAACCGGCCAGCAAGTGTCAAGGTCAGCCTCAAGTACATTCCCGTCAAGATGCAGTTGGACCCCAGCGAGAGTATCAACAACATGGGAACTCTCCGTGTCGATGTCTTGGACGCCCAGGACCTTCCTTCGGCAGACTCGAACGGCAAGAGTGACCCGTACTGCAAGTTCGAACTCAATGGCGAAGACGTCTACAAGACCAAGGTCCAGAAGAAGACTTTGCATCCTGCCTGGAACGAGTTCTTTGAAGTCCCAGTACCTTCAAGAACCGCTGCCAAGTTCAAGGTCACCGTCTGGGATTACGACTTTGCAGACAAGCCTGACTTCCTGGGAGCCGCCGATATCAACCTCGAGCAGCTGGATCCCTTCAGGCCCAGCGAGAGCCGTCTGCTTTTGGACGGCAAGTCGGGCTCGGTGAGATTGAGAATGCTCTTCCGGCCGTCTTACGTTACCCGAACTCGGCAAGGCACGTCAACGTTTTCCGGCACTTTCGCGGCGCCAGGAAGAATTGTCACCGGCATTGCGGGTGCGCCTATCAAAGTTGGAAGCACAGTTGGCCACGGTGTGGGCAGGGGCGCCTCGTTCCTCAAGCGCGGTCTGTTCTCGAAAAAGGACGACGACTTGAACGATGCATCGTCAAGTTTCACTGAGATTCCGACCATTGTCGAGAATGGAAGCAGTCCCCCTGCCCCTACTCCCGGCCTTGGCCTCAAGCGAGCAACCGGTTTCTCTGTTTCCGACAGTAGTGAATCTCCCGACACACGTCCAGGAACCTCCAATGGCTCAACCTTGGGACACAGTCGCACAAAAAGCAACGGCGCCGCCTCCATCCATAGCGTGACCCCGGGGTCACCGGGCTCTGGAACCGCTACTTTCACCGTTGTGTCTGCTACGGGCTTCCCTCCGTCAACTGATCTGTACATTACCATCAACCAGCTCGCGCCCAAGCAAAAGGTAATTGGCAAGACGAAGCACCACAAAGACGCCACTGGCTTCTTCCGTTACAACGAGTCCTTCAAGTGCACATGCACTGCCGATACTCAATTCAAGATCGAAGCAAAGGGCGAGCACACCCTTAGGAGTGATGATGATCTAGGCGAGGCCCTTTACTTTGTCGACGATTCTGGGGCGGGAGGCGAGAAGGAGATCAAGGTTGGAGGCGGCACGGTTGTCATGAAGAGCACTTTCACTCCGTCGGCCAGCTTAGAGCCAGACAGTCCGAAGCCGCTGGTTCGTCGTAGCTTCATGGGCAAAAGGGACAGTCGCAGCAGAGAAGGAACCCCGAACTAATTGAGGGGGTCCAACGCTGCTACGGTGCAACCTTTTTGAACCTGAACCGGGTTTTCCTACCTGTTTTTTTTTTTTTCCCCTTTTTTCTTTCCTTTTTTTTTTTGACAACAAAAGCTTTTCCATTGCGTTCAGATACCTGGGAGGATGGCAATGGCTGGCATATTTTATCCACTAATGGGTCTTTTTCCTCCAGTTCCATTTTTGTCATAATTTCGTAGCTAGTAGGCAGGAGTTGTAGGGCTTAAGGCGGTAAGGTGGGGTGGCAAACGTAGGCAGACAGACCTGGCAAAGGCTATCGTAATCTGTTGTCCTGATAGTTAGGAAGCAATTCACGATATCAAACGTGACGAATAGTTGTATTATTATTGGTGATTGCGACACGACGACCGTCAACTCAATGCACTTGCCAGCTCAAGGGCCACACTGCTGTAACGCCATTTGAGAGGAATCGAGACGTGTAGCACTGGATTTTAATGAAGGCATTCTCAAAAGGAAATGTACGGACAATACACAATAAGTCTGTCAATATCACACTTGGTGACCGAAATTGAAAAGGGAGCCAGATGCTAGCTTATGTAATCCACGAGCACCCGCGGGCCATGTTCGTACCTGCAGCAGCACTTACCAAATCCGAATCAGGCAATAAGGCATCAATCAGCTACCTAGGTACGCAGTTTCCCTGCTGAAGCTGGCCGTGACGCGAGCATGGAGCTGCCTGAGCTGCCGTACGCCCCAAGTCAACCTCAAAGAGCCCCATCTTGCATTCCAACTACAACCTCACCCGCCCTTTCCACGACCGTCACCAGAAGAATAATCAGAATCCCACATCTCTGATTCTATCGACCTTGTATACCCAAACAACCTCGCCTAGGTACCCTGCTCGCCGACCGCCGAGATGGACAGCCTTGTAGCCAAGTACAGCCGCCCGGCGTTCGAGCAACACAACGCCTTCAGAGACGATGAGCAGGAGGACCTCGAGCTCATGGGTGGTGCACCGCCTTTGTCGTTGAAGTTTGCTATGCCCCCCGTCGCACATGTGAGTTTTCCTTCTCTATACCCCCTCCGTTCGATACTTTGGGGTAATCAACCAGTGATACTGATACAACCCCTCAATCCAGCCCTCCTCGTGGCTCCGCGCAGCAACGGACGACCGATCCAACCCCGACTGCCCCATCAAGATTGCCCACGGCACAACGACCCTCGCCTTCCGCTTTCAGGGTGGTATTATCGTCGCCACCGACTCCCGTGCCACCGCCGGAAACTGGATCGCCTCGCAAACAGTCAAGAAGGTCATTGAGATCAACTCGGTGCTGCTGGGGACCATGGCCGGCGGTGCGGCCGACTGCCAATACTGGCTCGCCTGGCTCGGTATGCAGTGCCGCCTCCATGAGCTCCGTCACAAGCGCCGCATCTCGGTCGCCGCCGCTTCCAAGATCCTCGCCAACCTTGTCTACTCGTACAAGGGCATGGGCCTCAGCATGGGTACCATGTGTGCCGGTGTCACCAAGGAGGAGGGCCCCGCGCTCTACTACGTTGACTCGGATGGTACCCGCCTGCCAGGCAACCTTTTCTGCGTTGGCAGTGGTCAGACCTTCGCCTATGGTGTCCTGGATGCCGAGTACCGCTACGACCTGACGGACCAGGAGGCGCTCGACCTCGGAAGCCGGAGTATCCTGGCCGCGACGCACCGTGACGCCTTCTCTGGTGGTTTCATCAACTTGTACCACGTCAAGGAGGAGGGCTGGGTCAAGCACGGCTTCAATGACACGAATCCCATCTTCTGGAAGACGAAGCTGGAGAAGGGCGAGTTCACCAACGTCACGGCCGACTTGGACTAGATGTTGAGGGGAAGGGACTGCGATGAATCGTCGCTGAACTCATTCAGATCATGGAATTCTATACAAACCACTGAACTCAGCCGGTGTCTTAGCGTGGCTGAGCAGGACCAGCGGCATTACCCCGTTTTCCCGATGAGGTGCAGGAGAAACAAGGAACGACATTGATTCTTGTGTGTCGGAATGGATAGAGCGGTCACGGTACGGCAGGCGATGATGGGAGGAAGGGCAGCTGCAGGAGGAAACGCGGGCTGCCAATGCCAAGCTGTCTCTTTAGGCATCAGTACTCAAGAAAGGGTGCTGGTGTCATGTAACTTGTAAACTAGACCATGATACAAGTTCATTCTTTACGCCTTTTGTCGTCTTCTAAAATTATGGCACAGGTGATATTACATCAGGTACAGGAGGGGGGGTATCATGGCTTTTTTACTTTACACTCGTCTCTTCTTATCCAGCCGCTCAGGCCGAGGATTCCGCCTTGGTCGCTCTCCTGGTCAATCGACCACTTGCGCTCGGGATGCACGGAGAGCTCGCTCTCCCAGCCGGCCTCGTACATCTCCATGCCCGTCCAGGCGATCATGGCCGCGTTATCCGTACACAGCGCCGGCGGGGGCGCCACGAGCTCGACGTGCCCGAACCCGCGGACATCGAGAGTCTTACGCAGGACGTGCATGAGAAAGCGGTTACTGGCGACGCCGCCGCTGACGACGAGCGTCTTGACAGCGTCCCTGAGCTCCGGCTGGGAGGCGAGGGCGAGGAGGACGCGGCTGGCGAGGTGTTGGAACAGGAGACGCATGGCGGCGCGGGCGAGGCACCGGCGTTCCTCGAGGGAGATTGGGTCGGCTTTGCCACTGCCGTCGGCGGCGGCGGCCTTGAGGGTCACAATCTTGTGGATCTGGCTGCCGAGACCGGCAAAGGAATAGGACAGGGCACGGGAGGCGGCGAGAGGCGGAGTTAGGGTCCAGGAGTAGGGGGAGGTGTAGGTGGCGATCTCGTCGACGCGGCGGAGGGGCGGGGTGTATTCGTAGTCGACGTCTTGTAGAGATGGCAAGGACGAAGCGGCAGTGGAGCCCGGGAAGGCGAAGCGTTCCAGGAGGGCGCCGTACATGACGTCTCCGTGGGAGGCCAGCACTTCGGGAGGCAGGATGAGGCGGGCGGCCTTGTCGAGGGCGTCGCCGACGGCGACGTCCGCCGAGGTCGCAAGGATGCGGTGGTCTGTGAGGGAGCGGGAGTGGACGAGCTGGGTGTGGCCGCCAGAGACGAGGAGGGTGAGGAAGGGGTATTCGGGTTGGATGGGAGACGAGGTCAAGGTCGAGACCGAGCCCGATGAAGTCGAGGAAGCGGGAGAAGGAGGCCGGTCGAGGGCGGACACCAGGCGCGGGGTGAGGGCGTGGGCTTGCATGTGGTTCACGGCCAGGAGTGGGACCTGCCACGCCGTCGCGAGACCCTTTGCCGTCGCGAGGCCGGAGGCGAGGTTCGCGGACATGCCGGGGCCGCGGGTCACCGTCACGAAGGTGGGTTTCTGGCGCGGAATCCCGGCGACTGTCACCGTGCCGCCGCCGCAAGGTGGGTCGCCATTGTCGGGGTGTTCTCCTACAGGCGGCAGAGACGCGATGGCCTCGGCGATGAGGGGCGCGAGGTGCGCGTCGTGGGAGCGTAGGGCAACGGGCGGGTAGACGCCACCGTAGGCGGTGCTGTCGCTCGTGACCTTGCGGTTGAAGTGGAGTGTCGCGCGGCCGCGGGGGCCCGGGTCCTTGAAGAGGAGAGCGACGCAGGTGTCGTCGCACGAGGTTTCTATGGCGAGGGTCAGGAGGGTGCGGTGGAAGGGGTGGCGGACGGCGCGCGTCGGGCTACCGTGACAGACGGCTCGGCGGCGAGGTACAGGCGGTTTGCGCCATCGTGCGAGGGTTGAAAGGGGAGGGCGCATCTGGAAGGTTCTGGACGTGTTCGAGAGAGCGAACGTTGGGGGACTTGGCGGTGATGGTTCCAGAGAAGGTTGTCTTATCTTATCTTTATCTTATCCACACCGAGGCTCACCGACTTACACGTCGTACACCTGCACCCCTTTTTATGGTCAGTTGGTATGAACCACCTTGACTTCTTCTCCGGCGGCCCGAGGTATTCGAGTTTCTGCACTTCATTGGCTTATCACAGATAGTCCGTCGATCAATGCGAATGGAATATCTACCGGAAGACTTGAATTGCGCTATTTCATTAAGGTACTATGCAGATCCTATGCATTTTTTGAATTCCTTTAACCCCCATATACCATCCATGTAATGTGCCAATGCTGATGCCAAATCCCGTATCCATGACCAACCATGCCCATATCCGCGTCGATATTCATATTCAAGACTTGAATCTCGACTTTTTTTTTTGTTAAAATCTTTTCTTGAATCTCATCAATTTCCACTATCCCTCCGGGCGACAAAGTTCACCCATTCACACCGGCACCCGCCGGTACCACCATCAAACCCACCGAAAGATGCATCCTTGTCCTTGCGCGGGTTCACCGTTCTGCCACCAAAGCCAATGTCGTTGGGCAGTAGTTTCGGGTTCGCCGTGTCGATGCCCTGGCGGTCGTTTACGGGCCAGTGCCACACAAACTTCTCGCCCGACCGGCCGCCGTGTGTGTCCGTTTTGATTGTGACAGGATACGGCATAGTACCTGGTTCCTCGCCGTTGTTGGAGCGCAGGAGCTGTGTATTGTTTTCGGAGCGGGTCCAGATCTGCACGAGGAAGCGCGTTTGGGACCACGTTACTAGGAACTTCGCCTCGCTACGGCGGGCGCCACCGTCCTTGTCGAGGGGCACATTGCTCTCATCATCAGTGCCGTTGAGGGTGGTGACGGACTTGAGGTAGATTGTGCGCTTGAAGTAAGTGTAGAAGCCGTAATGCTCCGTCTGCAGCCCGCGGTCGTAGAGACGAACTGGCTGCTGTACAGCATGAGGGAAGAGTTGCGCGGGGGCTCCAGTGCCGTCTGCTTCGAGATCCGGAGCCGGCAAAGATATCGATATATCACCGAAGGACTCTCCAGAATTCTGGCGCTTTTCCATAGCATTAGGTCCGACTGTTTCGTTTGCGGACTTTAGAATACTCAGGTAAAAAGGCGTGGGCTCGCCGGCTTTCTCGTTAGAAACGATGCCATCCGTTGTGTTTCCGAGGAAGTACATTTCCTCAAAGGATGGGGGAGAGGGATCTGGCGCAAACGCCGGGTTCTGTCTCCGAAAGTACGCTCCAGCTCTGGCGACGATTCCGCCAAAGTTCAAATCCCGCTTACGGGTGCTAGACCCAGGATGAGGGGGCTCGCCGTTGGGTACATCCCACAGGTTGCGGGTGTTGTTGTCCCATTGAATTTGCATGATGAAGGTCGGCTGGTTTGGGCGGTTCGGCGCCACAGATTCGTGCTCTTCCTTGGGTAGTGCGCAGCTCCAAACGGTCGAGGGACTACTACAACCGGTTACAGCCGCTGTGTTGTCTGGGCCTACTACTGAGAGAACTCCAGTAGGCATGGGAGGGAAGTTTGTCAAGTTGACAAATATGCTGTCAATTGGCGCGGCGGCGCTGTTGCGTGGGATGAGCATAACGCAAAGAACGATAATGAGAATGCTCAAGATGAGACTAGCACCGCAGACGCCCAGGCACACGCGCCTTCTCTTGCGGCCCTCGCGGCCACTGCGGCCGTAGCAGCCGCTTGCAGGTATACACCAGCGGCCCTTCCAGAAGCTGCCGAGCTTACGAGCTGCCACTTCCTCTTTCTCGTGGCGTCGGCGTTTACGTTCGATCCGACTACCGTCTCCTGATGCTGCAAGAAAATGCTCCTGGGGCACAAATGTACCAGCAAGTCTTTCTGGAAGACGGCCATGGGTGCCCTGGGCGGGGTTGTTGCCTTGAGCTGTGGGCGTTAGGGGAATATCGATCATGTTGATGCCGCCTTGAGAACTCATTGTACCATTGATGGCTGGGGATATCGGACCAGGCGAGGGCGGGTAGAGTGCTTGCAGAGGATGGCCTACAGGGAAAACGGCTCGATATCTGACAGCTTTCTGCTGTTGCGGCGGTGGCGAGTATGGTGGTGGCTGTTCTGACAGAGCAGGGCTCAGTTCGGTAAGCGAAACCTTCTCTGACTGAACTTGCAGTCTCGGGGTTGCTGAGCGAGAGGATGACGCGGGAGACGACTCGCGTCTGTCCATGAGCGGCGACGGAGTTCTCCTAGGTGTAGGAACTCTGACGATCGGCGCTTGAAAACCACCGTGGAATGGTTTAGGCGATGCTGGAAGGCCTGGTCTCTGAATAACGGTTGGTTGGATCTGTGCCGGTTTGGAGGTCTTGAGCACCCCATCCTGGTTTTTAGAGGCGGGTGCATTTGTATCCTTTTCACTCAGCCATTCACCATTGCCGGTTGCTTTGGCAGACTGTGATCCGGACTTGGTCGGAACAACGGGACTCTTCCTCTCTAGGAAGGGCGTTGTTATGTGATCCCACCAGCCACGTGTCTGAGTAGCTGCGCTGTCCGGACTCACTGCTGCCTCTTTGACCTTTGTTGACCTTCGACGGTTCGGAGCCGCTCCGTCTTCTTCGAACAACGTGCACGGGCTGCCTCCGTCATCGTCATCGTGGTCATTGTCTTTCAGGACAACACTGACCACCCTTTCTTGCTGCTTGTAAGTGGATGGAACAGAGGGCACTGGGGGAGCGTCATGAGCCACGCGGACTCCGAGACCGGTAGCTTGAGAGTAGATGCTGGATGAGCGGTGGGGAGACTGGAATGGAGAGGAGGCCGTGTTCGGTGTGTCAGGGCTCCAGACCGATTTTTGCTGCGAAGGAGTCAAGGGTGTGACTGTATCTGGCTTGCGTGACACTGGTGATGCGTTGTCATATGTAGGCGGCAAGTCACGGGGCAGTTCGAGAACTGCTGTCTGGGGGCTGATTTCCCTGCCGGCCATTTCGGAAGGCAACGCGATGCCGATGACGATCGGTCGGTCATCTGGGGAAAGGTCTTGCTCAAGCGGACTATGCCCAATACTTTGAGGAGACTTGCCGCTCTGATCGGTTTTCTTCTTTAGCCAGTTCCAGTTGCCAACGGAAGCAGAGTTGGGTGACCCCTCGAGGGCCCTGAGAGCGGCGGCATCGACGAACTTTGGCTGGTGCAAGTCGAGGTTCCGACTTCGTTGGGCAGCTTGTTGCTGTTGTAGAGTCGCCATGTCCGTCACCACCTTGATACCAGCCTTTGCGTTCTGCGCTTTTTGACGTTGGCGTGATTTTAGACGCCTCAATTTCTGGACTGAGTGCCGAGACTGGGAATACCTTGTCGAAGGAGGGTTATTCGGCCTCAGTGGGCTGGGAGCCGCTGTCTTGTCCATAATAAGCTCTTGGTCGTCATCCATAATGGGTGTAACGACATCTTCATCCTCCCAATCTTCCCAATCATCTCTCTCGTTGTGAGGTGGGTTTTCGTTGGGTTGCCGCTGGGGCGCTGAGGTCCTGACTGGGGACATATTAATGTTGTCGTCGAAACTCTGTATCGTCGCGATGGGGTAGCCAAGTGAATGTGTTCAAGTCGAATTCAGAATGACGAAGCAAATGGGCAGGAGAAATATAATCGAGTTGATGGAACCCGATGAATGAGACGTTTGTAGGAAGAAGATGATGATGAATTTTTGTTGTTATCAAAGATCGTGTCAAAAGATGCCGATTTGTGGTAATGAAAGATGGCTGCTTGAGCAATGTGAAAAGAAGGGAAAGAGCGAAAGAGGGGAGGCCCAAAAGGACGTCGAAACGATTGACAGCGAGCTCGCCCAAACGAGATATTCGGTTGTAAGTCTTGAACAAGCGTACAATAAGAGCAAGAAAAGGGAAACCGGATGTCCACCCACCGTTCGACTACGTTTAGAATCACGAAACAAGCAGGAGTGCAACGGCCCGGCTGGAGAAGCCGGCTTCATTATATGACTGGGAATCGTTCACCCGCCAGCGGCTTCTAGTTCATGGGTCGCGGCCAAGCTCCATGATGTTTGGCTGGACGATGCAGAGGTAGTATGAGGTAGGCGCCAGTTAGGCATCCTGAGCTTCTGATTGGCCGTCTTGCCGCTGACCATCTCTCGGGCCTGCACAGGCGGCCGCGTTGCTGGCCATTCATCTGGCCGCGGTTCTTGGAAACCGGAACGGCTCTGCCTCAAGCTGGAAGCCCCAGGACCGACGGCCGCTTCATCTCTTGAGGGCGAATCACAGCATCGAGAGCGTTATGACAGGCGAGTAGGTTGTCTGTGGTTTGTGGTCGATGACGGGGAAATGGGTACCGTGGAGTGGCTTGACCTAAGCATGCGTTAGTGGCTTGTGCGCGATGGTGTGGCTGGCGTGTGATGCATTACTTAAGCACACTTCCATCAGTGTTTGGACCGTCTGACAAGTGGTGAGGTGTCCTTCCGTCCTCCGTGACGTGACCTTGCTGTGTGTGGAGGTCGAGACAGGTCCTGTTCCCGGATGCACCCACGGGAGATTGCCGCTCTGCCGCTCGAGCTGTTGCCCCCTCACATTTCGATTGAGGCCTGGAGCGCCATCGAAATTAGCCAATCACCTTATTTATTACCCGTTGTAACCAGTTACTGATACGTAGCCTTCTTCAACATCGATGCTTGGAATCCCGGTCTGGTCGTTGGGATTTCACATGGAAGGTGTTATCATGAGACATCGCGGCATACACAAGTACTCACAAGCAACCTAGTCAATTATTTATAGTTGCACGGCTTACCTGTTGGGACTCATTAACGATGGTTGCACAACAGAGCCCAGGCAACTCCGTCTGTCCGTCTCATCTGATTTTAAACTATGTACGGAGTACGGAGTACCTATTTGCGTGCCCAACTCAAATCCCTCGATGCCACAGCCTCACAATCTTGTTTTGGCCTTGAATGGGCCCGACATGTCCGGTCTCAGGTGCTGGGCAGGTGAACGAGATTCAGTGGCTGTGCAGCCAATCGCCTCACAAACCGGTCGAGGGGGCTTCAGTTGGAGGCGCAAACTGCTCGTTGCTGGAGCAAGGGAAGCAAACCGCGCGAATCAAATGTTGCTAGCGCGATACAAACCTCGTTGTTCTCGCGATCGCCGTAGAAGTTTGGAAGCCTCGGATTGTTCTCTTGGGCGCTGACTTTACTGGTGTCACGCCATGATTCATTTGAGAATCGATACGGACTGAGGGAGGAATACCGAGAGGAGCAAGCGGAAGTTCCACCCGATTCTTCAAGTGCAATCAACGCCTTGGCACGCGAGGTATCCGTATTACAAGCGCCTCTCGACACGAGAGACGTGCAGTGCTGACTGAGTGGCTCGCATCCCCAGACGCAAAGGTCCTCGTGCAGGCGAACAGTGAATGAAGTGGCCTAACACTACTACCTACTCCACGTCCACTGACAGTTCAGTTCGACGCAAGTAAGACCTGCCGTGGTGGCCAATGGGGGCGCGCCAATCGACTCGTCGCCGACTTGGGCGGGAGAGCGCCTGTGGTTCGTGTTCGGGTGATGTTATCATCAGCCAGTTGTATTGTCATCCCTAGCGTTTGTGACAGGTTCACAAATGCCAGGGGGGACAGGTCGGCCGTTTGTGACTTTCACTCCCTTGGGGAAATGGCCAAACTGGTTTCCCGTTTGCGTTTCCATAGACAAGATCCCGGCCTATGACATACCGGTAGTTCCCGCGGCGATAATCAGACGATATGAATACCTAGAGACATTGGCTCTGAGGCGCGAGAGTTTTAGAGCCTGAAAGGTAAAAGTATTGGCTGCGAGTCTTGAAGTACACTCGACTTGAGTTTGTGGTGCAACACCAGCATGACCGCCATGTGTCAGCTACCTATTCGAGTCAAACGCTGGTTCCGTTACAGTCTTGGCATCCAGGAGGAGCATCGTCCATCCGAAAGAAGAAGAAAAAGATTGGACGGGCGGGGGGGAAGTTCTGATCCCACATAGTGTACGGGCGAGAAGCCCCTGGTCACAATGTAAGGGCTTGATTTTTCTGGTGAGGAGATGGACGAACGGATAGGCAGACAGACAGACAGACAGACATTGATAGGGGAATTGGGTGGTTACTAGTGGAATGTCTCTCTCCCTTACAGATGTTGTGTATTTGGCTCAGCCCAATTCCCGTTTGGCAGGCGCGGGATGGGCAATATCGACAACACCACCAGCAAATGGTCGCATGGCCCCCTTGAACCTGGACCCGTTGCCCATCGCACGCTGAGATGCTTCACTTTACTCGCCCATTCTTGCTTCCTGACAAATTTGGCTCAGTGATTCCGTAGCTAGTCTGGATTGGTTATTCAATTCATTCGTTCTTCCTCCCTCGATACGTGTAGGTACAACATCTCTTTTTTCCGCTTTTCCCCCACCATCACGCGCGCCAGTGGCAGCAAGTGGTCTGGCCGCTTCTTTTGTGTTGCAGCCACCGACAGTGTGAACGCCCTCTTGACCCCAATCGGCCATCCCGCCACGGAAAGCGACCCCAGCCTGGAAGCGACTCTCCTCCACTTCGTCCTCCCTAATAACTTTTTTCCTGCTCGCATCCGTCCCCGTACCGTCGGCGCACCTCGATTTGGAAAACCAACGAACCGAGTCACGGCATCGCTTTGAGGCTGCATGACAAGTGGGAAAACCTTCCCCTGGCCATACCCACCTATACAGCCTCACCCAAATTCCACATACACCTCCAGAAGCTCTTCTGCAAGAGAGGGGGGACCCCCTTTTCCGCACACGTCGACCCCCGGCCAACTTAATCACTATTGCATTTTAGCGAGTCCATCGTGGTTATCGCGTTGTTACCAGGCGGCTCGTAAAGTGCCATCTGGTCACAACCCTCGACAATCCTTCATTCTGGATCAACCACAGCAATCCGCCGCGTCCTCGTCCTACAGCGATCGCAGGCCAGCACGCTCTCATCACCGCCGCCGTTCATCTACATCTGGCGAGCTCGCAGTCACCGCTGACGGCCCAGGCCACCGTGGCTCTCCCCAACTTCTGGGAGTCCACGGCCAGCAGCCTGGCCTCGCGCCGATTCCTGGTACGTCCTATCCCGTCCTCTCTTACTCTTCTTGACCTGCAGCCTGAATCCGTGGCGCACCTATGCACCCCCGCCCCAACATGCCACCAACACAAATACGGGTTGGACAACACAAGTAAGGGACCCGCTTGCTGACATCTCGTGTTCTCCGAATGCTGCAGGCACCCCCAATAACGCAATGTCGCTCTCGCGCAGCCCGTCGCCTATACCTGGTGGCGGTTGGGCCAGCCCTGGCCTCACCATCAACACCAGCGGCCGATCGAGTCCGAGCAGAGGCTTCTCAGCATCCAACGGCGCAACATCGCCTTGGGAAACCTCCAAGATGAGAACCGCCGGCATGAACGGATACCCGTCCTTCTCCACGCAGAACCAAGGCTTCTTCACGAGACACATGCGCCGGATATCGAGTAGCCTGCCGCGATTCAACCACCAGAGCCACTATGTAGAGAAAGAGAAGCTAAGCCGAGCATCATGGCCGGCGCAGAAGATGCCGCTGGTGGGAAGGATACGGAGCGTCTTCGCACGCATGGGCAGGAAGATGAAGCTGCGCTTGCTGGTGCTTCTTTTGTTCTCCCTGGCCATGATCATCTTCTACAATACTCGTATGTTGGGAAACCCTTGGCACGCTCTGTGCTTGTCGTTAACCATCTTACAGCTCTAGTATACCACTGGCGGAGACACGTTGGCGGTGGCCAAAAGTATGTCATCATCTTGGCGGCCAACGTTGGGGGTGGTGTCATGGAATGGAAGGGCGCCCGCGAATGGGCCATTGAACGGGACAGCGTTCGGAACAAGAAGAAATACGCGAACAGATGGGGGTACGATCTCGAGATTGTCGACATGAGTACCAAGAAACGATACGCACACGAGTGGCGCGAGAGCTGGGAGAAGGTCGACTTTATCCGCTCGGCCTTCCGCAAGTATCCCAAGGCCGAATGGTATGTTGAACACGCATGAGTTGATGTCATGAAGCTGACCTCTGGACGCAGGGTCTGGTGGCTCGACCTGAACACCTACGTAATGGAACTTTCCTATCCCCTACAGAACCACATCTTCAACGACCTGAACAAGCATGTCTACCGCGATATCAACGAATACAACCCTCTGAACATCAGCCACCCCTTCACCGACCCTTACCTAGACGAGGAGTCGCGGAGCCCCGTCGGCGACGGAAAGGCGGAATCCATCAACCTGATACTCTCCCAAGACTGTTCGGGCTTTAACCTGGGCTCTTTCTTTGTCAAGAAGGGCAACTGGGCCGACCGGATGCTCGACGTTTGGTGGGACCCTGTCGCCTATGAGCAGAAGCACATGGAATGGGAGCACAAAGAGCAGGACGCGCTGGAGCAGATGTACAAGACCCAGCCATGGATCCGCAAGCACACAGCCTTCCTTCCGCAACGTATGATCAACTCGTTCCCGCCCGGCGCATGCTCCGAGAATGGGA